TTGCATAATGTTGAATGAGGATAAAAAAGAGACCAAGGAATTATAACCGTGTTCCTCGAGTAGTCGATACGATACTTGGTCCGTAAGGTAAAATGGTTGAGAACAAAGTTTGAGACAAAGTCATATTACCATTACTTCCTTCATTTCTTTCTTGACGATGATGATGATGGTATTCCTCGACCAAGTTTTGCTGTCGTCTCTGTATAGCCTCTCTCTCTCACCCTCAGTTTTCCACATCCATGATGCATCATAGCGTTGTTGCATTGTATTTGTAGCTAAATAACAAACAATTCCGTGGTCTATCTATTACCGGGGTAGTAAGAAAACGCTAGCAAGTACGCAGGATGAGATTACTACTTTGGTAACCAGCCAAACAAGCAGCCAACCTCTATTGTTGCATACTGCTCATAATACTCTCTCAAGTTTTACTCTAAACAATGTAACCCATTTTTATTACTTTTGTCTGTTCCATCCATCCACCAATACAGCAAGATTCAAGTTTGTTCTATTCGCTCGTATTATTGGGAGCGTAAAGTGAGTAAAAGGAAAGAACGACGACGCAATAAACACTTTGTTTAGATGTAATCTTGGAGAGTTATTGTCACTTTTCTCTCTTCTGCTGGATGTCACAAGTCCCCCCACTAATTTTTCAAGACCAATATCAACAAATCTCCCCAGGAGGGACTTGCACACTTTTGGAGGGCATACATACATCCAAATATATTTATATGTACATGCGTGAAATGGTCCCTATATATTCCTGCCAAGAATAGGATGCACACATGAGATGCGAGGAAAAGGCACATGCAAAAGGGAAGACATGAGGAGCTTCAACTTGACTTTATGGGTTAACAAGACTACGAGACGGCTTGATGCGTTGCGTTGTTATTGTTGCAGATGGGAGAGGTTGATTCAGTGTCGGACGGAGGATCGTGATATTGAAATGAATGTGAGAGAGCCTGAATTAATTCCATAGACGCATTTTAGTTCAGTTCAGTGCATATCTTCTTCTTCTTGGCTGTCTTCTTGGGTGAAGAAATGAATTCTGCTGATGGCGATCTATCCGCTGCTGCTGCTGCATATGTACGACCACTGCTGCTAACTAACAACCGACGACCTATACACTTTTGACTTTCGTTTCGCTAGTGGAGTTATTGAAGCAATTCGAATTTCAAGTCATATCTTGTCCGCATACATTGTTTGCTATCTTTACATTGTTTCAGAGGAGTGATTCTATAGCCTTTCACAGATATGTACAATGCAGAATAGAATGACCTCTAACTGAGGAGTCGAGTAGAATATGCTAACGATAATTTTGTTAATAATGTTACAAAGTCAAGAGACCAAGTTTTATATCTTGTTCCTCCTTCTCCTCCTCCTCCTCCTCGACTGATTTACATGGTCGCATTTCCTATAATAATAAAACCTTTAAGCAAGGAAGTCTGCTCTCTCGATGTAAATATGTACGTCTTGTCTTCCCAAAAAAATTATTTGGGACATTATTATTATAAGACTCATCTGGTTGCATTTCATTTTCACTTATCCAAAAACACATTAACTCGTATGAAATGGACCCAAATTCTTACTGCTACATAAAACCCATCAACATTCAGGAGAGACAGAGAGGCACATATTACGAGAGCACATGGACGTGTGGTAACTAATGCAAAAGCAGAGTCGAGTAATGATCACAGGATAAGGAACAACTTGGGCGCGTTAAAGTTTTACAAGTTTTAAAGCTTGCAAAATCCGACCAAATATCACCACCAGCAGAGAAGAGCCGTCTTCTGCACACGAGAATACTCTCGTGTGTGTTGTGTGCAGTCAGTTCAGCATCATCTCGTTGGCTCGTAAGCTTGTGCCATTCTCCAATTCCACTACTTTGCTGCTTTAGTTTGGTTCGTGGATTGCATGTTGGATTGGATAGATCCGCCGTCCGTTCGCTTTTTACTGTACTCACTTGGTTGGTTTGTTGCAATTTCCTCTCCCTCTTCTCCTTCTCTTCTCTTTGAGAGAGATGAGATGCAACTGCGTTTTACCATTTTGCCTTATCATCGCATGTACTATACATCCAACCAACGCGTAGAGTTGTAACTTTTGCAGCAAAGTTGTTGCCAGAACCACCACCATCACACCACCACGGACGACATCAAAATAAGCTATACTTGAAGTGAGTTAGTTATGTGCTGTGCGAATGGAGCTAAACTCACGAGAAACCCTAGTCTCAGCACAAGGTACTTCAGGAGGCCGTAGGTTTAAGCTCCACCCGCACAGTACATAACTCGTTCACTTTATGTATAGTTGTTGTAGCGCAAAGAGCCGACCATTTTTCTATCATTGAGATGAGATGATGATGATGATGATGACGACGACGACGATGTTATGTTATTACACAATTCAGAATATGATGAGATAGATGGATAATATGTGTGATGAGTTTTTTTTAGTTTTACCAGAAACTTTTGCCTGGTTTCCAAGCAAGCAGGAGTAATTAGAGCAAAATGTGGTTGAAAGAGAAAAACATGGACTTGTCGCAAATGACATTTACAAAGTCTCCTTTTCACCTCTTGCTTGCAGAGTAATTAAACAGCAGAGGGAGAAGGATATTATGGTTCTCTTCTAGGGAGGAGGAAAAAGCATAAGGACGATGCACGTTTGAAAAAGTGTGATCGGAGTCAATCTCATCTCAAAATCTCACCTTACATACAACATGCAGATAGATTTACACATTGCTCACTAACTCGATTCCATCCGTGTCTCTCGCAATTCAATTCCATTGCTGAAGTTCCACTCACTCCACTACTACAGCAAGCAACCTAGGAACAGACTCGGGTAGACAATATTCAACTGAGGCAAGTTGAGAATGTGCAGAATTGTCGGATTTTGCAACTTGGTCGCCTTTCGAGCTTTCTCTCTACTTTTTCACCATGCATGCACGACGTACATTTATCTATATATACTGAAGCTATGCATCAACTCTCAACAGAATAAGGACAGGCTGCTTTGCTTTACCAACCAAACCAGCCAAAGTTTCCAAGCAGCAGTAGACTTTCTTCCCAGGGAAATAGTTTACTGGAATTTGTAGCAGTGGCTTTCTCCTCCTCGTTCCGTTTATAATTACCTATCCTTCCTTGACGTAACATTTATCAGTCTCAACAATCCACCCGCGTTAGCTAATTGACGATTTTTCTACCAATTTTATAACGAAATACGCACTTTTTGAGACTGCTCCAAGACAAGTTAACCCAGTGGTGATTCCATTCCATCCACTACTATTTCTATCATTATTGGTTCTTGTTATAGCAAAAATCCCACATAATAATGATATATAGTGATGGCTGATTGGATATATATACGCTCAGCTCGGCATTAATTAGGTTGCTATGCTGCTCTATTCTCTGCGTATACGAAATTCTTACTACTTACATACTACCAAGCAACTCCTTCCTTCAACTTTTCTGGCCTGACTTGGTCTGCCAGAGTATGTATGAGCTGCATGCATAACAACTATTAACAACATCAAGGAATAATATAATCTCCTCTTATACTCATTCATAGCATGGGGCTGTTTTTTTACTACGAGAACATTATTTACATTTCTGCCAAACACTTACCACGCGACAACAGAGATTCGCCAACGCAACGCAACGTGAGAAGGAACGAACGAACGATAATCTCAATTTGCAACCACATTATTACTCGTACTGCATAGGACACCTTAAAAATACTGAAAGTCTTGGTAGGCAGGTTCATCATTATTGTAATCTGGGGATAATGAGGAGAAGAAGGGTCTCATTTTCTTTAAATCCCTTTACACAAATTGTCTCCTCATATCGAAGACGGTGAAGAAGGAAGGTGGACTAAAACAGAGGAAGAAGATCCCTTAGCATCCTCGTACTATGTTTGGTTGGATATATAGCTGAACCTAAATCGATGCACAGTCCAAAAACCATTATTGCTTTGCTTTGGTCATTTTTATACCAGTTTTGTGCTCTTGGCATGGTGGTGGCAATGGTATAAAGGGACCGTATAAGTTTTAAAAGTCGTGTTTATGGCAGGAAGGCCATTCACGCACCATCAACAAATCTGAATCCTTCAACTTATCCAAGAGAGGAGAACTCTTCATTTCATGTCAAAATCCATTTTAATTGTTATTTTTAGCCACCCTCACCTACCTCTGAGCGTCAAGTTACCTTTAATTACGCCGTCATAATGCTAATATTATTCTTATTTATTATGCATCCCAACACCTTATACATTCTTCTTTTTACTTTCCGATCCTTTTTAACACGTGCGAAATAAATGAATCAAATTGCTCTCAAATTTCAATATCCAGCAAGTAAGTACTTACTCTGGACTTTCTACATAATACCCTGCTCCCCACAAACAATTGCATGCGGATCTCAAATTTCACAAGCTTTTTGCACCATCCTCTCCCAAGTTGTTGAAGCACACGATAAAAAGGTTCGCCTGAACCAGGGAGAGTGGAAATAGAACAGTTTGTTTGTTCACATGAGGAACGGCCAAGAGTTTGTCGCCACATTTTTACCAAGAGGAGGAGGAGGATAATTATAACTTCTTTTTAACCTCCACCATCCTCCGACTCTTATCCACATTTTAAAAGATGATGAGAAAATGTCAAGTCCACTTTGACCTCTCACCAACCACACCCCCTCCCGCACAACTTTCTCCACATAACGAATAGAAAAAAACGTCCAAATCGACCACCCCCACGTCGCAGAAGGTCCCCTGAAACAATCATCATCGTCATCATCATCATAAATCCCCCTCATCCAGTTCATGTTCGCTCCCAGAAACTACTGCCACAAACTACGACCACCCCAGCAAAATCCTCCTCAATGTTGATACCAATACGGAGTTAAAACAGGTCTAGGAGAGGTTAAAATGCCCCCAGTTTTTAAAAATCTTGCCCCCACGGCTTATCAAAATATGAGGGCAACCCACACCCCAAAAACTTTGTCTTTCCGAGCACAAAATTGGAGTGAGAGAGGGACTAGTTTTCCTCTCGGAGAGGGGAGCGTGGTCCGCCGCCTACTTAAGAGAATGGGCTCGCTCCTTGGGCCCCAGTGTGTCAGCAGCAGTCGGAGAGGCAACAACTCTCAATACTAAATGTAAGTGCCCTCCCCCGAGGGCCCACCACCCCTTCATCACATCACTCATTTTATCATCATTCCTCAAATTTGATAATTTTTTGATAATTTTGTCTTTTCAAATTTCAGTCAGAGCAGCAGCAACTTGTGTGTAAATGCGAAGAAATGTCGGGAGGGTTGGAGATGGAGAGAATTCACGGTGGTGGTGGTGGTGGCGGAGTTGAGCAGCAGCAGCCACAGGGCGGAGAGAAGGAGGTGCTAGAAAAGTTGATCTCGTCCACAACCACGGCAGCAGCCAGCAACAACAACAAAGTGAATTTGCATGGAAAAGGCACTGGTAGAAATAACCATGCTAACAGACAACAATTCAACAACAACCCCCCTGGAAATTATAACAATTCAAATAACAACAAGAAACAGTTTCGTCGCCATCATCGAAGACAGCATCAGAATGCTCAGAGAAGGATGAACAATTCCAATTTCCATGAACACCATGGAAAAAGAATCCGAAGAAATACTCAACCCGCGCCGAATAACACAAATGAATTTCTCATGCAGGAGCACGACCATTTGTATCATCTTGATTTCAATGATGACGAATTTGAACAACGTCACGGATATATCGACTTCAACCCGAGTCATCTCTATTCAAACCCGGAGGGGATGGTAGATGCCAATCATGCGTTTAGCTTCCTACGGGATACTAATACGACCATTTCTAGTGGACCTGCTAATTCCGGAGGAGCTTTCTACTCTTCCTCGGAGGACGATCAAGACTACCTGAGCCGAGAATTCTCTGCCACATACGATATCGTCAATGCAGAAAGGTTAAGTTCCATGACGAAAGCTGAACTTATCTCAGAGTATCAATTGCTTCAGGACAGGGTGGAATTGTTGGAGAGAAAATTAAAGACTGGAACGGATGTGTACGGTACTACCACCATCACAACAACGACGACGGATGGCAAGATAAATACTTCCTCCAACCCTTCTTCTTCCAATGAAATGGTCGTTGAACTATTTTCACCCCCCACCAATACCAATATCGTCACTGCATCTACCTCCAATCCCAGCGATGATGATGGTGATAAAGGAGGAGGAGGAGAGGAAGAAGGAGATGGTTCCATCCAAGAAGAGATTCTCAAACTGAGGGAGGAAAATCAGAAGATCAAAGCTGATAACAAGTACCTACGCAAGATGACTTTGAAACAAGGGAAGGAAGATGGTGACGAAGTCGTCGGGATGGAGGAGGATGACGACATGGAGGCTGATCGGGCATCCACCGACAGTGGGACTGGTGGGATGAGCAAGTAAGAAAAATCCTCATCCAAACGACATTCTACTTCGATTTTCCGTCAATTAAATGCGCTCTAGTTGTCATTATTTGAACCCAACCAAAAATACCCGATGTGTTACTAAATTTATAGTGTTGATTATGTATAAGATAATATGCATATCTTTATATTACATTCAATGTAAACAATTATTTGATTTTTTTTCTACGCTGCTGACTCTTAAATTCATGTTTCCAAATTTATGTATGATGATGTTTTGAAATCTATTACGTATTATGCACAATAATATTTTAAATAATGAAAAAATGAATGACTATTTTTTTCAAAAAATGAGTATAATAGAGTGGAGAAATTACTTTACTACGATAATATTGCTATTCTTATTAATATTTTGATGAATGGAATTAATCTTGACATTTTTGTTATTATTGTTTTTATTCAACTTAAAAAATTATTCTAGATGACAGATCCACGCATGGAAATTCTAATGACTATTTAATAATTGAGCAATTAATTAATGTAACTATTTACTTTTCAAAAGTACGATTACTTGTTTTACAAAACTTTATTATTATTATTACTTGTTCCAACCAAGTAGAACATTTCTCAGTCATACTTTACAAATACGATAGTTTATATTTGTCTGGACTATTCGCCATAATAATGTTCGCATAATATGAATACGCGTTAAATGATGACGATGATGAGAAATGTGTAATATTATGTATTTTTATGACGAACAATAAAGTACAAATTAAAAATTGTATTGTCACAGATATAAACAACTATATATTTTTCCTGTTTCTTTAAACACGGTCACTTTATTTCCATTAAAATACTACTCTGTCGTTTGTTTACTTTACCAACACAGAAAATATCACAATTTCACCAGATCACTTATCCCACAATTCAATTCATTAATTAATTCCAGTTCTTTCTTATTATGAAACGTTTATTTCACTAAAAAACCTCAGCACCTTCTCTTTCCCTCAGCCTCCTCAGCAGCGAGAAAAAAACTAAAAAACTGCTCACATCCACCGCCCCTACGAACCACAACCAATGGAGGAGACGTTCATGATGGACACGTGGAGGCGGTGGTGCCACACTAACCCCACAATCACACCCTCCTATTTTGCATTTTCTACCAAAATATGACCTTGTTCTACCCAACAAAGCTATATTCCCCCTTTGAGGATGCATACATTGTAAAAAATTACTGGATTTTTATCCTTTCACAAGAGAAATGAACGGAAAAGGACAGAATTTTGTAAAGCTTTGGCATGAAAACTTGCACCAGTTTGGAGAACTCTGTTCAAGAGTATACCTTGGATGTCGAAACTTGGCAACTTTTACTCGGTATATATTTTAGGGGTAATATTGACAAACAGTGTTAGCGGTCGAGTATTTCGGTACTTTTAGACTGCTCAATTTTTGGATGGCTTCACCCAGTGATTGAAGCCAGCGTGAAAAACGAAAAGAAAACTTTGTAATCAATCATACTTTATGATTCATGATGTTGGGAGATATTTTACCATTTCACAACTATACTTATCCGGATTGGTAATAGCGATCATCAATTCATCCTGAATAATGGTAATTTAAAAGTCCAGCAGGTCTGTTTGTTGCATGATTTTTCTTACTGAAAGATACACAAGTAGAAAAATGTTGTTAATTTTGGTTTGAGAGAGGAAATTATAGTTGCTCTTTTGAAATACGTGTCCCCTTTGTTCTTATTGTCCTCTTTCACGAATTGCAATTGAGCCACTACATATGAGAAGAACAGGATTAAATTATTTTTATTGAGAACCACATATTGAGGAGAACGGGACTTTTTATTGAAAAATTATAGTAAACTCACCAGAGTAATTCGATTGTTGTTGTTGCCTCATCATGGGACGTTTGTAAACTTCATAACGCAAAGAGGGATGAGTCGGTGGTCAGGGCGCAATGACATCATGTCGATGTGACACATGTTGAAGGGGTGTGGGTGGATGTCAAAAATAAATAAAAAATTAACGTTATGAAGTTTACCAACGTCCCTCATCATCCACCAGTCCTCCATTTTGTCCGGGTTGGGTCAAAGATGAAAAGTACCATCATTTTATCCTCCCTTAACTCAAAAATGATAAGTGAAGAATAAAACAATGGTCAGAACCTCGTGAGCGTTCCTCCCTCAATTTGTAGATGGGACCCCTTCGTCGTCTAATTGCCCCTCGCCCCCAAATTATCCACTCACTTGTTTGTTATTGTTGCTGCCGTCGTCGTCGTCGTGCTTGCTTATATTAATGTTTTGTAAATTCTCACGTGTCACCTCCTCTCCAACCTGGCTGGACCATGTGCAGCGGCTTCCCCACATTTCTTTGTCAAAAAACCTTTTAAAATTTTGATGGGAACTTTGAGGGAAAAAGTGACAACAAGTGACTTGGAAATGAGACGGGGAGAAGAACAAAAAGTGGAATTGCAAACTACAACGAAAATGAGACGGCGATGGTGGTGAGGAACGGCCAAATGAGACGAGAAAGCATTGCCAAGATAGCAAAGGCCCCTGACTCACATCCAATCCGCTGCTGGGGCGGGTCAGGCCATCGAAAACCTTTCTCAAATTTGCAACCTCGCCAGATGTCACCCGGGTTGGTTGGACGGATCGGGTAGTAGAATCTAATTCCACTAATAAGGCATTGTTTCACCCAATTAATAGTCTCATCTTGGTCAGTCATGCTGTTCAAATGCAAATCCTCTCAATGAGATGGGTACATGCATATTGTTGAGACATCCGTACTGAGACGTCAGTGCGTGCTCATTGAGTAGTACTAGTAGAACTTCCCACTGTTATATACGACATTGATTAACCATTTAATCATAATGGTAATTAGAAGAATACACTTAATTAATTTGACATCTAAATATCTTCACTGTTATAAAGTCATGGAAGTAAACTTTTGAGTCTGAATGTGGAAAGACTTTGACTTTGTACTCGAAGAGGAGGTTGAGACGACGTGGTGAAAGCATAGCGAGAACATTCTTTATTTCGCATGCTTATCTATCTCCAAGTTGCATGCTATTATGTGTGCGACAGTAGTTTTACACTTAATTATTAGTCTATGCATATGTACTTATACCTATGCACATAGATATAGATAGGTTGGTGGGTTTTATAATTTTGTACCGAATTTTTTTCATACGATTCCAATACAAAACTGCTCCCAATCTGAGGAGACGAGAAACAGAATGAGAGTCGTCTCTCTCTCGCCTCGTCTCAACTTTATTGGCTTCCGTTTATGTTGGCAGAGACGACTTTGCAAAAACTCAGGTTTCGAACCGTTTCCTGTGACACATTATTTACTACTTGTGACTACAATTTTCATGTTATGGAAGCTGACCTGTTCGCCTAATGTTAATAGCTTAGCCCGATTTGCAAAAAAAGTGTTTCGACTCCTCCGTGGCGAACAGAAATATGTGCATTCGATTTATTTGTTTCTCACTCAGCCTACCTGACACTTTTGGCAATTATTATCGATTAAGAAAGTTAATTTTATACATGAGTATTGCTCATTAGCGTTGAATATTTCTTAATCTTACAATTTTATTAAATTATCCTGAGTGTATGTAGATAAGCGAGGATGGATTACTTTATCCTGCACGTTGTTACCTCACCTAACGATCAATTAACGAAGCCAGTCATTAACATATTACAACAATTTGACTACTGACAATTACTGACATGCATAACTAATAAAATCCATGCAAATTCGGTGTGACTTACATCCTCTGCACATATTTTCTTTCACATTTCAGCGTCACTTTACCTACGTTTTCTTTGTGCATGAGTAATAAGACGATGGGTTTAGAGGAATTGCATAACATGTAAATAGCAGCGTTGTAGGTCGGTAGAAAAGAGAGAAACCATAAACCAAGTTGGCTGTTAAAACCAAAGGCAAAAGAGTTTGCATTTTCATTAGCGCTGCTGATGATGGTCTTTTTCGTATAGGGCATAATGTTTAGTTTTACTATATCACGTTACACCCATCCACATCATCTCCAAGAAGATTCACTTTTCCCATTCACTGCACTGACATTTAAACAAGGAGGAGTTTTGGTGGAGTGGATTTGGATTTACATTTGTGGAAAGTGCTGAGCAAACTTATACGTAATCCAACCAACTTGCCAACCAATATCATCATCACATTCAACCCTTTCTCTATCTCCCAGTGCTGTTCAGCTCTTTGGTTCATTTAGAAAGAAAAAAATGTGGGCCAAGCCCGTGTATTGCTGGCTGATGTGATGTTGTAGGTCTAACTAAAATGTTAAAATGAGCAGCAGCTCATCCAAAATACAATCCACCCAATGCTCACAGACACTTGGAGAGAGAGGCAGGGTTAAGTTTTATTCAATTTTAAATTCATCTCCCTTTCATCATTCATCTCATTTTTCATTTTTTGCAAACAATCATGATTCGAAACAGTCATTTACACCTGAACACCACTGAATCTCTCGCAGGAGGTGTCTGAGAGTGAAGTAACACTGCCATTTACCCCAGTTTTACTACAGTTTTGCTAATATTTCTATTTTAGAAGAACGAATTGCTTTAAACGGGAAGATATAACGAATAAATTGAGTGATATTCATTTTAAAGATTAAAGTTTTAATTTTTCTTGTTGCAAATCTTAAGCAACAAGTGAAAGCCTTCATAATAAATTTTTAAAGAAACAGAGAAAGGATGTGATGCAGTACTTAATAGGGAATTCACCTTGTTAAGAGGCCTTAAGCAAGAGTGCGGGTGCAACTTATTTGTGAAACTGGAGTGAAAGTATTGTTATCCAGAATGGAAAATTTGTTTAATCCGGTGTGGTGCAGAGAAGGGAACCTCCTACAAGTCAAACTTTGGTTGGAAGATACAGAAAATGATTTAAATCAAGGGTAAGTGAAAGTCAGAATTATGTAGAACAATGCAGATTACATAAGTAATTATTATAGGAAAACAGGAAATTATCGGCAAACCGTTTGTAATTTTGAAATTACAAAAATTGATCTATACAAACTAATCGATTAGGAAATTCATATACACAATACATCAATTTTTTAACCGGAAATTGGCCGGCAATTTATTAGTCACTACTAACACTGTTCAACTCTGCATTGAAATTACGCATGAAATTCATATTTTCAACACATCTTAATTGACCAGAGCTAATTTGCAAAGTGAGATTTGTAAAATGCTGGAGGAAACCGATTTTAAATTAACAGTTGGCCACGTTTGGTGCGAAGTGTGCAACAAATTACCAGCTTTGACCATGGGAGGTGGTGGTGAAGGAATTAGCTAATAGCATCAGAGAGGTAGAGAACCCTTCAGCTAGTTAGTAGGCTGCATGAATGATTACATTAAAAGTGTGCGTAGGTGGATTGGTGGTGAAAGTTGCTTGGTCTACGACTATTTACTACCTACGTAAGAAGTCGGCATAGTGAGACAACTGCAAAAGGAAGTTTTTAACTATCAAGCAGCCTCACCTTCCACCACCACCACCATCACAAAAAAATGAACTAGAATTATCATAGTCTTCCTCTCGTAATGTGACCACAACTCGCTTTACAATGGAGTAATAACAACCAAATTAGTGATGATGTAATGTTCTCTAGAAGCTAAATACGATTTTTATGATGATCCACTTTAAGCTTAAACGAATGTTTTGGATAGATCTAAATAAATCTTTTCATCAGTGAGATGCTCATTCTATTAAATGCTATGCATGAAAAGAAATCGTCTCAATTTTAGCTTCATGCATATTAACAATAGTCAAATTATGTGTGATGAGACTGCAGTTAAAAAATAACTGTGACGCTACCTGCATTTTTTCTTGTATGCATTTTTTGATGGTCAAACGTTCTATTTCCTTCACTGAACTGACCGCATAATTAAATAATTATTTGCACCCTTCCTCCAGGGATGACCACGGATTCAGTGCACTCCATTGGGCGGCCAAGTACGGTCAGTACAAAATCGTGGAGCTCCTCCTTCAGCGGGGGGCTCGGGTCAACGCGGTGAACAAAGGGGACGATACGCCACTCCACTTGGCCGCAGCACACGGACATCATGACGTGGCACGCCTGGTATGTCACATTTTGAGCCGTTTTTTGTTACTATCTCAAGTTGGAGATTTATGAGGAATTTGCCATTTTAAACCAGCCGACTACTTTGCCCACACATCCAGATCCTCCACTCATTCATATGTACAGTACAGATTGATGAGAGTATTTTAACACCATTTCCAAAGTTTCCGTACAACAAATATGTACAATAATTCCTTTGGTGTGTGGTAACTAGCTCCCATTCGCTCATGTGTCTCAATAGACTTGTAGAAATGTTGTGGTGATTCATAGCTTACAATATGCAGATCTGAATGCGTACAGATAAATAAACAATCATTCCTCAACTTTTTTTTTCAGTTGTTGCAACAGAAGGCGGAGGTGAACTCGATAAATGAACATGGGAACACGGCCTTACACTACGCCTGCTTTTGGGGGTATGGGGACTTGGCGGACGACTTGGTCGCCAAGTTTGGGGCGCTCGTCTTCGTCACAAATCGGGATGGCGACACTCCGCTGGACAAATCCAAAGGGGGGCTTTCCACGAAATTACATGGTAAGCTGCGTATGAAAAATGATTGCAAACTGAAAATCCTAAGACATGTTTGCATGGTCTGTGTACATATAAACAATTTGGTTTTTGGTGGATCGTGTTTGATCCGAGTTGTCGTATTCTTTCTTCCTTGTTCCGTTCTCTCAACTTCCTTCCTTCCGGTGAGTAAAGGATTGATTTGATTGTTATTTATAGATAGAGCCGTGGAAGCAGGACAGGATTTGAAGAAAATTCCATACAAAGATCAAAGCTGGCTGGGACTCAAAACTCATCGAAGTCGTAAGCGAATTTCATTTTCTCACTTGTTCTTATGCACACTTATGTACCCACCACGAGTGGCGGAGAGGGAGGGTGGTGGGGGTTTGGTGGGTGATGTGGAATCTGAATTAAGCTCACACAACACAGAAATAAGGATTCAGATTAAAGATCCAATTCACTCAGTCACCCACTAAAAATGTTCCTGGATGAACCTCTCAATAATAAAAGTAATGCACCGGTGGTACATATTATGTACAACAGACATATAACTCAGGATCAGTCGTGGTAGTCAAGTGACTGACTGACGACTCAGGCCGTTAAGCTTTAGTGTGCATATGAGTGTCGACATGCGGATGAATAAATGAGTCGACTTTTACTTCCTTCCTGTCTATCTGACTTCTTGTTCGTATGTAATCATATTAAATCCGATTTGGAGATGAAACTAACTAACAACTCCTCGTCCGTTTTTTTCTCTCTTTTTCGATGATGATGATGATGATGAGAAAGTCTGGGTGGCTTGAGTCTTTTTGCACCATTACTATTCACTGGTCTGAAATAGTCAGGGGCGGATTTTGTGGTGGCGACATGACTTTTAGCAAGGCATGCAAGTGATGTGGATCTAATTTAAATGTAAAGTAAACACGGTGAGGATGACAATCATCGAAATGCAGTAGGAAATCTATTTAGGATTGTTTTTAAGCCAAATTAGCTAAACATTTGTTATTATTTGGAATGACGGAGGAGTGAAGAAAATCCTTCTAAGACATATCTTTCTAGAGAAAAATGGGCATCACCATTAACACCCACATTGTTTTACCACCAAGAGACGCTTGACATTTGCATGAAGCCAGATTACATAGATGTGTATTTGTAGTACACACTTTTTTACACGAGGAGTCTTTAACTTCTTCTTGGGTGAGAAATTAGTGCTTAATTTAATTTTGGCATCCCCCTAATGAAGTGAACCGGAACTAGGGAATTATCCATGTCCCAGTTTAACTGTTTTTGAGTCAGAAATGATGAGTGACACATGAACACAACAAATTTGGTTGGATGATCACTACTAAAATTAAGTCAATGTATCTTTTCAATGGGAATACTAAGTAACGTAATTTCAAAAACTTATTTTAAGGTGATGCCACATTATCACGACACAAGGGGATTAACGTGAAGGACCTCTCCTTGACACAACAGTTGTCCGAGTCTCCCTCCAGCCAAACCTGGAAAGGGCGATGGCAAGGGAATGAAATTGTGGCAAAAATTCTAGTTCTTCGAGAATGCACTCCGAGGATATCGCGAGATTTTAATGAAGAGTTCCCAAAGCTAAGGTACGTTTGTACCGTAATTTGCTCATCAACCATATGCATTTTTTTGTCAGAAATCTGCAATGCCAAAAACATCTTATGTATGACATTTTTTCGTCCTTGTTTCAGAATTTTCTCGCACCCAAACATTCTTCCAGTTATTGGATGCTGTAATGCACCTCCAGGTAAAGAAATTAAAATCAACCATGATTTTTTGTTTTATTTTTATTTGAAATTATTTATTCCAGATTTGGTGGTGATTAGTCAGTTTATGCCATTCGGTTCCTTGTACAATGTGCTTCATCAAAATACGAATGTTGTTGTCGACTCTGTACAAGCCCTGAAGTTCGCCTTGGACATCGCTAGAGGAATGTCATATTTCCATAATTTGGAGAGATTCGTGCCTAATTATTACCTCAACAGCTACCATGTCATGGTAAGTTATGCATATTTACATATATGATTCATCATTGGTTGTGTCACGCTCAATCCTAAGTTGTACGTTTAATTTCAGATCGATGAGGATTTGAGTGCCAGAATAAGTATGTCAGATGCCAAATTTGGTTTCCAAGATAAAGGAAAATTGTACCATCCAGCATGGATGTCTCCAGAAGGTATGAATGTTATGAATGTACTTAATGCACTAGTTTGTATAGATAGGGTCTGTCAGAACCTGACGGATCGTGTCAAAATAAGTAGCATAATGCTAACAAATAGTTTTGTTATTACAGCCCTGCAAAAGAGACAATCAGAAATTAACTTTAAGGCTGCTGACATGTGGAGTTTTGCCATAATTTTATGGGAGTTGGCCACTCGAAATGTCCCATTTGCAGATCTCAGTCCCATGGAGGCAGGAATGAAGGTTAGTGCATAACTTTGATTAAACTCATCACTTGCAAAATTTGTTGACATATACGTAACATATTACTTTCACTTTCACCAGATTGCGTTGGAAAGTCTCAGGATTCAGATTCTACCCGGAATTTCACAACATTTGACAAAATTGATCAGAATTTGCATGAACGAAGATCCCGGAAAGCGACCTACATTCGACATGATTGTTCCCATCTTAGAAAAAATGCAGGCACATGCATCATAGATGGTTTTCTTTGAGTGAAAAAACACATGAGATAATCACTAAGAAGACAAGTCAATTACTGGAATTATAATGCCTCGCTATATAAATACACTAGACTGCTACATTATCCTGCAAAAGCAACTAGTTATATTTTAAATTCAATTTTTCCAATCAATCAAAATGGTTGTCTTCAGCAAATATGTACGACTTACATTAGATTTGTTAATTGCTTTTAAATTTGACCAAGCCGATTCCGACACTGTTCATTCGCTTTCGACTTTAAGAATACTAATAGTGTAATTATATACATAATTAATGGTTCAAGTCAATTTTGAAGTTCACTTTAATTGACATTTATTACTCCTAACTTGGTGTTCATTTAATTTTATTGCACATGTGCGTCGTACATACGAACGAAAACAACCATAGGGAATTATTATGTACTACCCGGTGTGAAAACCACTCGCGTAATTTTGCTTGACGAATTATTTGTCAATTATTCAATCAAAATTACTTTTTGTAATTCATCCACTAAGTCTACGAACACTGCCAATTTTTCATTTTCCTCTCTATCCATGGTGCAAAAGTAACTTGTCCCAACTAGAGCTGGAGAAAGATGAATGTTTTATATGTATAGATACATGAGAAGAGAAAACATATTTTTTCCATTGCCAGAATACAGCGGAATAATCCTAAACAACTGTCTAGTGTGAATATGACCTTATACAGTGGTAATATTAGTAGCATTATCTATGTATAAGTACTGCCTTATTAATCTTCGATAGAATTGTAACCTACGAACTAATGGGTATGAAGAGGAGTGCAAGGAATTTGCATAAGTAGTTATCGAAGAAAAATCAAAATTTTCACATAAAAACGCAACACGAGAACGGAAGGTGCTCTTAATTCTTTTTAACGACGTAATTTACAAGACTGGATCGAATTTGTATCGATTCGTCGAATAATATACAGTACCACAAGTTTGCCTATAACTAATCTAAAATTACCACTATTTAGAGAATTACAACAACGTACAATTATCTCTTAACCAACAACATCACCGGCTTTTCTACATACAATGTTGATGAGAGGGTAGTTTTATTCAGAAATTATGACATGCAATTTTGATAATGGTAATTTCCAGTTGGAGGATAATTTTGGGATATTTTTTTTTTCCCCTGCTAAATCTCGTTACAAAATCCAAATCTTATCCCATTGGGAGAAAAATGGCAAAATCGGAATTAGATTAGGCTTAACTTTGTAAGGCTATTTTTCTTAATCTGATCATATTCTTGTCAATTTTTATCGTCCAGCTGGAGTGAAATTGATTGTGTTTGACAAAAAACATAAATTTTCAAATCCAATCAATTTCACTTCCAAATCCTCTTGTTGAACAATGTCATTTGCATAGCGAGATTTAACAAGGAAAGTGTAATCTCTAAAATTACTCCTAGTGTACAATTGCCCTTAATCGAATATACATGTCGTAGAATGTCACAATCTTAAGAGGGGATGTTGTTCTACATGCTTTAAGTCGTCGAAATTAAAAAGAAATTAGGTTGAAATATGAAATATCAGCATTTCTCAAACCTTACGTGTAACTTGTAAATTATAAAGTGCCATAATCTGCAGCAGAGAAAGTACGAGAGAAAGTTACGAGGATATTAGAATATATTTAAATCGGTGTGCATGAAATATGTTTTGTATTTGTACAACGAATGTTAAAAAGAAAGTCAGTGTTTTATATGAATTTTGTTTCGGACAATGTGTATTTTGTCAATTGTCAACTGCAACAATCATACATATGTTATACATACATATAACCGACCATACTCTATTCAGGGATTGTCTCTCTACTATATTTTAATCTGTGTCTTATTATTGTGTAACGAAACTTTAAATTTATATAATTTGGTAAATTGTGCAAGTCTCGAAGCCAATGGGAAGTGTATTTAGCATAGCAGTGTGCCTTCATAACGTTTACTAATAATCCTACCAAAAATGTAATTGCTGTCAATCATACAACTCCAAACCAAACAAAAAAGTAGCGTTCCAATGTCAGAGATCAAATGCGATCATAATTTTAAAAACCAATCTGGCCTATGCCTACATACATACATAAGTACATGTGTAAACTATATGTAACGAAGCGAAAGTATGTAGAAAGTATTCGAGATACAGAGTTCCGCGAGCATGCAAAGAATTTGGATGTCTCAATTTCAAAATTTTTTTTGGAATTGCAAAAATGTAACCTTATTAATCAACGTCCAATCGAACTCGACCAGATCGTACTTGACAGACTAAACATCGCAATCAATGCAATTACAAATATATGTATTAAATAAGCTCGTCTAACTTGTAAAATGCAATGTTGTCCATCCATCCATCCAACCAACCAATCAACCGTAAACCAACCACCAATTCGTCCCGTTGTAGTATTTAAATAGTAACAAATGACCCCAATACCGTACCACCACTGACTAAGATTGATATGTATTAGTTAACCATGAAAGTATTAATGTGGAATAAAGTCTAATTGAAATAACACATTTTTGAAGAAGGATCGACATGCAGATTTATTTAGAATTCGTCGTCGCCATCCTAACTTCGCATTACATACATCAGTCATCTTCTAAAGAATTTGCATTCTAGAGTAAAGAACTTTTGCAAATTTGGTGCAAATGGTCAATTTATTAATGTCAGTGGAATGAATAGCGATGTAGAATGCATTGCATGATTTCTCTTCATAATACGAACAAGTAAGTAAAAGATTGCTTCTATTTGTTGTTATTATGTAATGTGTCACGACACGACGACGACGATTTGTCCTGGGCAGATTACTAGCTCGTTGAGTTGAGAGAATTAAGTATAACCCTTCACTTAAAAACTAAATTTGGTACGTTGTATGTAGGTTTGTCCTGCAAATTGGGTGCGTGTTGGGAGAGGGGGTGGAGATCACTCCTACAGACATGCAGCAGCAGAGAAACAACTATAAAATGTATGCAAAGAGTGACATTTGACAGGAGGAATGAGACCAGGATTGCATTCACCAAGTAAGTACGAAGGGATTCAAGGGGATATTATTGACATGTCCCTCCTGTCAACGCCTGATTAACTGGAGAGCGCCTGAGAAATGAGACTTTTATGGGGAGGAGCTTTCAACTCCGTTTCTTTTACACTTACAACAAGCTCGGATTTTTTTCTTTGAAAATTTTCATAACATTCTCATCCTCCAGCAATCTATAAAAGTTCCTCTTCTGCAGTTGAAAAGTGGGATTTGACGCTATATCATTTTCTTCATCCTGCCACCGTCCGTGGACGTTGTGGCAGCGTGGAGAATGAAAAAAACGATGCAAACGACGACCATGTTTTGAAAGGGGATGAATAATAACTCAAGAGATTAAAGTTTGATTTGCATTTTATTTTCAAACAAGATTTTCTAAAAAAATGTGCGGATATGGATATAATTACAACCTAAACAAGAAATACATACATATGGATATATGTACATGTACTCTACAGATTATTAGAGATTCAGTGCTTTCCGTACTACGTTCGACTACACTTTTCTCAAAATAATACGAAATTCTGCAAATCCGAATCTTGTGGCAAATTATTTTCGAACGTGCTTCCAGATAATCGTGATTCGAGGTGTGAGACGAAGTTGAGGAATTGAAGATTGAGACAACAAACGGAAAAGTTTTCATCGAGCCAATCCAACAGCTGGATAAGGAATTGATGAAAAATGTGAAGATAGCGAGATCGCATCATCACACACGACACGCAGTAAAAGTTCATGGTGAGATGTGATGCGAATGATCTCATGTATGCGAATTGTACGAGAAGACAGACGAGCATCATTCACATTCAAGTGTTTTTGATACGATTCCTACGTTTCGATTGCACTGCATTTTGCATGTCCTCACTGACTCTCTGGATTATGGGTCGCTTGACGATGCTGCTGCTGCTGGTTACAAACAAGACGACGACGAAGACGTCTCAGCAGCAGCAAAAGCTCCAATACCAACATGAGCCGTACATATACAGGAGTCTCGTCTTCCTCTTGTTGTGACTTCTTCCACTTCTTCAAGATTAGGGCGATGACTCTAAATATAGGAGGATGAGTGTGAAGATGGAAGCTAAATATAAAACTGATTTTTCACGGAAAACATTCAGTCCTCATCAAGTCTCCCAATCTTCAACTCCAGTTTTGGCCCGCATTGCCCCTCACCACGGAATAATTAGTTAGGATTAGTATTTAAGAGTGAAATTAACTACATATGTAGCCGTGATTGAGTAATAACTGAATAGGTTATGTACCACAAGAGCCGAAAAGACAGTGACCATTTTTAAAGACGCCTGCATGTGGAAAATCTGAAATTCAGGGAACTTGAGACTTATTTTTCGACAACGCTGGAGAAAGTTGATTGAGTTGTATGACAACTGAATACACGTGTTGCCTTTTGTTGTTGTAAGCAAAAGTTTTTGGTCGTCTCTTGTGGGAAGTTATTGGCTGGTGAAGACATCCATCATCTTGTTCGTCATCGGTGTTGGTGTGTGATTCACCAACATGAAGCTCCACTTCATACTGGTGTTTCTGGGAGCTTTTTTGCTTCTTCTGAGCACAGGTGGATTTTTACAGCATTTATGCCACTCAAATTTTTGTTCCAGGAATAGTTTGAATTTTGATGAAAATGACAGATTTTAATATTTTTCATAGACACGGGCATCTCAGCAGCTCGTAACAGTCGCGTCCTATCTCTTGCAGAACCATCTCATGGTTCGTTTCATCATGGAAATCATGGAAAACCGAGGTTGGTACATATGCATTTTTTTAGCACTGCGACATGTGAAAGTTGTCAAATTCTATGGATTTATTTCATGACATGTAATAATGAAAGGTCGGAGGAGTAAAGAACTCATAAAAATTTAGACAAATCAAGTAGCCACACACATTTTAGCAATGATTATCATTCATAAAGAAAGCAATGTGCGTAATATTTTTATTATACGGCCATTCAGAAAATCCCAGAGATTGATGATTTATTTGTGTAGGAGTAGTAAACACATTCATAAAGCAGATGCAAATTTCTTTGACGTTGTCGGTAATAAAATTTGCATTTACTCTAATTTTTGCTATTTATAATTGGATACTGAAAAAGAAATGGAGCAAGCCCTCCCCTTACAATTAGACATCGAGATCGGCTCAAAAGTAATACCTGGAAATGCAGGAAATATGCGTAGATTGCTTCCGCATAAGATTTTTCTACTAAATCATGTAGTTCCGGATGAAATACATACGCCCTAAAAAACAGGTCTATATATTATGTGACAACGTGCAATTACATAACTGATGTAATTCCATTCCAGCCTAATGTCACGGATTTCGGCATCAAAGTTAAGAGATTTGGCATGTCTTGAACAACATCCCTCTCTCTCACACACTCACACATAAGCACACATTTTATATTACGTCATTCCATTTAACGAGGATAGATTATGAGGGACAAATTGTGACAGAAATTCAATACAAGTCTTTATGATGTACGGAAAGCTCCATTCCGTCTCCGAGTCACATTTCTTTACAGCCCCGTCTTTCTTTTCCCGTTGAATTTGAAAAAGATCTGAGAATTGATAAGATCCGGCCAACATTCGGATTTGTTTTTGAGTACAAAAACGCCAATTTGTCAGTTAGTTTATTGGGTAAAAAAGTGGAAGGAAAAAGCAGATGTAAAACCCCAAGAGTCAAATTAGCAATATAATGTCGGTATATAAAATGAAATGAAATAATTAATTTTTGTTGGAGTCATCCCAAAAATTGTGATAAGATCAGGTCGCACAGTCTGCAATTTTATTTTATGAGTTCATTTCTTGACTAACATTTTGCGGAAGGAACGAGTTTTTGTTCGAGTTTGTAATTACCTAATAATGATCAAGACAGACAAGTGCAAACTCATTAAGAAAGAGTTAAAATTAATAAATGAATGTTGACCTTTAACAACACAGGGTTATCCAGTCATACGAACCACCAAATAAAGCATCCACTATGTCGACGAACTCGCCAATGGTCACTGCAAGTCGTACTAACAAATGGCATGTCCATTGAAACCTGAATCTTGCATTGGTTACATATCTCTCTCTCTGGCAAGGAAATGCGTAAATCTGTTATCTAACGAAACTGTTATCATCTAGTAGCTTTTTTATCTATCTCTTTTATGCAGTTGTTTACTAGACATTATTCATCCAAAAGTGTTTACATAAACCATTAAAACAACTGCAATTAAATGGCATATAATATTTTATTTGCATACTTTTTGCATCCGGTAGTTACTTACCAGGCCAGGAGAAAATTTCGACTCATGTCTGCATTCCACGCTGATTATTATTTTAGATCAAAGGTTCTCCTCCGAATCCATCGACAGGCTGAAGACTCTTACGAAGAAGGTGGTGAGTACGAATACGAAGAAGAAGAAAATCCAGCGGGTGCGGAAACACCCAGTGAGCCCAGTGAAGCCGTAGAAGAGGAACGAGAACGACCCACATCAAACCCTCCAAAGGAAACTGATGCCGACGGAGAATATTATGATGGCGACAATTACGACGAAAAGGCCGAAGAGGAAGAAGCAGCTCAAACGACACCTGCTCCAACAACGACTACAACTTACGCCACCACCACGACGACAACCACGCCGGAACCATACCACCAAACCACCTCCATGGAGCACATCGAGGACGAAGATCACTACGAAGAGCGATATGAAGAGGAGCGACGAAGATATGAGCAGGAGACGTTGCGTCGACAATATGAAAATACTCACGGGACGGAGTCGTCAGTCGAAGAAAGTCCGGAAGACAGAGGAAGGGAGCAGCCTCATTCAGAAACGGATGATATGGAGCCAACCACGCATGAGGAAAGTGAGACTGAAGATCACGAGGAAGAAAGTCCAGAAACTACGTCCACAACCACCTCCCCACCAGAAGAAGAAGCTGAAGAGGGGGAGGAAGAGAATACTTTGGAGGAAGTGGAGGAAGTTCCAACGCAACCACCACCTTCTCAGCCGCCTCCTCAAGAAGTGGAGACAGAAGACGAGGGGGAGACAGTCGCAGTTGGAAAAACAGACAGTGTGGAGATTGAGGAGAGTGGACGCACGGATCTGGAACGTTACACTGGAGGGGGTGCAGGGCGTAATCGATACAATGGAGAAGTTCAAGAGGAGGATGACGAATATAATGAAATTGATGAAGAGCAACACGAAGTAGAGGAAGTTCCTACTACTGCATTCACAACGACGACGTCAACCACCACAACAACCACGCCAAAACCGGACGACTTTTATGGGCGGAGACGTGACCCTTACGAGTACGAAGTTGAGCCACCTCATGTTCCCACAAATAATAATCATTTGGAGGAAGAGGAAGAGTATTACGACGGAGAGAAAGAGTCTGTTGAAGAGGTGCAACCGTCTACTACAACGACGACGACGACAACGACCACCACCACTCCAGCCCCACCACCCCCGCCTCCAGATAATGAACTCGAGTCGGAAGAGGAGGAGGAAGAAGAAGAAAGTCCACGCCAGCCAATTCACCCATCGTCAACTGATAACAACAACAGAGACCCTTATGACGACGAGTATGAAAAACCAAAGGAAACTCATCAAGACATTACATCTCATGAGAAAATCGAAACGCTGGAGTATGAAAAGGAAGACGAGGAAGAAGAAGCACCACCAGTGACTTCGACCACGACAACAACTACCACCACCCCTCCACCACCACCTCCTACAACAACAACCACACAAATTCCATCATACTTTCGACCCTACGACGAGTACGAAGAAGAAGATGACGATGACGACAGCGACGGGTACGACTTATTTTCCAGGACGACATCAACAACCCCGGAACCGACCACTACCACCACCACCACCACCCCGAGCACACCTCCCCCACGATACGTCGAGGAAGGTGATGGGGATAGCTCAGAAAATGAAATATTCCGAAGACCGAACCCTTATGAAGAGGAAGAGGAGGAATCTGGCGAGCACATCCAAATCGATCAGGCCAGGAACCAGTACGAAATTACTCCCACGGAAGACATCCCCAAAGAAAGAGTAATTGTTGAAGAAATCATTCCAAAAATCGAATGTTTCGCTGGTCACACGCTCTCCTACGATGGAAAGGAATGTGTTGGTAAGGTTTGTGTTTTTTAATACATTTCTTTTTCATTCCAGTTTTTCTCTTAACGCACATTCCACCAAACTCCTCATTTGCTTCAAGGTTTTTTATTTAAATTCCGTTGTCCTGTTCTGAACTTTACGAACAGCACAAACTATTTACACACTAATCGCAACACGAACCAGCACCACCCTCGTGTTTATTCAGTCAGCCACGCTGTGCGTTTTATCTGCAGCCGAGAATATCTTATGTGTTATTCTTTTACTTATCGTCCTTGTTTATCAAGATGATCAACTTCCAAAATTATATTTTAACCGATACACGTATGATTTGTGTAATCTGTTTTTGTTCATGGACTTAAAATTCGAATTGATTAAGAAATTGCCTGGTGCAGAAAGAAATACAAACCCAGTTTTCCGAATTCATTCCTCCTCCAACAACTGCTGTCTCCTTTGGTGATAATCAGTTACAGCTGCAAAGTTGACTTGGAACATTGACAATTGTTTTTGTAACTTGTCAAACTCAAGCGAAAGAGAGATTCACGCTTCATCTCGTCACCACACATTTTTGTTGCCTTTGATTTGAGGCATAGGGATCCCTATTTCGATTGAGTTTCAAGGAAAGGATGGGAATTTCTTGAACTTTTACGCTGATTAAATTAAATTACTTGATGATTGGAATTTTACAAATAATGACATCCATACCAGCAACAACTAACTAAACTTAAAATTGCTTCATGTTTAATTAAACAAGTGTCTCACTTTGGTAATGAAACTGCACGGTCTCAAGTTGCCTCATTACAAGTCTTTGGTAAAAAAACATGGACCATGGTTTATTACTAAAAATGAAGGAATTGGTCAATTTCACCCAGTTGTGGAGGTCGATGGCATGAAAACTGTTGATAGTTGAGCGAGATCAACAAGTCCATTAATAACCAAGAAAAGATAATCAAGTAACGTTAATTTTGCAAACAAATTCCAGATGAGAACGAGTGCGAAACTGATGTTTGTGGTCCATCGCAAATTTGTCATAACCTTCCTGGTTCGTATAAATGTGTTTGTGAAGCTGCTGGCTACATTGTGGACCCCAGGTTAGTGTTTCTCTTCATATATCAATAATAAGCACGTACTTGGTTGTATGTACATACTGCATTCATTCCTTATCAAGTCGCACACACACTCTCGTCACTTTATTGCGAACAAGTACACAAATATGGAACAAGCATACGAAACTATCATGTCATCCTTATGCCGAATGTCTCTCATAATCTAATGTGTTTGCCAGAAACCCAAGACTTTGCCGAGATTTAAACGAATGTCAAAGTGCCAATGGGGGATGTGACCAGGATTGTATCAATGTGCCAGGGAGCTTTTACTGTGCCTGTGCTGATGACTTTGACTTGAGTCCGGATGGAAAACGATGCATGAGAAGACCAACACCAATGCCCACGACTACTACAACAACCTCGACGACGACACCTCCGCCAGTGACGACCACGACGACAACGACGACAACAACAACCCCACCACCACCTCCACCGGTAAAAAAATTGAGACGAATGCTAGAAACTTGTTGCATTGAAGCTCGTAATTTGCATTGTTTTTGCAAAAAATATAGACAAGAAGACCACCGCCTACCACAACTACTACAACTTCTGCCCCTCGAAATGTCTTCACTCAACCGGTGGGAGTACCAGGGGACGACTTCAGCGTAAGGAATTGTCCCACACCTCCTGTTCCGAGAGGTGCTGGGATCGCATATCTTTACTGCTCTCGAAGTCCGGTGGGAATACATCATCGACACAGTCAGCTCGAACGACGCCTCCTCCACGACTGGGCCGCTAGGAGGAATAAGACCCAGCAACAAGGGGGAAGGAACAACCTCCGTTTTCGAAATAGACGCACCCTGCTCAAAAGAAAGTCGAGACAGACGACGTACTCTCCAGGAAGTCTGTGCGAGTTGAGATGTCGACCAGGATTCCAGCTCAAAGGTCAATACACACTTAACTGTAATTCATCAGATGGAACTTGGCATGGAACGCAGAATGGATTCTGTCAAGGTAAGAGATATCTTCCGTATATCCTCCATAGTTCTATTCTAATAGAAAATAATAGAATACTGATATATGTGCTGCTGAATAAAGAGTAGTTTGTAAACTTTGATAACAAAGGTTTACTCCTCGACAACGGCTTTGAGTTTAAGACTGAGGAGTTTGATTTTTTGCTTCATTTAAACAGCCATTCCAAAAGGTGACAACCAAAATGTGGGAATTGGATTATCCGAGTCAACGCCGTCAAACGAAATCCCTCGGCTGGCACCCAATAATGAAGTTTCCGGATCCGGCTTCAATCAATTCAGACCCACATTTGTAAATCTTCCAACTTCTCCTCCGAGCACAACCACGCTCCGGCCGACCTATTATCAGCCACCACCACCCGCACCTACATACTCGAGACCATTCAGACCAGAAATAATATCGAGACCATTTCCTACAACGCCTGCTCCTACCACGACGACAACCACCCCCACCACCACCACTGTCCCGTCTACAACCACCACCACGGAACGGTCGACGTACTGGACAAAGCCACAGCAACCGAACCGACGTCCATACTACTTTTCTCCGTCTACCCCATACCTCAACATTTATAGCACTAAGCCTGTGACCCCCAGTTATAGCTTGCCACCACCAGCAGTGACTTTTCCCTCGACCACGACGCCAACCACCACCACAACCACCTCCACGGCCTCGAGGAACAGCTATATTCATCTCACTTACCGTATGCGGCTCACTCTTAGGGAAACATGTTAAACGTTAGAGCTCGTGCATAAATTCGACTCAATTTCAGGTTTCAAAACGCCATGGATCAAATGCCCAGATGACATAAAACTAGATTTGCCTCCTAATCAGAACACGGTTTATGTCACAATCCCACAACCCCAAACGAATGTGGACTGGTGGAGGTAAGTATTGTGAGAGTTCTTTAATTGTAATGAGCAACCTACGATTGAAAATTATTTTGTTCCATGCTCAAATGAAAAATTTATCGCTGCGCTGCTTTTAAGTCTCGGAATTTTCTCTCATTTTGCACATACGTATGTGTGAAGAGTGCATGATTATTTGATCTGACAAAGCAATTGTCTTGATGGTATAGACAAGTGACAGCCGAACCATCCTGGGCGAAAGGCCTGGAGTCGGAGTCTGGTCCGGGTAAACAGCGGATCACATTTAGGGCACGTACCGCAGCCTCGTTGAACAACTCTGCCGAGTGCTCCTTCACATTGGAAGTCAGAGGTTGTAATTTAAATCTGCATTCATGCGTGCATACGAGTGCATACCTCTCCTGGAATCGCTTAAGATGGAATGCCATTAATTTATTTCTCTTTTTTATTTCCTCCTCCTCCCATCTCGTACAACAAATCAGATAACGAACCACCCCGAGTCAGAGAATGTCCAGAATCCTTTTCCAGCCGGTTGAGCCAGGGCCAAAGTGCTAAACCCATCATGTGGATGGAACCTCATTTCAGCGACAACGTGAGGATTTCGGCTTTAAAGAAATCTCACGAACCTGGATCCGTCCTTTCGGTTGGGGAACACTTGATAAATTATGAAGCTAAAGACTCTTCCGACAATAAGGCACGCTGTTCCTTCACCATCACGGTCTTTCCCCGTAAGAACAAATTCCTAGATATTTGTTCGCTATGCATACTCACTCTTCGGATCTAATCCGATAAGTAGCTCATCAATAAATTTATTATTTGCATTGCATCCATGTGTCTATAAATATGTCTATAATTGTAGCCGCTGCATCATCTGCATTCAACCACCAACCTTCCGGGAACAGTAATAGCAACTTTAATCACCGGAAACCAGTCAATATGGAGGGAGTAGTCCCCACGTCAACCACTACCACTTCTGCTAAGCCAGAGGTCCATTCGTCCATGAGAAATGTCGTGTGCTACGTGGGCAAAAAAGGGAGAAGGATAGTTTTTCAGTCTGTACGTACACTTCTTCTGTCTTTCAGGAATTATATGAAGCATCCGCGTCATGATGATATTTTGGAAATTCGTGTTGTATTGTATTGTTTATTTTTTATTCTTACAGCGAGTAGTGCCACGGGGATGCTCTGAAATGACGGTTGACATAGCAGGCGACGCAGCTGGACATGGACAGAACTCTTTCAACACGATGAACACCATTACACAAAACTCTGACGAGAATTCTGCAACTTCTCAAATTTCAAGTGTCAGTTTTTCAAGTCATGATCATCCCCAACAAGCTTCCGCCTTCAGCCAGTCGGTTTCCAATGGGAGGAACAATAACCGACTCGTTCACTCCACCTCCTCCGTGACGAATGGGGAGCATGGGACGAGTTCGAAAGCTTCCAGCTATGCAATCGCTGTGTCCTCGTCCTCTCGGAATTTTGATCTCCCTTTCCTAAATCCGGACAAGCAGGTGTACGAGGAGGACTTTGTGGTGCCAAATCAGCCTCCTCAATCTAGCCCGACATCGATCTCCGCTAGGACGCAGGACTTCAAGACGAGGTCAGGAAGTACCCGGGAGGAGACAGGAGGTTATCGGTACGGATCACCCTCATCCTCAACCCCACCAAATTACAATAATCAAAATTACTATAAAAATAGCAGTGGAAAATATTTCAGACATTTCGATACTTGGGACACTACAACGAATTCGTATGCTTATAGAAACAGAGAATGAGACTAAAGTAGGCTGTAACCCCTTTTATATTATTTTATTCAAAGGTGTAAAAAAAGTAATAATTTCTGTGCCACCATCTTCCATTCGTCATTCGTAGGCAGTCACTGTTTGTCGATTTTATTGTTCTTCCATTTTTCCTTAATATGTCATTTAAACCGTTACTTTACTCTTTACTGACTGTAGTATTTGACTAAAACTGCCTTAATTCAGTAAGTAAATTGTGCTAATGTTTAGATGCACGTTTGTAGCGCCAGTTCTTTGACAATTGATAGAGCAGTAACTTATTATTATTCATTTATAAACTATACATAGATATGATCATTGTCTTGCAAATCCCTGCCCAGCCTTGCTCCACTACTGCATTGGCACCTTGCAATTCTCCGAATATATTGTTGATATGTAGGTACGTCCTCCTGGGGTTAAGTATTTTTGCAAGTCTACTACTGCTCAGGAAAATTCGTAATCATATTCCACTACAAATACTTTTAAATAATTGTTACATAATACAGTAAACTTAAGTATGTACGTTAGTTTAATTGATAATCTTTAACTTAATCGAGACCAAAAACCTTTCCAAAACTAAGTCCTTTCACCCGAGAGTCGATTACTCATTTCTATGTGCAATAAATACACCATTGATTCTTGATTATTCTTAAAATTACTATTAATTGTTATAAACGTTATAATTGTATTAAAATTTCTGTAGAATAAAACCATCACGTGAACAAAATGCGCTAGGTTAATCACAAATTAGGGTGGATTTTCATACGGATTTTCATACGAACAATAATCATATCGGTTCATGTTCATACCTCGGTTTCTTGGCTGCTAAAAAATAAGCCGGCTTTTTATAAGAAAGGGGTTTTTGAGGGGTTGGATCGCACAATACGTAATACGTATATACGCAATAATCTAACAATATGCACCTGTTGCTCCTTAATAACACGGATCGCATTTGTTGTCAGCTCTGTTGCACTGGACAACGCTCCGCCTTCGCCATCGTTTTTGTATCCCACATGCTAAAAAGCTTCGGTTTTATGTACAAACATATATATTGTACAACGACTCTACCTTTTTACATTATGCTTCAGGCTAGTAGAACTTCATTCCATCAAAAAACCTGCTAAAAGGGTGAGTAAAGGTGTGTTCCGTCATCGACAATAGGCGTTTTCCATTGTTGTAGGGTTGACATTATTAGAAATTGTTAGGAAAGTATTTACCAATTCGGTACCAGAAATTGTTTGTAAACATTTTCATAGTCTACGACCCGACTTGAAATTGATACATAAGTTTAAATTTTTACCCTCAACCAGGTAAAAAGTTACTCGACCACTTTTACCTGCGGAACTATGAGACATGTCTATTTTAATTGATACCGACGAGTGGAAAAATAACCCTTGGTACCAAATTCACGGAAAGCAGCATTCAGACTACACCGGATTCTACGTTGGAATAAGCATCTGCACCATCGTGGTTCTAGGACTCATCGCCATCAACGTGGTTATCTGTTGTTGCACCCCGTACAAGCAGTACTGGAGAGACCCCAATACGGGAAATAGGTGAAAATTCCTCAGTAAAAAAACGTACAATTCATAGCATAAATTTCCATAGTCGCATCCTCTTTTTTACGCATAGACTCCTACTTCCGGTCTTCATCCAATCACCCCGTCAACAACCACCCCTCACTCTCCAACCAGAGTTGACCGCTCTCCAACCCCAACCTCACCCCCAACAAGAAGTCTAACAAGCTAATTTAAAAGTCAAAATGTTTCACATTTGGTGGCCTGCAACCGCCTTCATTGCTATTTTCATCATGTTCACCATTCTTATCATCCTCATGTACGGAGACCGGATGTGTGGTCGGATGCAAGAAAATCGGACCCCGATTTACCGGGAACCACATCGCCCCTCCACTTCCTCGTCCTCGGCCCATCTTCGTCGGGGGGAGGAGGAGGAGGGCGAGGAGTTGCAGTATCGTGAGTCGCCCCCACCCCAACAACGCCATCCCCACCAACACCAACTCCAACACCAGCAGCAGCAGCAGCACCTCCATCAGCAGCAACTTCACCAACAACAACTTCACCACCAGTACGACTACCCCCCGGAACACATTGAGCAGTATGAGGAGAGGGAGGTGGGGGGGTTGGAAATGCAGCAGCAGTACTACCCCAGGAAAACCTTTAGTAGGGAAGCTGAAGTTTAAATTTTTAATGATCAATCATTTACATTTTCAAAAGTTGTCTTGCTTATTTATATGCAAGTAGTTTTTTCATATTTTCAATTTCTCGATAATATCTGCTGAAAATAGAAATTTTCATAAAACCGGGTGTTGCTTCTGAAGGAGATGTTTTTTTCTATAACTTTTTTAAATAGTAACTCGACAGCTTTATCTCAAAGAAACGTTACATGACTATAATTCTGAAATGAAAAATGAAATGAAAAAAAATCATGACAAATTTGATGAAAAAATGCTTTAACTCAACCAGGAATTTTTACCAGTGTTTCCAACAATTTTTAGCCATGTAGTATGTAATACTGCCTCTCTTTAGAATGTGTCTCTCTGAAATAATTTAATACATGATATGCAACAACTACATACATATAACATATTATATATCCTTTTTAAATAATAATTGTAATGCTAACTTTACTACTTTTGTATGAGATATGGGATTTAAATAAATTTTTATCAGCCATGAAAAAATTATATTATGTCCGTTTTTTTCCTATCATTTAGAAGAAGCATGAAAGGTCACAAATTTCGAGAACACGTCAGACGTGTCAATTTTAGCAAATTTTTGAACGGCAAAAAATATGTTCTTATGTTCTTACAACGGTTCATTTTTCATTAAATACTTTATTTATTCCCTTATTTATTGGAATGGTTTTGAGTACAATGGGCGTGTATAGCGGTACTAAATTTAATATTATTCTTATTTTATTTATTATTATTTACTTACGATAATTTGCTTGTTCCTGGAATTTTGGTACTAAAGGCTACAACAATACAACAAAATAATTAATAACACATTTACCTTATATCCGGCGCAGACTCACACATATTTAGTTGACAGTTCGTAAATATCTTGCTTTCTTTCTTCCTTTTGAATACCTTTTGGAGATACATATACTGCACAACACAATCTCATGAGACACATTTCCATAATACATTTCAGTATAAAATAATAAATTGAATTGCATCTAGCTCTCTCTGGTTCTAAGTATTTCTTAAAGCATTGTCCATACCGTGATAAAGTGATGGATAAAGTGATGGTTGTCTTAAAAAAGCGTGACTAAAAATCAAAGTGGGATAAAACGTTTGTTTTTCACGAAATGAAATATTTTAGGGACACGCACGACGACCCACCACCAATGATAACGGTGATGCTGCATGTTATTTTCACAAAAAAATAAATTTGTTCATCCTGTTTGGTCGGACAAATTTGGAATTAAAATTTAAATAATTATGTAACAAACTTTTAAGACAATCATTAAACGTAACAATAACAATAATAATAATACATAATATGTAATCTAAAATAAAATCGCAGAGGTAAATATATAATTATAATTAATGTACCGAATGTCATCTGAATGAGATTGAACAAAACACAACACAATTACAAAATACAAACAAAAACAGAGAGATCACTGATATCAGGTTTAGGTTACATTTTTTCCCTATACTCACTCTTCTCCATCTACTTTCTCTAGCTTTCTTCAAATAATATAGACGTGTTTGTTGTACCATTTCTGTGGTTCCGGTTTCAAGGATTATTTATAGCTGAATGTTTTTTGTAATAATAATAATAATCAATTTTAAAGCAATACTCTCGAAACCTCAAATTTTACGGCTCAGCATTAGTTATTAGGTTGGTATTAGGCAGGTAGGTTTGTCGTGATTAAAATGGGTTTTATTTAGCAGCAAAATGATGAGTGCTGATGTTAATTTCCTCTCCTGATGATATTAATTATGGTGGCAAAGAAATAATAGATTTTCTCTTCCCATGCTGTAATATTGTACTTGAACTTGTCATTTTGCAAAAATGTACACATTCTTCAGGCAAAATCAAGAATGTTTCCAACTTTTTTTGAAAGAATGACCCCTCAACTATTTTTTAGTACTACTACCTGCATCACAATTTGTTATCTGTTTCAATTTTGCACTAATTTTTGCATTTTTTTGTTTAGAGTACATCGATATACCAGTGAGTGCTTTCACACACTTTCACTTTCACCACCATGCATGATGCTATTCTGCATTTTGTAGTATTGGAGGTTTTTTTATTATGCTTTGATTCATTGTAGAAAAACAAATTTAGCAGTCTACAAATTACTCTGTCTATTCCGTTAATTCGTACTTGGTTGGTATTTTACTAATTTTGCTCCTTTTTTTACTATTTACTTACTGCAACTACTTGCACTATTCTCGAATAATTTCTGTGTTTAACCTGGAAATCTCTTTGCATACTCGTACATGAATCATCATGGGTGATTATTATGCCTTTATATCTAAAGATTTAGAAGAGGAGGTCTTGTTATTTGTATATTACCCGTTCCATCCCGACTATGGAATTTTCCTTAATTGCTCATCAAAATTTGTGAGTTACATAGTAATCAAGAGAGTTGCTTATGCAATTGTGTTGCAAACTCTGTTATATTCTCTGGATTACTATGCCGTTGAATTTTAGATATACTATTTCTGATTATTTTGCAGGTTAGAGTAATTACTAAAACAATCATTGCGTTTTTAAGCCATTTTACGTACATACAACCGATAAGTAATATAATAAAGTTAGGGATTGAGTTTGGTTCGTTATATAAAAAAGTGTGTAATAAGTACAATTTGAATCAGGTTATATTACTTATTTAGTCAGTTTCTGCCATGATAGTAATATCCAAATAAAATAAAATACTTGGTAATTTCTGCTGCAATTAAACAAATGTGCAGCAGGAGGAATATGTGACTCTTTTTTACCGTTTCGTGGTTTAATTGTATCTGCGGCGTGTGAATGATTTGAAACGAGTTACAAATGATTATCATGATCGGATGCAAATTTAAAATATTATCACTCACTTGTACAAAAGGTAAGGGCTTTGGAATATAATATACTGTCTGTTTGTAGTAGTAGTAGTATAGTGGTAGCAATATGTGACAATGTGCTATTGTGTGTCGATATTAATATAATTTCGTCTTTCGGTATTTGGCAAAGCTGCACTAACACAATAATTAATTGGGTTCTGGATTTATGCACGTCAATGGATCGTGATGATGCCGTGGAGGAAGAAGAGATGGAGGACGATGATAATATTTCTCGCAGGGTCTGAGCAATATGTTTTGATTGTGTGAATTTAACTAAATTGATAAACGGACCATTAATTATTATTACTATTAGTAGCAGTATGTGTGTACCATTTTACTTCATGGGGAGGGGCGTGGATTGCTGCGTGTTGGTTGGAACTGGTTTGCTTTGGCTGGAGAATTTGATGCAAGTATTCAACTGTTCGAAAGACTTAAGAAAGACTGTTCTAGGCAATGTTTTAATTCTGCGTAGGTTGTTATTAATATACTTTGCTCGTCGTGAGACATTAGGCAGACCTGGGACAAGGGAAAATGAAACAAAATCATCAATTTTCTTTTATCTATAACTTGTTACTTAATTCAGTTGATACTCACGACTAGTTTGAAAGATGTGTATATACAATTTTACCTTATCATTAGAACCAGAGTCCAGTCGGTTTAGGCAGTACACTACATGCGACAAATCCAAGTATGGTCGTCCATCCGGTGTCACTTGGTGGAATACGTAATCACGAAATAATTTTAATAAATAACGGTCCCCCGTTTCTGACCAAGCTGGGTCCATGTTAAATCTGAATAAATGAATAGATGAGAATATTTAAGCTTCGGTCTAATGTTTTTTGTAAAAGTGATTAAGCAATTAAGGTTTGAATTTTTTTTACTCATTTCTTTCCAGGACCGAATTGAGTTTTGCAATCAACCTAAAAAGTCTTGAGAAGAACAAATAAAATATTAAAGGTTTTATAAAGGCTTTATATTGTAATATGAATGAGAACGGAGGGAATTTTTACCTTCCATTCTCCAACTCTTTAGTTAAAGCATTCTCCAAAATTTCTGCACGGGCATTTGCAGAATCTAATTGGTTGTAGAATCTTGCTCCTATCATGGGCATTATGTCGTTCACAGAACGTGTAGTTCCAGCAGCACGAGGGTTCATTAAGTATCCAATTAAGTTTCTCAAGTCCGCAGAGTACGTCCGAGATATTAAATCCATAGAGGTGTTCAAATTATCGCGTTGTACAGCTAATAGAGAATTACAGGCGAGAGCCAACAATAGTTTTCCAAATGAGACTAGGTCTTCTTGCTGAAATATTAATATTAATTTGATTTTTAAATAAAATAATAAAGTGTACATGTTACAGTATTTAAGTTAATCGTGATTGGCTTTATTTACCTGATAAAAAGAAACCATTGCAGCAGGATTACTATTGGGGTCGAATGTTACCAAGTCATATATGCCACAATTACTGTGGATCAAAATAAGTGCATTTTATGATACTGATTATGAAGTAAATAGTTGGAATATTTCAACCTGTAACTAATAATTAAAACATTATTGCATATAAATTGCACTATTAATTTACCTGAGGCGGATTGCAGGACGGGTTCTCGAGATTAAGATTATTTTAGAAGGGTTCAAGCATCGTACAGATAAGCCAGCGCTATGTATAGTTCGGATCACAGAACTTTGGAGAAGATAAAAATTATCCATTTTAAATTCAAAGATTGCAAAATAATTAAAGTACCAGGATTGTACTCACCTCAGTTGAATAATATAGGCCCACAATAGGTTTTCTGGAAGCATGTCTGTGTAAAACAATAATCAGTTAGTCACTAATTTCACTATAAGGCACAAATTACAAAGTTTAAAGAGAATTATCAAAAGTCTTACTTGCATGATGTCTTAGTAATGCATTCTTTTGATGGCTATAGGGCCTTGGAACGGAGGGGTCACTACTAAATGGATCAACGTAGCCGTTTACTTGATGGTTTCTGTCGAAATGTCGCTGCATTAGTGTGTCCGCAGAAGGGAAATAGTCATACACGAATATTAATGCTGTAAATAAAGATAAATTGCATGAATTTCAAATTGTAACAGTAACAAGGACAAAGAAATCAATATTCCAAACAAACTACTAGACTTACAAGTGTCACCAAAGGCTTTTGTCGTAAAAATTTCTCTGAGCTGAACCAAATTTGTGTGTGAGATATTTTTCCACGTGTCAATCATCCCTAACCACTTTCCAGATGGTAAACGAAATCCTACAAAAATTTACAGTACAAATGAGTGAATAACAACAAACCAATTTAACTATCAAATGACATTATCTCACCATGAATTCTCCGCAAACAATATGTAAACCCATTCTTTGAGTTGATAGCCTTATAAACGGTTGAAGGGTATCCGAATGAGCCCGGTTTTTGAAGCGACGTTTCCACAGGACACAGTTCCGTGAAGTGGTCCACTTGAGCGGGTAGATCGGGAAACACAGTAGAGTTTGGTTGGGACAACATGACCGCATTTCTCTGCATGAGTTCCGCCTTCAGCTCGTCGGGCGTGAAGAATGAGGGGGACTGTGGGGCTGGGTGGACGACGGGCGTGGGCGGTGGCCCCAGAGGGTTCAATCTGGTCGTGAAGTCTTTAAGGTGTGAAGGTGGTCCGGCATAGACGGAATAGGTTGGAAACACGTGGGGACCACCGGGATCGTCTCCCGGTATGATTTCTTGACTTCCGGCAGCCTCTTCTGGATTGTAAAAGTAGGTCGTGCCCCCCACGTTTTCCTGCTCCATCCAAACATTCTAAACAACGCCATTAAATTTAACCAAATTAACTACTGCATTCTGCACCGCTCTCCCATACTCTTTACATAGACGTGATCGGCACAATATAGCAAATAGAGTCAAGTGACGCCAGGGAAGGAGACAAAGTGTATTACTTACCCAACCCGTAAAAATTTACAAGAAAGTAAAGTTGAGTACGGATGAAATAACTTATAAACACCGTGTTAGGCTAGCAAATAATATACTATCAATACTATCCCGGCAGAAAAATACGCCAGAGCGGAAGCAATTTATATACGGTTTAACTTATCATCATTAATTTTGTTATCCGCACCTGGTAAGTGATTGGAGGGACAGGGGTGGAATTTCGTGAGAGTGGGGGCGTCCCATTCGTCCCAGCTTGTGATGATGGGATCGGAGAGATCGTGTCCCCACGGCCCCCCGAATAAGTGGACTTTTGGAAGAGGGTAGGCTCCACACTGCTGGACGCCATACTTCCCCCGACGAGACCCCGATTATTCTGCGGTTCACCAAGGTATTTTATTTTAAATTTACACCTTTTTTTACTACTGGAAAAATTTATTGTTGGACAAAATGATCTTAACTTAGTTTATTAATGAGCATATTTATGCGTATGTATATGTATTCTCTGATCTTTCCTGCAACATGCGCTCAATATATTTTGGCAATCCGACCAAACATGCGATGGCTTATCTACAGCTAATGTCAACAACAACGAGTCTGTCCATATGTTATCACAATCATAAAGACCTATCATAATCGCACCTCACTTATCAGAGTAAAGACTTGTATTAATATTAACAAAATAATAAAGCTTAGTGTGTGGGGTGAAGTGCATATGTACGTATTACTTATTATAAACTAACCGTGTTAGCATCCAAATTGAGATTGGCCAAATTATGGCTCAAGTGATTCCCCACAACTCCCAACACAGGACTTCGACCCTACACATATTTCAATGCACACATAAGAGTCAGATACAATTGAGCACTCGAAATGTGGAAAAATTAAAATGTTTTATTATTTAAAAAAAATAATATAGAACTGGTCGTACAACAGAAGTGTATGAAGCCAATTTCGACTCCTGCGGAATGCTTTGGCCAACATAGCTTAGTGTGGAATTATAGAAAGGGTCCATAACATATTTAACGTGGGGTGGTGTGGGTCCTTCAAGTCCTCAACAGAACAGGGACGACGGCGACAGCGACGACGAGGGGGACGTTCTGCTGCCAAAACTTTCCGCTTTATCTGCACAACAATTTATACACATGTACATAACGTCAATTTATTTGTAAAAATGTACAATGGTCTCATTCTCATTCTTATATTCAGACGCAGACGGATTGAATGCATAATGCATAACAAACAGCTATAAATGCGATAACCGCCTAGTTTTTAGCAAATTAATCGTACACAGTACATGTGTATGTACAACAATGTTCTATGAGGAGGACAATTATGATTATTTTTTTATTTCCTTGTTGTACACTATTATTTTGCTGGTTTACTTTCCACCATTATTGAAATTGTGCTTAAAAAAAACTAAATGAAATTTGAGACGATACGTTGTTGTCTGTTGTTCACGCTTCAAGTTGAAATTTGAAGTCAAAGAGTATGAAATTAAATGCTGCTTGCTGTTACTGCTCGGCTGACAACAAAACTCACAAGACGATCTGCGAACTGAAATCTTTTGTCAAGTTGCCAGTTATTTGACGTTGACAACGAAACTCGTGTGCATATATATTTGCATCAAACGTCATTATCGTAATAACCACACGCCTCGGTTAAAGGGGGTTTAAACGCAAATAAACTCTTTTTCGGGGAAGAGTAGTGCATGCACATTATTTTCTACATCTCTCTCTCCTCGCCAGTTTTCGTATAGACGATAAATTACAGTTGATGGAATCCATATGGTCAATTGGTCATTCTATGCGATATCCTCACTAAGATAATTGGCTAGATGTTTTGTCACCACCACTGGAAACCTATTTATGCTGCATACTGCATAAATACTTAATCGCTCATGAAATCAATCCACGCTGATACTACGGACGGGCTGCATAATATTTATATTTACACCAATTCTACTGATAGTGCTGATAATGTGCAGACGCGCTGCTGACGACCTTAACCCTGGCCATCCTAAAATAAATGAAAATACTTGAATATTACATAGTTTTCTTCCTCCTTGTCGTGCATTTTTTCTTATATTGGTCTACTTTCCTGTGCCATTTTGTGTGTATGAAATAATATTACTTTGCATATTCTTATTTGACTCCATTTGAAAAGTGCATACAATTTCTGTTTCAATTCACTTTTTCCCTAAACTTGTGTATTGTACTGCACTTTTGTGGCTGCTCATTTTATTTTTTTAAATGGCTCATTGTACCCGTTCTCCGAAGAAGCCACATTACAGAAATTTGACTGCGGTAGTGTGATACATGTTCTTGCCAAGTTTTATTATTATTTACGTATTACCGTATTATTATTATTCTTATTTTTTATTATTATTGTTCTCTCACATTTATTTACTATTTGTCCCCCGGTGTACAAACTTTAAACAAAACATTCCCTTTTGCAGTGTTTAACTTTTCTCTTTCACCTAACCACACACACACAAACACACAACTTGCAAGTTTCAACCCTTTCTATGAACTATTTAAAAATAAGTTTTATAAATTGACTCGAAAATTGTACACATTACACATACATTTTTTTTATTATTAATGAGACTTTAACTTGTCCCCATCGTCTCTCTCTTTGCATAATAATTGTATTATTGTTGGAACATACCGTGAGAAAATAATTTTCCGCTGTTCTTTTCCCCTCTCGTTCACATTCAGCTCATCGAGTTAGTCGCAATAATTAGACAGTAGTTTTTCTCTACCTATTGTAGTAACCAACGACCACTTTTGCTGCTCATCTTGTCCGTCTTTTTTTAAAGCTAGCACATTTTTTCACACATTTATTTCTTCCTCCTCTCTTTGATTGAGGATTGTGAAATTTGAAATACTTTTCGTTTCCTCAATTCAACAACACCAAGCAGACGACGAGAAGAACCATCATTGGACTCTTACTAACCAGTAGTGAGTAAAGTGCAGTTTGTTGGCTGTGAAATAACTGAGTGTACAAGTTTTTAAGAGTCAATGTCACTCACACGAACGGTGCACCACCATCACCAGCAGCAGCAGAACTCTTTACAAGTCTGGCTGGCCTTTAGGAGAGAGCCGTGTTAAAATATATGAGAGGAGAAAGCTCTCTCTCACTTTGCTTTATTTTGCTCTGCCTAAAATACAGCTTGTGCCAGATATAATAACATTCTGCTGTTCTGACCATGTTGTTGTTATCCTGCTTACAACTTACCTCCATTCCATCGCTTGCTTACTTTGCTCTCCTCTACTTTATGATGAGCAGGCAAGCAAAACCAGAAGGCACAAACACTTTAAAATTATTTCAGATGCTTCGTGCTGAGTGAGTGAGTGAGTGAGTGAATATGGAGTGCAATGCATGCATGCAATAATAATCATGGTAATAAAATAGTGCAAAAGAAGGGTCCAACCAATGCAGAGGAAGTAATGTGTAGTCGAGTTATTTATACCGTTCTACGTACTACAGAGGAGAGACGAAGGTGCTGTTTGTATACATTTGTGATGGTGATGAGATACGCATAATAATGCATTATTACGAACGAACGAGTAAAGGATGGTGACCCCTTTATAATAATAAAGGCTGAATGGGTATAATAATAATGGCTGGTAAATAGTATTTACTTCCTACTACCTGCGAATTATAGTGGTGGAATTTACTATCATTGGCAAATTGGTGGATAATGATGAAAGGCTATTATTACTATTACTACTTATTACTACCGCTATGAGTAGATTGATAGTGGGTGAGCCAAAAGTGAGTGAGGTGCATGAATCGGGAGAGAAAGAAAGCTTTTTGAGTAAAAGTTATTCATGTCGATGGGGAAATGGTTTGACTTTAAGTACAGTGATTTGCCATATGTGTGGAAAATTGAGATGGTCCAAATACTTATTAATTGGCTCGTTTTCCATCTTCCCTACAAGGGAGATATAAAACGTGTAGTACGTACGTATGTTATTATTGCATGCGCCACATGCAAGTCCAACTATGGAGTTTAAATTAGACACGTTCTTCTACAGTCCCATTTGTCGCATGTATGCATTCCTGTGCCACCTCTCTCTCCATTCCATGGATCGATGGCTGTGTAAATAAACTGCGCTTTAGAATTTGCAGACTTTTTTTCAACAGACCAAAACCAGACTGCTACAATTTGCATCATAATGTAATAACACAAAGGAAATGGATATGAAATGGTGGCGTGACGACGACGACGGTGTGAAAGTATATACCCTCTCCTATACAGCTGCTACGTACGTACATACGTCCAATTGTGATCTTTTTATGTGGTTTGGTTTGCATTTGCAAAACTGGAAGGAAGAGAGATTACCTTCTTCTGGTGCATATGTATGTACAAAGGCAAGTATTGACATTTGGCACTCGATGCGAAGAGTTGTCTTTGACGATGTGTTGGTCTTGTTACCAAGCAAAAAGCAAAATCCGAGAGAGAACCTGACGCGAAATAGGCAAAATGAAGAGATCTGATTCCCCGGTTACACAACAACACGCACGAATGAATGCAAAATGGGGCAGTAATCGGAACGTCCTATTTATTCCAGTACGGTTTCCTCACAGCTTGGATACAAGAGATGAGAATTATTTCATCCCATAATTCCTGTCTCATTATGAATCTCATGACTTGAGACTTGTCACAATTTTCTCTAAAAAGTGTAATAATAAACAAACCATCATTTGAAATAATTGCCAATTTTTCAACTTGTTGTCACTATCACACAAACCATTCGCGTCCCCCACTTGTACTACTTCTAGGTCAATGTCATGGCCATACTGAAACAAAAAGTGGACTAAAATCGTATGGAAGTTGGTCACATTTTTCGAACCAGGAGACGCCCTCTCGCCGCCCAGCCCAGAAGGAAGAGGAAGGAAGGCGCTGAACAAAAATTGCGGCAACGAATATCGCTCTCTTCACCACACTTTACTTAATCCCGACAATTCACATTCATTCAATTGTTTAAGTTTAACGTGCTATGACATAACTAAATATTATTAATTATTGCCAATTCACACTGCCTAATTTCCTACCAAGTGTAATTATTTTTGGGGAAAATCCACATCCGACTTGATAGAACAATGACAGTGGTTGCTGCAGCTGAGTAATTTAATTTTTGTGTTTTTGATTAGGTAGGAGAGACATTTACAGTTTAAAGACAGTTTACAAGTGTGGACTTTTGAAGTAAGTGAGTGAATAGCAGTTGTGGTGCTGGTGGGTGTGGTTGCAATGATGAAAGTACTGGAAAAGGGGAGCGACTTCGCGAGCGAGGTTGAGATCGGCAGCGGAGTGTTGTGGCTGCCGTACAAAAATATCCTCCAAATTGTGAACCGGGCTGTTCAGGACAATAGCACAGAGGCTTTCACAGAGTTGGACACTTATGCACAAAAATGCAAGTCCGATTTCGTCAATTTTCTTAATTATCGGGTAAGTGGAGCAATTTATAAGAGAAAGCAGTATGTATGGATTTGGTCTTGAATTGCAGTTGTTTTTACAGGGAAAGAGTCCGGCAGATCGGGAGATATTGAAAAAGTCGACGTCTGATGGGATTTCCCTCAATGGACAAGAAGCTCGTCAGATACTTCATCCCCAACTCATTAATGAGACGTTCCTACTGTCGGATATTTTCGAAATTAATGAGTTCTTGGCATTGGACTTGTTGGCAACAGGTTGGTTTTTGCAATGAAAGAAAAGTGGTTATTTGTCATTATTATGAAATTAACTCTGCTTAATTTACTTTAGCTGAATCATTAAAAGAAGAATATCCAGGATGGGCTCGTGGCCTAATTGCAGTCTTCCTCTACTACGAAGGTCGCCTGTGCATGATTCAAACAATTTCCTCGATGGTTATAGCCATTCCGGGGAGAACTTGGTCCGAGGAGTCTTGTTTTCCACGAGTCTACGAGATTTTCAAAAACATTATGGGCCACGTATTCAAGACTGATATGATGGATACGTTGTTAGGTGAGTAGAGAAAATGCTAATTATCTTATATGGACAGTATAATTACTATAAATTCAAATATGTCTACATAATCTTAATTTGTATTTACCATGTTTTAGACCTATTTGGAAAATGTGATACAAAAGTTCAGCTGGAACTACTGGACAGAAATTTAGCTTTAGGCGACTGGCGTCACCGTTTTGAAATCAATCGAATGGTCACTGGAATTCAAGAAGGGATTGGTTTCATAATTTTTGCACTCTCCGCTCAGCAAGATCTGATTTGGAAAGAAACACTTCGGTAATTTACTTACTCGTGTAATTTCTATTTATTTGCGTATGTTAAAAAATAATTGACTTGTTGATACTCGCGCAATCTAGAATCTTGGAGTATTTGAAGACAACCATAAAATCGGATGAAGACTTTAAAATGGACAAAGGTCAAAGCTTGCTAATAAGTTCTGTCCTGTGCAGCATCACCAACCACCTACGTCTTGGCGATTATGACCGAAACTTTGCAAGAGACCTTCTCAAATATTTAAAAGATTATGACAGTAAAACCCCTGAAGAGGGAGGATTTCAATGCCCAGAGCTTTTCGAAATGTTTAGGCTAATATTTCATATTGCGACGCATAAAGCTCTCTCTGAAACAAACCTCAATTCCTTACATTCTGGTTCTGGCCTAGGAAGCAACTCCGCCGACATCGTGAGAGACGATGAAGACTATGAGTTCAAGAGAGATGTTTTTGCATACATGAGGGATAAAATCTTTTCCAACCCTTCTCTTTACACATTTGAAGAGAACGTTGTGAAAAAATATCACCAACTTCTCACCGACTTTCTTACTTTCATGCCAATGAAGGTAAAGGAGATGAAGGGAAGATCAGATGATGCTGCCAAGACTGCTGCATTATACCAAAATCAAGGATTTGTACGCCCTTCAAGCTTACCTCAAGAGTATGAAAGCTTCCTGGAGTGCATTGGAATGTTTTATATACACGACGAGGAAAACCTTAGCACTGATTTCTTTGACCCGGATGTACGACACCTCTCACTGAATAAGTTTGCTCGAGGGACCTGCATCGATTCACCTACAATGTTTGTACCGAACGCAAAGTTCCTGACAGGATTGGCCAAAGGAGCCCCCGAGGACATTTTCGAACTGATGAAACAAAACGGACACAATTTCTCATTTGAGCATTTCTTTGAGTCCATTATGCAGTACCTGTCTAGCTTTGGAACTGGGGTACAGGTCAACGTCAGATTCAATGGTCCCAACTTATTTACCAGTGAAACTTTCCAACGAGTCGTGCACGATTCAGTGAAAATTCAAATGAATCCTGCCGAAGTTGAAGGAATATGCGCGTATCTGGATCTTGTTAGAATGATGTGTGAGAACTCCGTAGTGGTTTCTGGGTTTTTCACTAATCAGAAACTCCCTTGGATTCGTATTTTACTTGAAACTGCCAAAATAAGAACCATTCCTCGTGAAATAAGGGCAAAGATGATTAGCACGGCTGCCTCCATGATATTCGAACACACGAGTTGCGATATCGTTAATAACGTTTGGGAGATGTTTTATCAAGTCCGTCTCGTTGGGCAGGATAACGTTGATCTAAAGGTGAGCTAATTCATAGTTATTATTAAATAGTATTTATTATACTTACTAGCATAATTACAAATGTATGCTACGTTTATGTAGGACGAACTTGATGAACATGAGGCAAGGATGGAAGTGTACCCATTGACTATAAGCATGCTGAAGCTGTTGGAGTCATTGGTCAACGCAAGATTCAAGAGGATGGACAATGACCCGAGTGCTGATTTAGAGAGCGGAAGTTTGGACAACGGAGCCTTTGATGCGTACGTGTCCTACATTCGTGACACCGTTTTGATGCGAGCCATGTACCGGTCTTACAAAAATATGGATGAGAGATGGGAGATATCTGCGTTTGCGTTGGAAATCTTATCCAAATTACTTGACTATGTTCCCCAACTTATGCTCCAACTATTATGTGGCTCACCATTTTTACGCTCGGTACGTATATATATATATGGCCATATTGGAACAAACAATCTGTTTTATGCTTAACCATAAGATAATGAAATAATTATTCTTGTTTTATAGATTTTTGCAACTTTGTCAGAATGCATTACAGCTCGTGAGTCTTCTCCAGACGTTTTGCCCTCGGTAGATCGCTGTTCCTTAGCCTGCTTAAATCTTGTGCGTCGAGCCATGCACCGGCAGGTTTATTTCTTGCACCGAAGAGAATTGAGTTCAATTAGGGTACGTTTATTGGTTTGACATGACAAATATGTAAAAAGAATTAATTGCTGTTTTTATACAAAACCAGAAGGAATCCGTGATTGTAGGAATGCAAGAGCTCCTCATGAAAATTGTCCCAGAAAATGGAAAACCAGAAAACATTATTTCTATTTTGAAGTAAGTTAAAATTAATCGTATTTAATGTCCGTTACGGTACATGCATAAATAACCAATTATTAATAATATTTGTTATTACCTTACAGATATATAGACACCTTACTCCCCGCAGACCATAAACAAGCAGCGTTGGATATCCTTTCGTTAACTTTAGCTGATCGCGATGATATTGACGCTCACTTGTACGCAGCAGTGATCACCGATACCAACCTAGTTTCCCTGCTGCGCTACATGTTCATTAATTCCTTATATGAGCCTGCATCAGAGGAGATGAAGAAGACAATTCTTGAAATTATTCGAGCTAGTGTTGGGCACTCATCACCAAACATCGCAATGATGTTGTTAGGAGTTGATAAGAAAATTGATTTTCAAAATGCAGGCATGCTTTATATTTTCACTTGTTGTAACTTAAGTTAAATTAATCAAAAAATATACACTACAAGGAGCATAAAAAGTAGCTATATAAAATGTATTCATTTATTATTTTTAGGTGTGTCTGGCTATCCTCGAACTGTACTTCACGCAATTCTCGACAATGCTGCCACTTTACCGGACGCATTTGCAACTTTGCTTACTATGATTCGAGATTGCAGACTCTGGGGTCCATTACTGCGATACTTAAAAACAAATCACTTCTTGAGCAATTTTATCAAGGAGAATTTTTCTACCATAACAATGGACGCTCAAGACGTCGGAGACTTTTTAAAGTGTGTTGCTGTTGAGTTAAAAACAACAGCTACGCCGGGCCCGCTGGCAAAAACAATCATTGGAGAGGGTTCCTTCAAGTTTCAAGAAATTTTGAATATTCTAAACTTGGACGAGGATCCATTGGAAATTCCAGACATGGAGTTTTTTGATCAAGATAATGTCATGCAGGTATGTGATTAATAACATTTGTATATCTTAAATTTGATTTAACCATGTTTACTTGATGATTCTATTTCGAGTTTGTTTGCTAAAATAAATAATTGTTTATTCAATTATTTTCAGGCTATGAAGGCTTGTGAATATTTTGACCCGAAGCTAAAAATTCGCGTGATTCGAGTTGACATGCTTGAAAATCTGTTGAAAGAAGAAATTTCTAAACTAGAAAAGAATACGGTTTTGAAGTTACGGCACACGGTTCATTCAGAAGCAACGGTACCTACAATTGTTGCGCAGTTGCGCAGTTGTAAACTTTACAAAGTATAATATAATTTTTTTTTGTTTCGTAGGAGGTGGTAAAATTTGCTGCCGAGTTCAATACTAGCCGTTGGAAAGAGGCATCAAAAGCAAACATGTTTGACGGATGGAGACAATGCTTCGAAGTTCTTGTGTTGAGCACGGAAACCTTAAAGCTAGCCGGAGTCGACTTCGTCACCAGTATCCTTCGAATCCTCTTAAACAAAGTAACTGGAACGAGTACTCCTCGTGACTACTTTTGTCGATTGGCTGCTGAAACTGTGTTAACCTTGAGTGCCGTGATGGGAACTTTCAAGGATCAAGTAAATTCTACAACTCTCAATGTGATTCTTAACCATATTTGCAAATGGATTGCGGAAGAACAATCTGCTCGTGTGCGTACGACTTTGTACGCCGCTGTTCTTCACGTTCTTCGCATGTTCAAAAGTGTTAATGACACAGGGAATACGACTATCGCTTCATTTTCCATGATTTTAGAACACATCTGCAAAGACTGTTGCCAAAGTAAAGAAATCCGTAAAATGCAGGCAATGTACATGATGGGAGAAATTATACGACTGACTGCAGACAAAGGGTTCGTTGGGACCAACTACGGTAATACTACTGGAATTGGATCAATGAACGCTTCAATTAACTACGGAGGACGGGATGAAGGCAGCGGAGACTTTCACGAATTCTCTACATTCAATACAAGTAGTATATCCCCCGTTTTGCCAGTCAAACAATCTTTCCACGTCCACACAGATTCTCCAATGCCCAAAAAAGTTAACGCTACATCCCTTAGGACTACGAGCCCTAGTGCGAGTCCCCTCAACATCATGTCCTACATGTTTGCTAAAGGCTTCTTGGGAAACTTGGTGGAAGAAATTCTCACCGTAGACGATAGCGATCTCGTAAAGCTGTTTTCTAATCAACCAATAGATGTTCACATGAAGTCACTGTACGTGTTTGAGGCAAAAGTTTCATTGCTCTGTCGATTTGCGTCAACTGGTCGCCGAGCCATAATGTTTTTAATGGATACGAATGTTGTTCACAAATTGGCGGACATGCGAGTTCTTCAAATCCAGTACTTTCAAGAGGATAATTCCAGAGCAGCTTACCCAGAACTCACGTCACGCGACTTGCACAATATTACCGGTGGGAGTAGCTTCCATGATCTGTCAATGCCAACAGCGCCAACTAGAAAGGACGTGATGGATCTTTTGTTTACGAACATTTTGAAATTATTGCACTCAATGGTGGATGCTGCACCGAAAAATGTTCTACTTGTTGAGCAGGTTAGTTTAGTATTATTGTTTTATTCTGACAACTTTTTGCTGCAAATTTATTTTGTGGAAATGACCTGGATAAGTATATTTAGTATTGTTTTTAATGCTATTTATTATTTTTTTTACAGATTTGGCACTTTTTCACGACTCATGACCTGCCACTATCAAATCTCATTAGTCGCTCTGTGATTGAAAGGGACGAACCCAACGTGGGATGTTCCCTTACCCTAGCCTTGCTAGCAAAGATTGCCAAACATCTTCCAGCCGTGGCCTTTAGCGGGCGGACAAGTGTCATGGCAAGAGTGTACGACATCCTTAAACTGCACGCCAAGCACCCAACGTATTCCGATTTTAGAATCAGGACAGTTCGGCAAACCTTTCAACTGATGCACAATTACTCTCACAACACTGATGCAACTCGCGAGCTTAAGAGTCAAGGCAATTCTCATCGATTTCGACCAATTGTCAACAACGAACTTGCCTACGATCTTCTCGAGTCCAACCCAGAAGAGGAAGTAACATTAGGAGTTATTACCAAAATAATATCGGACATTGCTGCAACGATTGTAAATTGGAATGTCAGTGGTGGAGGCAATAAAACCAAGTGGGATTCCATGACTTCAATCTTGGAAATTGGGCTGGACATGGTACACGAACATGTCGAATTGTTCCTCACTGACAGCAAGTACAAAGCGTCCTCTAAGAAATTTGTTGAAGACTTTATTCCAACCTTGGATAACAGGCTGGTTAAATATACATCGGATGCAGCAAAGGTGAGAATAAATGTTCTTCTTTTGGAGCTATGCAGTAGTATGCAGTTACTGATGTTGAGCAGGATTCTAGTCCGGGCAAAAAGTCCTGTTTTGATGGGAATCGAGCGTGCACGCCCTCATCCCTACTTCTGCACGGATTCATATGAAATTTTAAACTTTGTCCTAGAGATGCGAAATTTGGCATGCACATGCACCAACATATGCTGCATCATAATACAGCATCAATTCCCATTCCGTTCGCTATAAATTTTTCAGGAAAAATTAAAAACCAAATGTCATCCCTATCATTGCTTGGTCGTTGATTTTTCCTGAAAAATTTTTAGCGAACGGAATGGGAATTGATGTTGTATTATGATGCAGCATATGTTGGTGCATGTGCATGCCAAATTTCGCATCTCTAGGACAAAGTTTAAAATTTCATATGAATCCGTGCAGAAGTAGGGATGAGGGCGTGCACGCTCGATTCCCATCAAAACAGGACTTTTTGCCCGGACTAGAATCCTGCTCAACATCAGTACGTGTATGTAGTATATTGACAATAAATTATTTTGTTTCAGATTATTGAGAAAGGTGAATTCACTGCAATGCTCCTGTTGAGGATTCGTCGACTAGTTCATGCCCCCTCCAAAAATTAGCAGACTTGATTTCTAAACTACCACAATTTTTATAACTTTCTTGTATAATAAATTTAAATTGTACTGATTATTTATCACAGTCAAAAACGACGACAAATGAATGTTTATATGGCTATTATTATCAATAAAGTATTTATTAGGTCATAACAACTGTAACAACTTTATTTTTAAGTAGGTGCATCACAAATGTATCAGTACAAAAACTAAAACAAGATTTTGAATATTCAATAACAAATTAGTGGGGAGTTCGATTAAATAAATAAATTCAGTAAATGCTTGTAAACATATCAGCAGAGTTCATGGCAAAAATTATATAATCTTGAAAACGACTAAATGCTATATTCAAACCCCACATCCTACAATTAAGTTGACAAAAATAATGTAAATATTAGGAACACGAATTATAACTACTTTGTATGTATTATGGCATATTAAGAAGAACAAGTTGTATCATGAGATGAGTGATGATTAGACAAAGTACGACGTATCACAGGTAGATTATTATCAACACCATTCACTTCAGCAGCAACATCAGCTCTTTTTTCAGCATAGGAGGATGAGTGGGAGGAAGGGAAAGTTTTGGCAAAATTCCTCCATTCGTCGGTAACATTTGATTTCGCTGGCAGTCAAAGAATGAATAGTGACAATATTGTGAAGAAAATGGCACGGAAAGGTGGTAAATTTGTCTTTTATATTCCAGCCGACATAGATTTCAGGAATGTCAACTACCCCCACTTTGAGATGACTCTCCCTCACCATGCCGGTTAAAAAGACGTCCTCAAGATGGAAAAGTGGGTTGTTCAGAGCGGAATGGTACAAGTCAGCCCTAGCTGTGGAACCCAAGATGTAGTTGAAGCCTCCAACAAAGTCTGGGAAACTCCCCGCGACCCACAAGAAATGTGGCGTGTACCATTTGGAACTTGGATCAGAGTCAATTCTAATGTTTTTGTATTTATGTCCAGCAATGAGATTGGCTCCCGTGGGTATGTCCAAGCCGAGGAGAAAGTTAAGAAGGAGGGGTGTATTTAAGTAGACGTCGTCGTCAATCTTAACCATGTAGCGGACATTTCCACAATGACGATTAACCCATTTGAGCATCCGTAAAGTTTTGATGGTGAGGTTGAGATAAGATTCCGTAAAGTTGTCAAAAATCATATCCCCATTAACGTTGGATTCAGTGGTCAGTCGACCCTGGAAAGAAAATGCAGACACATTTAATTCATTTACGTGTTTTTATGTACATATGTATACATCGAAATTGACATTAATTATTTAGAAATATTTTGATTACCACAAACTCTTCCGAAGCTCCCTCTGAATCACCGACGAAAAACAACGCTTTGATACTTGAACCAACTTTGAATTCAGGATACTCTTTGGCCACTATTTTCTCCCATGTCGTGAGCTGTTCGTCCAAGACGATACGGATGGATTTTCGTCTTTCAAAATTTTTTGGGGCTGACGTGAACATAAACAAGAGAAATTGCCTGTTTCCCGAATCCTATAAGAACACAGAATCAATTATTAGTTCATCCATGTTATGATCTAGCTCTGATTTTGTAAATAAATAACTTAATAGTACTTGACACGACTTGGACTCTTCTGGCTGCACGTAAGCAGTATCATTGTCAGGCAAAACGACAGCCCGTGTTGAGGGTTGAATGGCTTTCATAATGTTACTGACGACACTGTTGTCTGAAAACTGGAACACGTCCGTGTGGAGTCCCCGTGACCTTGACGAGAGAACGAAGACGAAGCCCATGAGGACAATTGAGAGTAAAAGAACGACCCGCTTCCATTTCATCCCACTCCGAATCATCATTCTTCGAAAGTAGGACAACATTGACGACACAAAGAACAGAATTGTTTCTGAAAGGGGGGCAGAAAACACAACTCGAAGATTGTAACGTTCTGGCGGTCATACCTGGAATATGGAAAAAAATAAACAAAATTGAAATTATCAGCCTATGCAGTAAATTGACTATCGAGTAAACGCTTGAGTAAGAGTAAAACATCAATTGTTCAGAATTATATATTATTTAAAAAAATATATTTTGGCAAAATAAACTTGGAATTAAATTAATAAAAGAGAACAAGCAAGTTTTTCTTCCAAACTTAAAATTTTTCTAATTACCTAGTCATTCAGGATCAATTAATCAATAATCAAATATCAAATTAAGTTCTTCAAAAATTGGAAACATGAAAAAGTATAAATGAAAAAAAACATCAAAATGTCAAAAAAAAACATCTCTTTGCCCGGTTTGAATGATTTTTCTGCCGGTGACTGAAATCAGCGATCAGCCACTGAATCTGTCCATCTAAAATCTCTTTCACTTTCGGATTATTCTGATTTTTAAATGCATGTGGACATAAAATTACTTACTTAAAATTTCGACTTTTTTGCCATTGTAAATGACAATCACCAATGACACAAACTTTCAAACTGACCAAGCCATCCGAGAACAAAGATAACTCGCATGACTTTATTTTCCAAGTAAATTACATATTTATTGTTGACTGACTCATTTACTGCTTGGTAATTTTATTATTACTTGCCAAGTGACAAAGGATTTTCCATCCTTCCTCGAAATTAGTTGAGCCATGATAATCAGTAGGGCAGGAGAGGCAAAGTGAATAAATTTTGAGGCCATCAATGGCAGGCAGATTGTGTTCCATTTCATTCAACAAAGCCTTTTCTTACAAAAGTTTTTACGCCATGCTTCCAGCTACCAATCGCAGATTTAAAATTTAAATCAAGTTTCGACAAATGTGGTAATTTTGTGGCATACATTTTTGTGGTTGAACCGGAAATTATTTAACCACTGCATGTAGAGCTGCATAAGCTCTGCTCTTATGAGATTTAAAGGAAACAAAATTATGCACTGTTGTGTGAATCAGATCTTTCTAATTCCATTTGCAAACGAAGCATATCGGAAGGAGGAATATCGAAACAAAAGGTTTGCTAAATTGAGACACGACATTATTATGCTAAATATGTAACTATTATTATTAATATTCAGTACTTTAGTTCACAGAAGTTATTCTGATAATTTGAGATTAACATGGTAATTTTTACCAAAGTCAATTAACATCCATTTATCCATTCATGAGGTTGAGTATGAATGTGTTATAAAAATGTATCATTCTTAAATGACTAAACCTTTGTCACTGCATAAAGAAATTTAATTCCTGGAAGCGTTAGTAGTTTTCTTTCCAAGTTAGTGAATAAGCATGTAAAGAAATCACTGATTTTCAGATCTATAAATCCACTTTGTGGTAAAACATACATATTAACAACGAAAAGTTACACCGGATCCAGAGGTTCAAAATGATATCGAATAAACACAAAAGTTGTGTGAGCTTTACCCAACAATTCTCTCCAAGCGTGCCACCTCATCCTTCATAACGATCGTTCCACTTATTAACAAAACTCTGTTTCTTCGTACTGGCTTCGTCATTTTACGGGTTAATAAAGTTTGACTTTCTCCCATTTCTACATAGCCCAGGCAGTCATAGTCAGGCTGCAAGTTCAGCAGTATTAGCAGGGTAGCTAAAATTGGTCAAGTCATACAAAATATGGCCATTGTCCACCGTTAGCATTGTAACTTTGGTCGGTTTTGGTAAAGATTAATCAAAATCCAATACATTGATCGACTCCCAAATTCGAGCGATCTATTGTGAGACTGACTGAGAATATGTGCACATGTGTGTATGCGTGTGTTGTAGGCTGAATGGGTGTCACTTTAACCTGCTGAATATTTTATTCCATCTTTTCATGAAAATTACATACTTTCACTATTTGACCCAACCAACAAACCCTAAATCTCAATAAGTCTTAAACACTGTTTCTCCTCTTCTTTTCTACGATAAACTGTTTCTAGTCACAGGAACTTCGTAACTGTCTAGAATGCGTTACTAATCACTGTTTAATTAACGAGGGAAGAAGTGAATTGTTGTTTGCAGAGTTGGACTATCGAACTTTTGTTGGTGGGAAAATTGGTGATGTTTATTCCGGATCTCGGATCTACCGAGAACAGCTCCAGCAGTTCTGCAGAGCCGACTGGTCTGCAGATCAGAGACAGTGATTCGAAGGTATGGAAATGAAAATACGGAGAGAACGCAGCAGCAGCAGCACCCGGAACGAATTCGATCTTCTCGGAGCACTGGGCTACCAGGCAGTAAAAAGAGGGGAAAGTTGTGGACGAGAGATTGCATCTTGTGCAGGCAGCAGAAATAACAGTTTTTGCCTCTGCAGCTGCCCCTTTCCTAGAGAATGCAGTGAAATGAAATCCAGTTGTTCCTCACATTTTAATATGCGGTCTGAGATATGGACCTTTTTAGAAGGGTGTCGATATAAAAACCACTCCGATAAAAAATATATTTAGAAAATATTATGGTTTCCAGGAGTTTTCACAAATCAATGTGCTCCAAATTATTTTCTATCAAATTTTATTTTAAAATTAGTAAGATTATCGAGCAAACTCTTGATGTGGGTATTCTGAAAAATTGTTACTCGTCTCGAGTTGTATGAAAATGAACCATATATGCACTCCCACTATGCATAAGTAACACGCTCACAGTCTATGGTCATGAACTTATTTACTTTGATCATTACAATTGCAAATCATTTTCACTTTTGTTTTAACGAGGTTATTGCCATTATGCGTTTGAATTTAGTGTGGAGTCTCATTAATTGCTTAGCACTCATCTGCATTACACGTGTTGCGAAATAATATAAAATATCCAGCTGAAAACTTGCAGGGGGATAAGAATACTACGCCCACATGTCAAGTTTCTAATTGAGAGCGTTCAAAAATACTCTTTCTTTTATTATTATTTTGAGATGCACTTTGAGAACTTTTGAAGGATAAAAAACGTATTGTACTTAAACCCGGCTTAACTTGTTTGTTCTTGTCATGCAAGTATAAATGGTCTAATGCCAAATTAGAATAAGGCAAGGTTGTAGAAATACATATAGTGCAAAAATCACGACTTACTTTTCGAATTATTAAGTAGAATTATTAAAATTCGCACAACTTCAAATTATGTGGCAATACCGATAACTACATACTTTGCCAATAGCACTAGATAAATATAGTTGGCAATAAATTATGCCGATTCAATATTCCAGTTGCAGATTAGCGATCAACTAAACAACGTATACACGTGAATGTGTACTACATACGATGTGATAATGAAAATAATAATTAGTCGTAATCTTTTACTCGGTACGGTAACAACCCAGCAGCCGAGTAATTATGTATGTATGTGGTGCAGTATGTACGTAATTGTCAGCCAGGCCAGGCGTCTCATGTATCCTCGTCGTGCGTGTCTCATTTACCAATTCGTTCAACAAGACTACATCTCCCCCAACAGTATGACCAATACGCCTGCATACTACGCTTATCGGTCAGCCTAAATATTTCATGAGTCTGATCTTTATAAGTATACATATTATTTTGGCATATGTTGTCAAGCTCAAAGTGTGGGACATTTCCTAGCCGCAAAAATTTATCGCAATGATGTAATACATCTAGTTTGCATTCTGACGACTAAAATGAGACTCATCACAGTTCTGGGGAGGAACTGAACAGCTTCTAAATAAATACCAAGACCTGAAAGATGTCATCTTGCGCATATACGAATATGTACACACATATTATTCATATTTGCAGCCAGCAGTATTTCGCATTTTCTTATCTTAACTGTGCACACAAATGAACATACTTTGTGTGTGCATGAAATCCGAACCGAACCATTAAAACTTTTTTGTATACGTACTTACTTGTTATATTCGTCCATTCTAGAATCCAAGTTATTCTATTATTACACTAGACACGAGTAATATATGTGCATCTGACATGATCTCACATTTATTTTCCGCACAAAATGTTCTATCTTTTGAGACTCAGTAAAGATGATTCCTAAATGAGAACAAATAATTACTCAGCTAATACGGAGAGGACCAACACAACCGGCGTTTCACCACGTAGAACTGAGCCTCATTCCATATATTCACCGTCGTGAACCGTGTGGGGCACAGGTTGATGAATACATGAATAAATAGTGACTCGAACCATGTATGAATTATTTGGATTAACGTCACAACGATGATACGGCACGATAGCAAAGGGCATAATATTTCGAGTCATGCCCTCCCTTTTCGAACCAATATTAACTATTATCGACTCGATAATGATGATGACTCGGAAAACGATGTTGAATTAGGAGGTCTTTACACAAGGAATAAGGTGGACGTACATAAAACAATGAATTCCTTCTCCTGCATGCGCTGACACTGGGAGAAGAAGGAAACTGAAACTGAAGGAAAAGAGGATAAAATGCGACTTTTCAGTCAATATGTGTATATCTTGTTCGTCGTCGTAAAATATTTTTAGAACCCAAAGGAGAAGAACGAACCCTATGAGCCGGATCGGACTGTAGTCGAAAATGAAAAGCTATAAGTATGTATCACTTCGCTACCCTGTCTGTTCAGATTATGGTTTCAAAGCTGCAGCTTAAGAAGAATGAGTTGGACGGGACGGTTGTTATCAATAGAAAGAGGATGAGGGTTAGAATTGGAGTACCTTAAAAGAAGAAGAAGAAGCAAGCTCACTTCTGCCACGGCATTCTCATCCAGTCAATGAATTTCTTTGTCATCTTATGGATTTCTTCCAAGCTTATAAATATATACGTATACTTCCTCCGGTTGTGCGGCTATGGATTTCTAGACACTTTATGAAAATGAACAACTGCAGAATTTCTCAAGGGCAAGGGTTATTTCAACTGGAGCACATTATGAAAGTGAGAGTGAGTGGGCCACATCCAGCAAGTAGAACAACTCAAATTTATTAATCTTTTAATTTTTACATCCAAAAGTTTGGACTTTTATGGGTTTTAATTTTTGTTTAAATACATACGATTTTGTGACTGATAACACGTGTATTGATATCGGTAGCTTGGATGACGAACTCATTGACAAAATAATATTTAATTAAATATGTGTCATATATATGTATTTCATTTTCATTTGTTATTGAGATTTTACAAACTCATTATTTTTGAAAATCTATAGAATATTATTCATAGTTGCATATAGCATATGTGGAAAGTACATATTTTAATTGTTTAATGTTTTAGAAATCACGTAGAATTTAGTTTGTCATGCATAATTAAAAGTCAAACTTCCAGCCACCGAAGTGATGCAAAGAATTTTCAGTGAAACAAAATAATATTTGAGTGTATGCAAGTACATAGATGCAAAAAATCTTCCAACGCAATAACTACAAGTTCTTATTATAATCTAAGAACTACAACTACTAATTATTTTTGTACTGCATATAATCTATCAATGTCTAATAGAATAGACTTATTTTTCAGATTATGTAACAATAATGATATTTTAAAGGTCTTAATCAGGTTATGGGTTAAATGACTCATAATATAATTATGGAAGTAACAGTCATACTTTGAACATACAACATACGGGGATATCATGCTATGTTATGGATTCTCGTACAATTATCGTGCCTCGAAATTAGCCGCATGGCAAAGCATATGGATGGAATTGAATCTATTAGGGACTGTCAAAGAGTTCTTTTGTGTTCCACCTGAAAGGTTGAATGTCTATTTATTTATGCCAGGAAGGAAACGGGAGAGAATATTGACCGGATCAATACTATTAAATAATGGCCTATCAGCTCGAGGAACAACTTAATCTGTACATACATAAATATGTCTCAAACCCTCTTTGCTAACAATGCACTGTCAGACTGTATGCATGCACAATATTTGCGAATTTATATGTACACCTCTACATACTTGCCAAGGTACACAGTTAAAGATTTATCTATTTTGAGGCAGGTATTTTCATTTCTCTGTTACCGATGGTCCTCAGGTAACAGAGAAATCATGTTTAAACGATTCATCTAAATGAATGCAGTGCTCTAATTTGACGTCCAAAATTTTCATTTAATTGCACTGTTAAACTATTTAATTGCACTTTCACTTGCATTCAGAATACAAAAAATAATTTGCATAGCACTCGAAAAAAGGAATATGAGTAGCCAACACTTGAACCGTCATGTCAATTTTCTTTCCCCTCAAATGGAATTCAATACAAGTCGACAATCTACAATATCGTCGGTTGCAGTGGGAGGGAATGCCAAGGAAAAATAGATTATTGATGCACAAAGCAAACGGGATAACAATGAAAGTGCAACTCACACCCTGAATTTTCCTACTCATTCCATTATTACCTGTAAACTGCTTGAATAAACAACTGCAGCTCTTCCCTGTATGCAAAGTATATATGATATGAGTGTATTTACAAGTCTGAATATTTGAGTATGCAAAAGTACACTAAACTTGCATAAACCTAGGAAGTCTGCATCCTGGGGTAAAGATGTATGAATAAATTGCAAAATGCATAATAGTTATTACGACGTTCTCTAAAATGAGGACATCGCCTGCCGTATAAGCTCATATTTAGTTGAGGAAATGGGGAAGACGAATTTCGATTTTATTGCTCTTATTCGCCCGTTGAGTCCAGAATTAGATGATTCTAGATTGATAGGGCAATTTCCCCCTTCTTTCTGTCTGTGGTGCTGGTGTGATGATGGTTGACTGCCTTTAAATTCTATAATATTCTGACAGGAGAGGAGAAAGCAAGTCGTCGTAGGTATCTGTTGGTGTGGCGTGCGTGCAGTTGCAGAATTCAACTCAAAGTCACCACCGTAATTGTTCCAACCTTATTGCCCGACTCGTCGCCACCCTCACGAGAAGAGTTTTTCATCGACCAGAAACACCCGCCCGCTCATTATCGGTTTATCACCTTCCATCTCGTGCAATAAACTGCACGCGATCTTTGCCTCATCGATTTAGTAGTAAAGGCAGTTTAGGAATTGGTAGTAAACCAATAAGAATTTCTATGCTTTCTTTTATGGAAAAGTTCACTAAAATAAAACGGCATTTTCACAATGTTTGCTGAAATCTGCATAATGTATGTTTAGGAATGGTATAAAATTCGTAGAAGTCTTGCAGATTATAAACAAGTTTTCTACTACATGCTTCTATTGACTATGTTACTTATGCCAAAAATTAGTGTGTACCAGAATTTTTCATATCAAGATTTTTATTACAAATTCGAAATGTCACAATTTATCCAAAGGGAATTGTTTTCTTCTACAGTATAGTACAGAATTTCAACAGGAGGTTGTAATATTAATTTCTGATTCCTTATGTTCGTCAGAATTAAACAAATTTGTAGAGAATTCGATCTTAGGAAACGCTTAGGAAAAATGGAAGCCAACTTTGGAGTCGGCAATATAAAATTTGAAAAAAACATCGATCAGTCTAATGTAATATTGGACAAGTTTTTCATCAAGTAGATAATTTTAAATATTGCTCATCACCTGCAAACACACTTGCACTACATAACTCACCTGAACTTGTCGACACGACATGAGAACACTTCTTTTGAGCAGTAGGTAATGTATTACAACAATGTGTCGAATTGCTATTTTGATTTTCTTATTACAGCGACGAGCAGTATGCATAAGTAGTAGCAGTACCTCCTTCTACTTATTTAATTAATAATTACATACAAAACTGAACGAGTAAATATTAGTCTAGAGACTGACAGATATTTTTGACGCGATGCGCATTATTCAAGTTTTTTTATCATCGATTTGTCGAGCTCGTTCAATCGAGAATACTTACTATACATTACCATAATAATAATTACTATTAAGTGTGTACCAATACGAGAAAATTGTAATTGGTAACAGATCATCATGCTAGGAAGGAAACAAAATTGAGCATTTCCTGACAACGTGATTGATTCACGAAACAAGGCCAAATAAATTAATGGCTTTAACTAATTAATCCTACAGATCGACTCCAATTTTGAAAGATTATATTTCAACGCTTTGCCATACAAATTATTGCAAGTAATAATAACCCCATCCCAATTTTCAATGTGAAACATCTACCCGAAAAATGAAGCACAATATTATCTCTAGTTTAAATTACGTAAACAATACTTTAGATACACTATAAATAAAGAAATTCTCAGAAGACAACTTTCCCACTCACCAAAATTTCTAATAATCGTATAAAATTATGACAGATAAGAAGGAGCTGCGGAATTTTCGAATCGCTTTTGAATCTGGTCGTATGTGAACTTGACAAAGGTGTCGTATTGCTCGGCCAATTTGGCATTCAACACCTCATCATACAGCTCTCTAAGGCTATCCTCCCTGTCTTTTAGTAATCGCTCACAGATCATCCCCACTTGTCGAAAGGTGAAGAGATGCTTGTCTTGTTTAGTTTGATGGTGAGATGATGACGCTGGTGACGCCGGAGTGTCGATTGAACCATCAGAATTCGAAGGGCTAGGTGGACCACTTGGACTAGTCGACCCGTCCCGTTCACCAGAACTGTAGTACAACTTTTTTCGACGATGCAGCCGTTTCATCTCCTCCCGAATGCTGATAGAAATTTGATCCATGTGAATCTTGGGAGTCACTTCAGCAAAGGGGGAAGGTTCTTCCTCCTTGGTTGGAGTGGTCGGTGTCATCGGATTAAATCGACGACGTTTTGATGGTCTCGAACAGATAGGGTCCAAACTCCGCTTTAAAGTTGCGCATGCCATATTTGTCTATTAAATCAAAAACAAATTGTTAAAAACATTAAAAAATATAAAAATGATTACTACCACTTACAGCTACTTTCTTGGTGATTCAACAAGTCTTTTAAAAGTCGATTGGGTTCTCCACCTTCTTATTCGTCCTCTGAAAAAAATATTATCAAATATAGAACACAAAAAAATGGATATTATTATACTGAGGGGTGGCAAATTCTAAGATTTTGTTGTTTTAGTTAAGATCGCATATGTATTATAAATAATATTTTTAATTCAAATAAAGGGTTGTAATTCCCTAAATTAACACCCCTTAAAAATTGTCAAACTTTTGTTCACCCTGATCCAGATGTGTAAAAGCAATTTCCTTCTGATAACAAATTTTGCGAATAAGTCTGAGAAACATACAAGTCTTAACAATGCAAAAAAATTTCTGTTATCGAACATTAAAAAAAATCAGTTTCTTTCTTTAACTCAGCCACTTTGTGTCTATTTTTCACATTTTTCAATAGCAAACACTAAACCAGTTACGCCCGAACAATATTAGATAAAGACGAAAATTTATTTTAAAAAAAGCAAGTCAAAGATTAAGCATATTTCCAAATTTAAACCAAATGCTTAACCTCAAACCTCACTAAAGAAAAGAATAAACCCTCGTAAAAAGTGTTTATTACAAACCCACCCTCCATCCGTACTATCATCTCTGACTTACCTACAAGTATAAAAAACGACTCCTAATTTCTCCTAATTTCGCTCCCATCCAAGAGAAATTAATGGAAAAAAGGAAAAGCTTTTTGAAATTGAATTACTTAAAACTAAAGAATATTATTTTTGTCTTTTTGTATATTTTGTATTTTTCTGTGTTGTTGCTGCCTAGTAGTGGCTGCCTTTCCTTTTTATCTCCTTCTTGAGAGTTAGTGGAGTGAGTGAAGCTGCAAAAAGTGCCATCTACGCCTGCCAACACCATCGCAGACCAAAAAACTTGGAAATCTCATTTCTCTCCAAATTGCACACCAATCCGCCAGCTAAGAAAATCATGTGCGATTTACTCATACTTTTTCAACTACGGCTTATTGTTTCTGAAATAGATTCGAAATCCTTTTGGTTCGTGGTTGATTTGTTATAAAAGTGTTTAAAAGGGGTGCTCACATCAGGTCGGCAGCTGAGATGTAAGTTGCTTTTGTAATTATAATTGGTCATATTGAATTTGCATTGATTTTCTATTTTTCTGAACAGACAGCAGAAGGTAACATAGGTGATTAGAGGAGGTGTCCTTACCTGTGGCTCTTGATGGAGGTGGATGGAGATGAAGGGGACGAGAAGAGGTCCCTGCCGCGTGACCCCCGTTCCTTCAGGGACAAGTATCCCCCCGAGGTTAGGGATTGGTGGGAAAAGGTGCTCAAGGACCCAAGGCATATCGTGGCCCCCATGGTAGATGCGTCCGAGCTGGCCTGGAGAATGTTGTCCAGAAGGTAGTAAACTTCGTTAAACACTTTGAGCCTTTTCACACAAATGTACAGATTATTAATATAGCATTCATTTTGAAGATACCAGGCTGACCTCTGCTTCACACCAATGTTGCACAGTCGAATTTTTTCGGAAAATGTGACGTATCAAACGGAAAACTTATACAAGGATGTAGACCCGGCGGATCGACCACTGATTGTGCAGGTTGGCTTGAAGTGAAGAGCTTGAAGTGTTCGTGCTGTTTGAAATGATTAATTTTAACTTAGGTTTAAATTTTCAGTTTTGTGGCAATAATCCTGATGTGCTAGTAAAAGCGGCTGCACTTGCGAAGCCGTACTGCGATGGTATCGATATTAATTTAGGTATGTTGACATATTTAGATTTAATTCCTGTGGGGGTTGTTAAATCATTGGATGGGTTTCTTTATTAATCATTTTTGTCTTGCAGGTTGTCCCCAAAGAATAGCAAAGAATGGACATTATGGAGCCTTTCTAATGGAAGAATGGGATCTAATTGCCACAATGGGTAAGATTTACACTTCAAGTTAAATTGCTTGTTCTTAATGCAGATCAATAATCAGTATTTATTTGTTGTGCTCGCAGTTAGAAGAATACGAGAAGAAGTTTGTATACCAGTTAGTTGCAAAATCCGAATTTTTCCAGACGTTAAAAAAACTATACAATATGCTCAAGCACTAGAAAAGGCAGGTTGCTACATGCTTACAGTTCATGGACGAACACGCGAGCAAAAAGGGATGGACACAGGAATTGCAGACTGGTCTTATGTCAAAGCTGTCAGGTGGGTATATTTTTCTATTTATACTTCTACATACAATCTCGCTGATTAACGCGAATGAACCTAATTGAGACTTATTATTTGAAATAGAAATTCAGTCAATATTCCTGTCGTTGCAAATGGAAATATCCAATATCTCCCCGACGTTACAAAGTGTATTAGCGAAACAGGCGTGGAAGGGGTAATGAGTGCCGAAGGGAACTTGCACAATCCCACAATATTTTCTGGAAATAATCATCCCATAACCTGGGAATTGGGACTTGAATATTTGGATTTAGTGAAAAAGTATCCTTGTCCATTAAGCTTCGCGAGGGGACATTTATTTAAAATTTATCACCATTTGTAAGCCAAAGTTAAATTGTTCCGCTAAGCTATTGCAAACATTATTTACTTACCTGATTAAATTTATATTTTTCTTGTAGGTTAACAATTCCAGAAAATAGCGACATTCGACAATCCCTTGGAAGTTCAAGTTCATTTGATATCCTTCTACAAGTGACACTAGACTTGAAGGCGCGGTATGAAAAATATACTACGGGTCAAGCTAAATGGATTCCTCCACTGGATCCACCTGAAATTGCAAAATTACCCCTACCACCTTATATTTGCCAACCTTATGTCAGACCTCCAAAAAAGCCCCAACCTGATCCCGGACTATCAGGCGACTTATGCAATAGTCCTGTAGGAAGTAAACGAAAACTGATTATTCCCGACAGCCTTTTAGCATCGATACCCTCTGGAACTAAATTATCCAATAATAAGTTAAAAAAGATGTCAAAAAAGCCAAACAAAAATTGGGGTCTGCAAAAGAATCCTGTGATACTCTGCTTAAACTGTGTTAATCCACGAGGGTTAACATGTGACTTTACCCTATGTAGAAGGTGCTGCAGAGCAAAATGTTATTCAGATACTTTGGATTGCAAAGGACACAAAACATTTATACGACAACATCGAGAGTCTTCGAAAAGTAGTTTCGAAAGACTTGATGATGAAAGTTGATTTAAGCAAAAATAGTTGTCTAATAAGGCATGCAATCACATATCCCATAAGTTTGGTATGTTTAATTATCATAGTACGCACTTTATTACACTCGTGACAAATAATAATATAATTAGTTACTGAATAAACTCTAACTTACTACGTTTTAAAATAGTTGTCCGTGTTTTATTGCATATGCATGAATGACATCATGGAGAAAGTCGTCTACGTCTACCTCTTGATGAACTCATACCTGTATATCCAGTAAAAAAAATTATCCTTTCTTCTAATACAACGCATGATGATATCATCACTTATACTGTCGGCTAAAATAAAGTAGGATCTCATCCAAACCAGCATCAGCATAATCCTATATGAGACAAAAAAGTAGATAATTTTGGGTTTGTGCATGGCTCATTGTGTTGTGTTTCAGAAGGACGATTGCACATGTTCACGACTAGAAGAAACCTTTTACTTTCTATAGATTCATTCAGTAACATTGGAGTGTGCAGTATGTTACATTATTATGGTGACTGATAATAATTATTGTACTCATGCACTGATTCACAGGAACAGTTAGCAAGATGAGTTAGTTATTGTGCATTGAATGGGCTACCAGTTTAAAAATATACAACTTTTTCACCGAAATATTACCAATAGAACAAATGAAAGTATTCTCAACTTCTCATAATGAATAACTTGATCGGATTTGAGAATGATCGATGGTACAAAATCGTGAGTGTTGCAGATAACACGGTAATAACTCAGCAGTATATTTTGTAATTTTGTGCATTTTAATTGCTTTGCTAAATATTTAGGTGGTGCAAGTCGAAGGGACCAAATTAATTTGTGCCCCGGAGGATGAGACTAAGCGAGACTATCAAAGGTTCCAAGCAATTGCTCAAGGTAAATGATTGATTTTCTTCGAATTAGGACGTTACACTGACATTATTATTACGATTTATTAATTAGATGACGGAAACTATCGGCTAACCTCAAAGTTTCAAAAAAGCACAAATTTTATCCAAGTTTGGGACTTTCTTCCCCATCGCTCTCTTCTCATACAAAAAGTAAGCGACAAAAACTTGTGATAAATGTTAAATAAAAATTGCATTATTGTGACTTAAAATTTATTCGATTTTTTATAGAAAAAAAGTGCAGCAGAAATCTCGACGCAGATATGGAAATGTGAAAATGTGTTTGGATTAAATTGTATATTTTTCGTTATTTCGGTGCCGACTCCAAATAAGTGTTTGAAAAACATGAATTCTTCAGAGAAAGGGTATTTTTACGCTTAATGTACTTAAATAATCATAAAAATGAATTGAGATAGTACCCTAAAATTGCAGAACTGGACAGCAAATTAAAGTCGTGGAGAAGACGGATGCCCAAATGACCGGTGATTCGTACACGCATTGGCGACTCGATCCAGAACCATTAGCTTAATGATAATATTTAGTATAATTGGAATTTCCCCATAATTTCAAATAATTCATGTCAGTATTTTTAAGCATCTACAAATATGTATTATTTAATTTAGCAACTGTTGGCACTATTTACCTGTGATATAAATAAGTTAATATGTATATATACTTATGTAGGCATGCAGTCAAAATACGCATTATTTTTTATTTTCAATTTTGTAATCTTTAGTATTCAAATGTAATACCGTCCTGACCAACTGCCTATACATGTAGTAACTGCAATAATCTGATGGTGCAGATAATCATTAATCACAGAAATATGATAATAATAAATTCTCAGAATAATCAAACGCTAAATGTGGGGAAGGGCTTTAATTTTGTAGTATGACGTTTTTTTCATCGTCTCATCGCCTTTAATCATTTAAAAGATCTCATACTCTCACATTCGCATATAGAACCATCTCAACCTAGAAACATAAAATAAATGAATTTTGGCCAGCAATTATGTAGCAAAATCCACATACTTTCACCACAAAATGGGGAAAAGTATACTGCCCAGCAACCTCGACACAACACCACCACAACCTCATACATAATCAATGTCTCACCTTTTATTTGCTTTCTCTTTGCTCAAGCCTGCCGTTATTTTGCTTATTTAAGAAGAGTGGATTACATTTCGTTCTACTTTCTCCTCCATAAATTAAATAACCTTTGGAAATTGCTTCTTCTCATATACATAACATTGTTGTGGAAAAAAACAATACGTAAATTCAGATCTGGATGAACTTTGAGTTTTGCAAAATTGGAGAATACAAAAAGTAACAATGATATTTTAAAAGTCAAGAAGAGAAAATTTGGAGAAAATATGGTTCATATTTTGAACTAAAAAGTATATTATCATCGCCAGGGTGGAAATGTGGTTGGATGCATTTTCCGATACTCAAGCCACACTTTACACCTTTCCTGGATGCGTTGCCACTGCAGATTTGACTGGAGATGGTGATTACAGACTAATTGTGGGAGATATTGGATCTGGTCATGTCCCGTCAAAACTTAAAGTTTGTCATAACATAAATATTGTCTATTTTATTAATCAGAAATAACAAATAGTTGTACTTTCTCACCAAGGTTTACAAAGGAACTGGGCTGAGTTCCGAAATCAATCTGCAGGATGCACCAACTGCAGTGGCTCCGATGTACATTGACTATGAAACGCCTCGACAACCTGGTCAGCAGTTACAATGCTTCATAAATAACCATTTCTTGCAAAAATTAATAGATAAGCATCCCTTTAATAGTTGTGACCGTAGCCACTGCAGAATACATTTACGTCTATAAGAACTTGCGACCATTCTTCAGAGCCGTTTTACCTCCTTTGCCTATTAATCAAGTGGAACGGGACATTTGGACGCAGGTATGTACATATTACCTAATCGCTACACTTTTCTTCCAACGTTAAATTTAACAAGATTGCATAATTCTATTAGTATGAATCCGTGGAACCACTCCACGAAATGCTGGCAAACCTTCAAAGTTCGGTAGGAGTGTCGGCTTTAACGTTAAAAACGCAACATTTATTAGCACTTCCCCACCATGAGCGAACTGCTTTCGTCGAAGCCCAAAAAGGATCTCCTCTCCTTCGTAAAACGGTCATCACTTGTATGAGCACGTTGAAAAAGTCTCACAACGACGATGACGCCTTGGCGTGCCTTGTAATTGGGACGGAAAACTGTGAGATTTTTATCTTGCATCCTGAGACGTTTACTCCAATAGATGAAGTATTTTATTTCCTCATAAAAATCGACTATAACAGTGACAAAATCATGTACAAGAACATAATTCCAGGCAAAGCTCACCCTGACGGATGTCCCAGCCTTCCTGTCGACCAGTGGACTTTTTGACATCGACTACACATTAACATGCACCACGAGAACTGGACAACTCCTTCTCGGTCGGAGGGGCTACGTGGCCCCACTGATGAATCTGTCCAAGCCACCCGTGGGTGTAGTCTGCCTGGAAACTTCGGTGGTTGTGAGTTTTTTTCTAGTCTACATGATACGTATTTTTGATGACTTATGATTGGCTGGACAATATGTCACACCGGATTGACGATAATTTTTGTTGTAGGTCGCCTTGATGGATTCGACACTAAATTGTTACAGTGATAAAGGGTACCGCCACTGGAGTGTGGGGGCTGCGTCCCCTATTACCTGCGTTCAAAGGGTGCAGCTTCGTCAAAAAAATTTAGACCTGATTGGTGTCGGTTTGCACAATGGGAATGTCTCAATGTACACAACGAGTGGAGAGTTGGTGGACACGATCCCGTTTCCAGAACCAATTTCTGTCGTATATTTTGGTCAATATGGGAGAGAAACTAATAGTTTGGTAGTTATTACGCAAGGTTTGTAAGAATTATAAGATGTAGCAGTTCAAAAAGCTCAAATTATCTTGTAAACTTGAGGACTTATTTTGAATTTTTAATTTATTAGGGGGCAGTTTACATGTCAAGATATTAAAGCGAAGTGCAGATTTCACTCCACAACTTAAAGAAAAGAGTTCAACCGTGTCTGGAAAAATGGTTATTCCCAAGAAGACAAAACTCTTTGTAGATCAGACGATGAGAGAGAGAGAAAATTCCATAAGTATGCACATGTCACAAATTTTTTTCATGAATTTTTTGGAAACTAATACTTTCAGCATTTTTTAAAAATATTCAGCAATGCACCGAGCATTTCAGAGGGATGCATTCAGACTCAAATTGGAAACTGCTCGAAGTCTAGCTCACGTTCTAAACACGAAACAAATCCCTGTTCAAGAAACTGTGAAACTGTCGGCAGAAGTTTTAGGGTTGGGACCAACGTTTACAGTTAAAATCGGGATACAAAATATTGGTCCCAATTCTAGTGCTGCTTCTGGAGGTATTTGCGACCTGGCCTTATTTTTTCATTGGGACGACAAATACTATGACGTCCGACCGCCCATGATTAATGTAAGTGAGACTCATTACATGCAGATTTATTTTTCAAGATGATCAGAATTATTTAATACGATTTTCAATAATCGCCACGCACTACTTCAAGGTCCCATTCTTGGTCCCTGGTGTGGAAATCCAACTTGTCTCAAAGGTGGAAGCTGTGAGTACTAGCGGATTGGCTGACGTGGTCAGAGTCGTCGTTTTCAAGAAGAAACAAGGACAGCCACTCTTGGTGGCAATGATTAATATGCCTCCGAGTGAAATGACGGTTCTATAAGTTAACTTTTCTTTGACAGTGACCTATGTACTAATAAAGAAATAATGAGTTGCATGCATGCAACTCATGAGCAAAAAGTTCCAGACGTATTTAATGGCATCAGTTAGCATTGACAACTTGCATAAAAGATTGTGAGCATACAAATTAACAATAAATCACCAATATGAGTTTCAAAAAGTGAGTTTGTAAACTTGACAATTTATTTTATAACTTCAAAATCACGAACAAAAATTTTCTGGATTTAACCGGTAAAAACATTAAAGGTATAAAAAAATACATGGCAAATAGTTTCAAAATTAAATAAGAAAATCCAAGATGTTCAGAAGTCGTCACTCAAATCTATCGTCGGCTTTCTCCTCCTTTCCGAAATTGTGGTGGTGACAGATTGCAAAAAAGCCATGTCCGAGTTGGAAATCCTTCTCATGTTTGGTTTCGGTTTTAATCCTTCTTGCCAATGCGCGTCTGTATTGGAAAAATTGTTAAAATTATATGAAATTTTGACATTTTTTCATAATCGATATTTTAGTAAAGTAATGTTGCATACCTGCAGGTTGACGTCTACCCTGAGCCTTAGCTTCGGTATAATTCAGGCTTTCCTTCGTGAGCGTCATGTTATAAATTGGATACGATTCCACAACTTTATCAATCCGCATAAGTACTTGACTCTCCACGACGTCGGGCAGACTAGTGTGCGATCTGCATGTGAGGATTCCTTTATATATTCACATTTTGACGTTTGACACTTGACAAGGTTTTGACGTACGTTTGTTCAATTACAAATAATGTAAAAGCGATGAATTATTGACCGGGTTGAGTTTATAAGTAGTTTCAGACATTAAACGAATCGGCTTATCTTCATTCTATGTTGTACGTACAACGATTTTTGGTAGCGTTACTTATTGCTAGGTCTTTCGTCAGCCATTATGCGCAATGCAAAGTAAGCGTATTAGCTCTTATATGCTGCAAACTATTGTCAAATTTGTCCACGAGGAGGGTTAATTGCAAGTCATGACATGATGAGTATTACGTGGATCTTTTTTTCTCGACATGATTTTTGCAGTGTTTCCATTATTTCGTATAATCGATAAGTGCAAGAGGTTATTTCAGAGGTTGTCCGTTTAATAGAGTTAACAGATGATTAGCAAAATTTGGAAAATTGGTGACAAAATGTCAACTTTCGTATGAATCTCACAAAGGTATCATTGTTAGTCGAGACGCCGGCGTGAAATTGTGAGAGACACATTTTTTCCCCATCTTTAAGGTTACATATTTAGACGACGATCACGTAATGACTTCGTGGAATAAAGTGTCTCTAATCCACTGTTAAGCTAATATTTGCCAGCTTAGCGAAATATCAAAAATGTTTTTGCTTAATGTCAAATTTCTAAACATGATGATAAACAACTAATATTGGCTGCAAAGTGGGTGTGTAGTTTGCACAAGACCTCGCGGATATCACATGCTCTAAAAATGACTTCATGAGTCCGGACGTGATGCTGTGCTGTTTTTACAATTTAAAATTTTGACTATTTGATGAAAGGGGTGATGAGGTATTATTTGGTTAAAAATAACATTATGTGGTATCGTCACTTCAAGAATCCTCATGCTGTATTACATCTTTCACTTAACCTACATACTTTACTGCGAATTGAAAGTCTTTTGAGCAAACATGAACAAGTAGAGGTAAGCCTGTCCAAGGACAGGTTCTGATATCTTAATGGGGGTGTGCCCAGTCAGGGGTATGCCCAACAGATTTGTGTGTACATAAAAACATCATATCATACCACACTTTAATTCCCAATGGAGGGTTTCCCCATTTCATACTGCCAACTACTGTTCAATTCACACCTGTCAGAATAGATGTGTTGTATAAAACTTAAATTTCCAGGAGTGGGGGTGGCTGCATAGTTAAATACTTAGATTCCCAGCAGTGGGGATGCACTTAAGTACGAGGCAATGCAGGAAGCAATGTTGCAGCGATTGGTAGGTAAATGCATGCATGATGACTCTGGCAATTTATTTATGTGATATTCAAGACACCAAAGATGGAATGCAACAATGTCAACGATGACCCTTTATGAATTATGATGTAAAAACTCAAATATTAGTTCAAAGGCAGACGTAATCTTTGTGACTGACTTAGTATATTTGTAGAAGTACTTTGGGACTACACACGAGATTACGGGAATTTCTTATCCGAATGACGACATTCTGATTGACATTTCAATTTGTCATTCATCAAATAGAATTTATAGTGCAGATAACAGAGAACCCCAGCAAAGTTAATTTGAACCTGTCAAACCAGAATGAGATTTAATGAGTATTGTTATTAAAAAGGTTCACTTTGAAGTTTTTCGATGCACTTCATCCAGTATCCTCACATATCCTCACATCGTTATAAACAGAGTATTCCGGACAATTTGACAAGACCGGAAACCTAGCCAATCAAGCCAGTAAAATAAATGATCTGTGAGATGCACACAATGTCCCACTCATTGTCAGTTGAGTGTTTTCAAGACACCGTCTTTTAATAAATAAATAAGTATTAGTCGACACATATGTACATATATGTATATTGTCCATATTACTTACTGTTCACTAAAAAATGTACTTGCTTAATTTTGTAGGGGTTCCATGCATATCTAAGGTTATCAGTATACGACATTTAATTCACTGTTATCAGTCTCTTGAGTTTGGGGGTGTGTCAAGAATGACGTACATTCATGTCATTCTTTCTACATTATAAAATGCTGTGATAAGGGCAGCGTGCAAACACTTGACTGAATTTCAAAGAGTATTATGTTAACCTTAAGTTTGATTGATTTGGATTTTCTAATAATTACTAATTAACCTATCAATAATGACTGATAGCAACTAATTAAATATTTGCCCACGTAAATTGAAGTAGTTACCATAACTTGATGGGTTTATTGACATTGTCAGCATGAAAATCTGTTTCGGGATTTGCCGACCGATACCATTTTATCCAAATGGATTTGCCACACGTCCCAATTGACGATCTCGTTAAGTTTAGTCTAAATTAACGAGTAGGATTTTCATGCGCGTGACATTCCGCTTGATCAACTCTCGTATAAACGTGTCCTTTGGTAAAATGACACCAGTGCATCAACTGCTACTTCAAAACTGCATTCAAAGATAACTATTCATACACTACAAATTTTGGTGCATTAATGATCTACATAGATACACACACACAGTGTTCTTTTATAACTCTCAATATTCCTAAATTTGTGACAATATGCATGTAGATATGTACTTCTGCCCTGCTTGTTTTAAAATTTTGTATGAAAACTAATATGTAAGATTAAACGAAAAATCTACGTAGCTCCGTGCCGATTATAATGCATCAAAATTTGTGTAATGTTACTCAAAAAAATGTAGCGTAATAACAATGCAACGCCCTCGGAGATCTTTCAAGCTTCAAGGAAAGGACCGGGTTTAATAAAGGCATTTTTTATTGTTATTATTATCAGCACGGATCAATAGCTCAACCAGAATTAGCGAATGTGCAAATTGAACATGAATATGACTGGTTGTACGAGTAGATGAATATGTGCATTTCAATAGAGATGAAAATATGTTGCTGATTAATAAATTAAGAATTTATTTATTTACATGAGAGTTACAAATTTTATACAAATAATACAGTACACAAAATCTAGTTAGTCAGACAAAAGAAAAAATAATAATGAGCGTTAAGGAACGTAACTTGTACCAAAGAATTAATCGGTATTATTATGACTGGTTTACAAAGTCAAAATGGGAAATATAGATTAACTGGGTTTGTATTAAGTCGTTTTGTTTATGGTTTGGTGGGGCTAGAGGAATATTTGTTCACTGGATAGGACATCGGTGAAAGGGGTAACAATTTCTCTCGTGGCAAAGTAAAAGATAAGTCCAAATGTGATGGATATTGGTAGAGCTGGGAGAGCCTTTTTGAAAATGGCGAGGAGGAGAAGAGTCAAGCAGAGTCCCTGGATAAATTAGTAAAATCATACTTTGAATACCAATTAATATTACGAGTATTATTTATATGAAATTAATTGAAATAAATGGACGTACAATCAAAATTGCAACGAAACAAGCCAAAGTAGTGTTCCAGTCCCCGTATGACGAAGCTTTGCCGACAAGGACGCTGTAGAATATGAAGTCTCCAAGACCCAGCTTGACACCTCCTGCAAGATAATATTGTTATTGTTAAACATTGTTATTAAATAGTTTTTCAAGCCAATGAACTGAAACTCACGCTCTTCTTCTTCTTCGTCAATCAAATTAGTTCCCGAGTTTTCTCCAACAGATCCATAGGGCCCTCTGGTTGTTTGAGAGGTTGTTGCAGAATTTGTACCACCTGTGTAATTTACAATGATATCTCTTCTCCTTTCCACCCTGGCGTCACTCTCCTCCCTCCAGGTTGGTGTGAACCCCTCGGAAACATCGTCAGTGTTGTTAGTAGAAGTTGTTCCTTGGTCCGCTGCCGAGTTACTGGTACTTCCACCCCCATTAACTTTTGTTGCTGATCGTGTACGCTTCTTATTTGCAGGTGGGTCTGTTGACGCTGGTGTCGCTGGTGGAACTTCGCTATCCGCAGTATTGATGACAGAGTACATTACAGTTGCTGAAATCAGAATTTTATTCCATATTTTAAAAATTAAGCTCAGTTGAGTGTTAAGTGATATGAGAAAAATTTTTTCTTACAAGAGTAAATTAACGCTGGGAATATAGGTTCATTTCTTTCTTGCGCTGTTTCCACCAGTACCCTGAGAGGACCTTTGGGCGCTAATACAGCCACCAAATCTGCAAACAAATTATCAGTAAAAATACCATCCCAATCTTGAATCACTTAACTAATTTCGTATTTATATATGCACCCCAAATGGAAATAACCGCAAGGACAACCCACGTAGTCCACTCTGGTAAATACTTGATGAAGACGAGAGCCATAAGTGCAGAAATGAAGATGAGATAAGCTTGTTGGAGAAGGAGTGGTCCCGACGCTAGAAAAAGAATAAAAAGACATTGGTTAACTGGATTTTGCTCCTATTATTTACAAAATAAAAATACAACATTTCTTAGTATTAACTTACAATGAATACAAATCATTCCAACGGCACCGAAATTCCACATGATCATGGCCACAGTGATATAGTCCATCGGAATATTGTAGGCCTGCAGTACTTCCCTAGAGAATTCACTCATTAGTTGATTATAAAATTTGAATGGACATTTCTTCAATCGATTTAACCCACTTCATGTACAGGTACGAGAAGATGAAAAGCAGCATCAAAGATGATAAGATGAGCCATCCACGTATAAACTAAAAAAATTACGACAATCAAATTACTTAAGGTAATTATCCAAATACATTAATTTACGTATTAAATCCTTACCCAATAAATCTTTTTCTTATAAAGAAAGATGAGAAGTAGGGTCATGATCACAATAACGCAAAGAAGAATCATAGCATTCGCCAACGCATTCCACACCTTGGTCGACGTTTCGGTACTTGTTTCATGAAATGGTGTGTAAATCCTAAACAATTAGGAAATTTCACTTAAGCCCTATCCCAATTACTCAATTTACCAAACAGAAATAAGCGATTCACTCACAGATACTGACCCTTGGCAGTGTAATAGTTAACCGACGAAATTGTAGCTACTACCACCAACATGCAGAGGGAAACGGGGACGAAGAGCTTGATAACGTGCTCTGCCCCATACTTGAGTTCCAATTCTTCTTCCTCCTCCTGTGCCGTCAACTCCTGGGAATTGCGACGACGACTTTCTGCTGTTTGAGGAGCTGCCGCAGCATTGTTCCCAGCGCCACCATTATTTGGACGTGACCTGGCTGACGAATTCTGTCCATTTGTCACATTTGACGAATTTCTTGGTGACCTGCGTCGACTTCCAGGTGCTGCGGCTGCTCCACCACCGGCATCTTCTCCGGTCACGACGACGTCACCTGCTCCTTGACCTACTCGGAGCACTGCCTCCATCCTAACCGGATAGGGTTTCTGATATGAAAATTAATTATAACTTTTTAATGACAATCATCAAATTATATAATTTCTAAGTTTAAACAGTACAATTGCTTACCTAACGTAAAAAACTAAATGAAATCTTAGTTCCTCCACATTTCCAATCAGACTGGAATTCAGTTTGACTAATTCACCGTATAATTAATTTGTAATTACTTGCTTGAAACTTTAAAAGTCTATAAATTAGAAATAAATTAATGTAAGATGGAGACTTGAACGAAATGAGTCAGAAACTGTCCAAACTGTCAATAAATACAAAAACCAGCAGCAGGGTTTTGTGAGAGTGTCGGTCGGTGGGAACCGGAATCAAATCTCTCTCGATGCAATATGTCTCTTATAAAACGTGCTTTAAATTCGAAATCAAAATTTTACAACAAAATTACAAAATTGTCACTTTTGGTATGTGTTTTAGATAAGTAAGAGCCATAAAACGAGTGGGCTTTTCTTGACGAAAGGAATAAAATTCTTACCTTGTTCAACAATCGATTTGGAGGAAGATTATTATTAAGAAAGATTATTACATCAACCATAATGTCGATGCAATGCTCGAAATTGTGCTCGTTGATAATTGGAGAGACGTTTGGAATGCCGGTTCAAAGCGTTGTTGATGTCCTCTTGCAAAAGGGACCCTCTCCCCTGCGACACGTCCTGACCTCGATGATGAAATCTATGCCGATTGAAGCTGTAATTCTACATTAATAAGTTGCATGCTTTAGTTGATTAGTGTGTTTGGCTAATTATAATTTTTTATTAAGATTCATGGGGCCCTTAAAACACTGATTCAACACTTTGTCGTCAATTTCCATGTGAATTCCACAACGGGAGAAACAATATATTCTGTGAATCATGAAAAGACGATAGAAATCATGAGATATCCGAGGTTAACTTGTAGTCAATCAATAATAACTTTAATCTCGTAGACTTTTGTTACTACAGATTCCTTATTTATTTAGGTATTACGCTCACGCCGAACAAATGGTAGGACCCGTGGGGAGAGAAGTTCTCGAAGAAATAGTACAATCCGGCCTCGTTTCGATCTCAAAGTTGATCTACATTTGCGGATCTAGAGTGATGAAGTCTAACCCAGACGTGACCGAGGCTGTGCTTTTTGAGCAGTTAAATTTATTCCAAACTACCGCGATGCGACTTGCGGCTAAAAAATATATCGTTATCGTTCCTCCCCCATCGCCAGATAATGAGAACAATGAAGCTGACCCCGGAGCACACAAAGATTCTCACAAACTACCAGCCGTAGACTTAAAAGTTTTGCTTGGAAAACTATTAAAAACAAATGAGACTAAGCTGGAAAGTCTTCCGGATGCGAATATACTTTGGGGAATTTATATCCAACAGTTTCACGCAGAGCTGAGAAATAGCATGGTATATCAAGCATTAGAGAGAAAGTTTAAATCCATGATAGATCCAAGAGTAATTCAAGTAGTGATAGAAGTTGGACTCGAAAGACACCAGTGGGAAGATGAAGGTGCTCCTGTAAGTATGCATGAAATTAAAGATCGGATCGAAAAAATGCCAGATGGGTTGGCAACTTCAAAACACATATCAGAACATCTGGAGATTGTGGGTAAATTGAATAATATTTGTATTGTTCACTTAGTTATGCCAAAAAAAATATAAATAATAATGGTTTCTTGTTTGCTTTTCAGAGGACGATCCAATGCGGATTTTGAGTAGACTGAGTAACCAACTCGGAGGACATTTTGCTTTCAATATGAAAACTGCAGTGTCTGAATTATTATGGAATATAATAGATAAAATTATAACGGAAAAACATGGATTTCATGCACTTCGAATATTTCGACTGGTGAAAGCAAGTGGATTTGTAGAACAAGACACTATCAATGAAATAGGAATGGTTCCAGGAAAGGAAGCTAAACATCTAACATATAAATTAGTAGACGATCATTTTATAAATATTAAAGAAGTTAAGAAAACATATACTACAAATGCTCCTCCTGGAAAAACGTGTACCGTATTTTACGTTGATTCATCTCAAGTAATTGCTAAAATATTTATTTTTCTGTACAGTGCCAATTGAGTTTGAATTAATAATCATTTTTACAATCATTTTTTCCACAGATTGTTCGATCGCTACAGGAATATTGCTACAAAGCTGCATATAACTTGAAACTAAAATCAAAAATTGAACAGGCAAAGATCAAAAGACTTTCTGTTAAAGAAGAAAGGATTACTCGAATCCTGGTCAATATGACAAACAAAAATTGTGCAGAGGATCAATTGAATGAGGTAATTTATTTCGCATTTGGCATTGTAACAACAAAAAACTTACACCTATGCTTCTTCAGATTCGAGAACTCCTCACCCCACCTGAACGAGGACTGTTACTCAGATACCAATTTTCATCTGGAAAGCTGTTAAGTGGCACTATTCAAGTGGACGAAACCTTATTCGTTACCGAACTCTACTTGAAATACCATGGGAAAAATTTTCCCAAAAAAAAGTAATACGCAATACTGCGATCGAAACCTAAAATGAAATTAACTCTCGTTAATGAGAGTTAGTGCAATCTTCTGTGATATTATGAATAGCTAGCAATTAGGATAACTTACTTGTAAAACAATTTATTGACAATGTTACTTGATTATTACAAAAACTAATCAATACTTATCTTTGTATAAATTCTGACCAGGGTGAAAGTGGAAGCAAACTTTCTCCCAGACTTTGCTACGCATAACTCTTAATAATTTATGGATTTGTAGTACTTGATTTTAAACATATCCTTAATGTTATACCTTGTTTAATGACTGAGTAAAATATAGATACATAATTTCCTATAAATAAATGATACATTAACTTCATAAATAAGCATTGGTCAAAATCATCCTTAATAATTATTAATTGATAACATGTCCAGCTTCATGCATTCATTATCTTGTGCATTAAACTGGAGAACACAAAATATCCGAGGACATTTAATTACGTGGAACTTCGAAAAAATATGACGGATGCCATTTGCATATGCCGTTTGAATCAGGATCCTCCTAGTAAACAACCGTTCTCCTGGGCCACGCGACGCATAAGCACTCGCTGCTTCTTCAGAGAAATGCAGCCACTCACCTACTTTCTCCTACCTTTCCTCTCGTCACTTCATCCTGTTTCTGGTTGGCTATAACATCATCATCTTTATGCCCATGCTAAATCTTATGTCGATCTCATCCACTTCTTGGAATTTAGCACTCATCCTTTTTTTACTTTCACTATGTTGTGTAGTGAGAAAGCGAGTAAGTAAGTGACGCCTCTCCGCTCGCTCTCTCTCTCTGTACACAGCTTTCTACTCGTAGCTCTGTACTATTAATAAACCATTGTGCATGCAAAATTCATTTTCCCACTTGTGAAAGTCATATGAGTTTGATTCGGTTGGAGGAGATGGAGCATGGCAGGGAATGATACGAGGGGAGATTCGCGCACCCACAATTACCCAGTTGCCCAAGGGTGGCAAGAAATCCGCAAATTTGGCCAAATATAATTTTAGTAGACACCCTAAGGTGGTCCTCTTTCACTGGAGGATACCCTCCAGAAAGGTAAATGACCACGAGGCCGTGCTGACTTAAGGGAGCCGAGTGAAAGCAGGGAGAAAGGTGTCACTTTTCCTCGAGCCCCCTCCATACGGAGAGAATTAGCAGCTTTATACACTCCTCCACGGCACGGTGGTGGTTTTCTGGTGGTAGTATTATTATAGGAGCAGTGGTGGCGGTGGTGGTTTTCGATTCTTTTAGGTGGACGAATGGGCTGGGATGGTGAGTAAAGTTGAACCAAATGTGGCTCTGTCTGATAAGGAGGATTCACCGCACAGCCCAACTAACTAACTTGTAATAATGACAGCATCAGCAGCCAAGAAGAGGACAGTAGTTATTTAGTTGGTGGCATTAGTAGTAGTGTTCCCTGTGTCTCTCAAACCATTAGAAAAGAGAGGACCCGACAGTGTTTTCGTGCCCCTATCCCACACGAACTCTGACCCGTCAACGTGCCATCTCGTCGGTGACGCCCTACACCAAGTGACGTGCTTGACCGGAAAAGGGGTGAGGGACTGGGTTCGTCAAAATGCCGGCTGCACGGGGGGATGGCATGCGAGGACTCGCCGTTTTCATCTCGGACATCAGAAATTGTAAGTTGTTTCACCACGCCCCCCAAAAATAAACAAGCTGTTGGCTTCTAAAACGGGGGCGAGAGCGTCGTCCGGCTTGTCAATACATACGCCATGATTAGTGCCAAGTTATTTGCATATCAATGGCCCCACTGGAGGCAGGCAGGATGTTATGTTAACGCCCACCTATTCTTGATTAGCAGAGATATATCCAAAATGCAATGTCAATATCAACAACACCTCTGTCAATCAGTGTCACAGCAGGTTGTGCCGTTGAATTTACTAAGGAAATTTACTTGTACTTACGAGCAGAGCAATTATAGTGTATAAAGTTGAGGATATATGTAAGTAATAATGAAATTAGTAGGCGTTTTTATTGTTGGACTACTAAGAATTTATAGAGTGAGTTAGTTAATGGTGATGGAGAATCTGAATAGCACTTGTATTCTTGAGAAACACTGAAAATAGAGATGTATAAATAATTAGACATATGCTTCAATATGTCAAAATTGATGCAATGTGTGATGTGAAGGAAGATACTTTGAAACACCAAAGAGTAAAAAAATGTTGTTTCATTTCAGGTAAAAGCAAGGAGGCCGAGATAAAACGAATAAACAAGGAATTAGCCAATATCCGAAGCAAATTCAAGGGAGATAAGACATTGGACGGGTATCAAAAGAAGAAATATGTGTGCAAGTTGCTTTTCATCTTTTTACTCGGTCATGATATCGACTTTGGCCACATGGAAGCTGTCAACCTACTTTCCTCCAATAAGTATACGGAGAAACAAATTGTATGTTGATTAATATTGATCCCTGAGAATTCTTGAACCTTGGGTTGCATCAAATTTAATTGTTTCATTGATTATTCTTGTTCCAGGGCTACTTGTTTATTTCTGTATTGGTTAATACAAACAGCGACTTGATACGGCTAATCATTCAAAGCATCAAGAATGACCTGACTGCGCGAAACCCTGTGCATGTTAACCTAGCTTTACAATGTATCGCTAATATTGGAAGTAGAGAGATGGCCGAAGCCTTTTCCACCGACATTCCACGTTTACTAGTCTCTGGGTACGTTTAAAATGTTTATGCCTCGTCATAGGAGAAAGTAAATGTGACATAATTTGTAACTCTTGCATTTCAGGGAGACAATAGATGTAGTGAAACAATCTGCAGCTTTATGCTTATTGAGACTTTTTAGAATTCACCCCGATATAATACCCAGTGGAGAGTGGACAAGTTCGTATAAATTACCGATAAATACATACATAAATCGTATCTGATTTTTTTAACGAATAACTGACATTAGCTGAATACAAGTTTCCGCTTATTTATCTAAAATATTTCTAACATTGAACCTAATTCTGCTTTAGATCCGGATCATTCAAATTCAAGAATCATTCATCTGCTCAACGACCAACACATGGGCGTCGTCACTGCGGCTTCCTCCTTAATCGAAGCACTTGTCAAACGCTCTCCGGACGAATACAAGGGTTGCGTTTCTCTTGCCGTTTCTCGACTTAGCCGAGTAATTAACACGATATGAGATAATTCTTATTATGACAAAAAATGTGAAAGAGTTGAAACCACTCAATATTTTTGCTTGTCTAGATTGTAACATCTAGTTACACAGACCTACAAGATTACACCTACTACTTTGTTCCAGCCCCGTGGCTATCTGTTAAACTTTTGAGATTGCTGCAGAATTATCCGCCACCAGGTATTGATAAATATTACTATTACTATTAAATACTCTCTCAGCGTGGGGTTTCAAATGTCTGAGTACTAAACGAAATCTTCTTTAATGAGCAGATGATCCCGGTGTTAGAGGAAGGCTGAACGAGTGTCTAGAGACAATCCTTAATAAAGCTCAGGAACCACCAAAATCTAAAAAGGTTCAACACTCGAATGCCAAAAACGCTGTACTTTTTGAAGCCATCAGTCTTATAATCCACTCGGACAGCGAACCCAATCTCCTTGTCCGAGCATGTAACCAACTTGGCCAATTCCTCACCCACAGAGAAACGAATTTAAGATATTTGGCATTAGAATCCATGTGCTTGTTGGCTACATCAGAATTTTCGCATGAAGCTGTTAAAAAACACCAGGAAACGGTCATCAATGCTCTAAAGGTATGTGTACAGAAATTTTTGGACAAATATTTGAATTAACTTCCCATTCCCTCAATTAACTTAATCTTGATTAAATATCCTAGACCGAGCGAGACGTTAGTGTGAGACAGAGAGCCGTGGATTTGTTGTATGCTATGTGCGACAGAAGCAATGCAGAAGAGATTGTTCAGGAAATGCTGAATTACTTGGAAACTGCGGATTATTCCATTAGGTAAGAGTATATATTTATATCATGAATTGTTAAGTTTAAAAAAATTTTAATTTAAAAAATTAATTAAGTCCTTCAATAATTTGTACATTGTGGCACATTTAACTAAAACGAGTGAAAGGAACCAAAGAAAATGTAGTGACAAAGTTGTTACACATTGAACTAAAATTTAGGATTAGATTTCATTTAACAAAAATATAGTGTAAAATTAACTGAAATAGTTCACTTGGCCAACAAATACTTGTTAACGGGGTCCCAATTTATGGTGGAGATATCCAGGGTGACCGGAGGGGTGAACTCTAATTCTCGTGAAGTCCAGAATCCAACTAATTGCTTCATCTTTTCCAAATGGTGCGTCTCCCATTCAGAAAAATGCTCATACTTGTCGAAATCAATTTGGATGGGGTGCTCATCAATGGTACCTCCCAACATTTTGCAAAGAATAACCCCCAACTGCCCCACACTTTCCATCTTTGCGGTCTCTTTTTTAATGAACTCATCATCACCTGCTTCACACTGGAAGATCGGGATACCCTTGTCGGAAGGGTCATGATGCCAGTGAATGTATGATTTTGGCATCGGTCCAAGTCCGGAGGCAGTCTGCTGTTTTATTGTGCCAACATAAATCCTTCCAATTGTTCCATATTTCATGTAAATCCATTCATCACCGTCCCTCCATTTCAAGTCTTCTTTCTTCAGTAATGGAGATTCAACCAAGGTCCCATATTCTGAAGGTTCTCCTAATGATAATAATAATAATAATAATAAATAGAGAATTGTTATAGTAGAAAAATTATAATAGGAAATAATTGATCTTACCTAATGCAATGCGAAACCCACAACTCTCTAAAATTGTCTTCACAACGGTCCAGTCCACTTTGTCTATGTAGAACTGATCTCCAATGATTTGTAGTTGATTAGTTGCATTTACATTAAGTGTGGCGATAATAGCGAGGATAATGTTGGCCGTTTGTTTGAAAATTTTGGATGACTCTAAATCCTGGGCAATCCACGAACGCTTTGTCACCAGTTTCCAGCTTGGATTCAGTTCCTCCTCTTGTCTTTGTTTCTCATCATCATCAACGTCATCATAACCATCTTCAGCCCTTGCAGCACGCTTTCCTATTTTTTCGTTGTTCTCATAGTTCAAGAGAGCCTGCCATTTGGTTTTGGAATTCCTCGCCGTTTGGAGACAACCATCCAAATTATGAGTAAATTTGGGTGAATGTGGTTGTGAAGACAAGAGAAAGTAGGTGGCTGTGGTATTATCCTCATCTTTAATTAGGAAATGGGTAGCGTTCATCGCATTATTGTGTTCATCACACTTCCACTCACTTCCTTTAATTTTCCAGCAATTGTCAAATTGACACATCCCAGATCTATTTCTTTCCCCCCACGTTATTCTTCCACTTGCAAACTTGACATCTATAATTTCGGTCTGTTCCACATTTGAATTCTTTGTACTCGGATTATTCTCCCTGTTCTTTCTAGTCTTTTCGCACACTTTCCTTCCCTCCTTCGTGACTTGCAAAGTGTCTCCAGAATGGAGTAGTATTTTCATGGCACCAGACGTTTTCATATATCGATCTTCTCCATCCCATCCGTTGGTATTGGCCAGATATTCTTTCACATGATTGAAGATAAACTCTGGCATGGTTGACTTGGTGGGTGGAACCCAAACTTCTTCTGGAGGAGGAGGAGGAACAACGACGCTGGTTGATTTCCAAGGGAAGCGAGTGGTGGTAGTGCTATTGTTTGCTTGAGAGTTGAATGGTGAGCAATCTATGGACCATTTTGGTATGTATTATTACATAACAATTACACATAGATTAATTGAACCTTACCTTCAATTTCTGTGAGCTCTCCTTGTTCGTCTTCCTCAAAAATTCTAATTGAACGGCCTGGTTGTGGCGCACGCACTGTTAAACGCACTTTCTTAGTTGGTGGCGAACTACTTGCTAATTTTGATAACATTGTAAAACTAATTACAATAATTAAAATAGTAAACAACAATAAAACTATTCCAATTTTGGACGGAGTGAGTGTTCTCTTGTGTTGATAAAATTCTGAGTGGAGTGATGACCGGGTGACTCAGTCAGGGCTCTGTGGATGCAAAAGAGTCAATGAACTCCAGACACATCAGCTGTCTATCGCCTAAAAGTGAATGTTCTTACTTCTTTCTTAGGGAAGAAATGGTTCTAAAGGTCGCCATCTTGGCGGAAAAATATGCCACTGACTATTCCTGGTATGTCGACGTCATCCTTAACCTTATCAGAATGGCAGGGGACCACGGTAAGTCAAGAAACAATTGGTACTATAGTACAAATTATTTGCAAATGTAGAGTCAAGTTTAATCTTATTTTAGTTTCTGAGGAAGTTTGGTATCGCGTTATCCAAATAGTTGTCAATCGAGAGGATGTTCAAGGTACCTATTTTAACACTGAGAATCAGTGAAATGTGAATTCGTTAATGACTAAAATGTTAATTTTTTTAAGGATATGCCGCGAAAACAGTCTTTGAAGCTCTGCAAGCACCTGCTTGTCACGAAAACATGGTGAAAGTCGGAGGCTACATTTTAGGAGAATTTGGCAACCTTATTGCTGGAGATCCACGATCGGCACCCATTGTGCAGTTTAACCTCCTTCATTCCAAATATCATCTGTGTTCCGTAGCCACGCGAGCACTTCTTTTGTCAACCTACATAAAATTCGTCAACCTCTTCCCTGAAATAAAAGGCCAGATTCAAGAAGTTTTCAAACAAGATAGCAACATTCGATCTTCCGATGCTGAACTCCAACAGAGAGCATCAGAATATCTTAAGTTGAGCATTGTCGCTTCCACAGATGTCCTTGTAAGCACCGACAATCCATAATTTTACATATATTTTAGAATTATAATTCTAGAATATTGTATAACAAATTTATTGCAATTTATTACAATGTTGTGTGATCCAATTAGGCTACCGTGTTGGAAGAGATGCCCCCGTTCCCTGAGAGAGAATCCTCAATATTGGCCATTCTCAAAAAGAAGAAACCAGGTCGAACCGTTGAACCAATCGATCCCAACAAGGACACTTCACAAGCGTCAACTTCCTCTACAACGGAGAGGCATCATCACGCCGAACCCACGGCACACCAAAATGGGCAGACAGATCTGTTAGTTGATGTTTTAGGAGACATGTACTCATCCCAGTCACAAAGCGGAGCCGGTCTAATGAACAATGCTGTTGGCCATCAGAACAATCTGGGCGGCGGAACAGCTCCCGTTGATAATTTAAGCAAACTCTCATGGAAGAATAACGGGATACTTTATGAAAACGATATATTGCAAATTGGGGTCAAAGCCGAGTATCGCCTAAACCTTGGAAGGATGACTTTGTTCTATGGGAATAAATCTGATTTCTCGCTTAATGTTAGCAATAATAGGATCATGTTTAATATTTCCACTATGAAGTACACCACTTTTAATTACAATTACGTTTTTTTATTTGTCGCAGGGGTTTAATCCTACTGTTGCCGCACTAGGAGATTTAGCGACCAGACTCACTGTGCAAGTGAAGCCAGTGGAATCCACAATCGTTGCGGGTGCACAAGTTCAACAAACGATTAATATAGAATGTCTGGAGGACTTTAAAGGTTAGATTACAAAGTCTTTAGATATTAAATATTAATTAATGGAATAACCTGTATCGGGAATGCATATATAAATATATATGAATTAACGAATGACTATTGAATGATTATAGAGTACCCTAGTCTGGTAGTTACGTTTCTTTACAATAACACGCAGCAAAAGTTGAATCTCAAGTTGCCGGTAACTATTAACAAATTCTTCGAAGCCACTGATATGAATGGCGAGACATTTTTCTCTCGGTGGAAAAATCTCGGGGGGTAAGCTTCTCAATATTTACAATTCCGGCACATGTGTAAGATTTCTTGTTCACTTAACCATGTAATACGCAACAATGCAGGCCACAGCAAGAAACACAAAGTATCTTCAAAGCAGCCCATCCCATGGACTCAAATGCAAATGGTGCAAAACTATCTGGTTTCGGGATGCAGCTTTTAAAAGGTAAATCAAAAATAAATTACTCATTATTTTCCAGTTATAGTGCCAATTTTTCAACAAAACCTGAAAGTCTAACGAACACTATTCGTCCTTTAGGAATTGATCCCAACCCTGACAATTTTGTGTGCGCTGCCATTCTGCACACTAGAAATCAGCAGATTGGCTGTCTTCTTAGACTTGAACCGAATCGTCAAGCCGGGGTACGAAAATATAAAACACACGCTACGTGATAATGCATACATTCAAAAAAGGTAACTCGTGTTTCAAGTTGTTCTCTTAATTGTCACTTTTCAGATGTACCGTATGACAGTCCGCGCAAGCAAGGATACTGTTTCAAAGCAGATGTGTGATTTGCTGGCAGAACACTTTTGAGATGGGTGAACAAGAAGATTCCAGTAGGCTTAAGTAGACGACAAGATGAGAATTTCAATTCTATTTTCTTTTGACTTTTTGAGATAGACGTAGTTTCAATTTGATGAAGGAACCGTGCTGTTACAGCCTCCATTCAAATTGATAAAAAATGACGACACAACTATGATATCCGGTAAACAGAAATGCTATAATGAAAAGCATTAAAATATTATGAAAAATCGTAGATTTATCCTTCCGATTATAAAAATACCGGACAAGATAATAATAATAATAATAATATTAATACTCTCTAAATGTCTATCTTATCAGTAGTTATATGAAAGCAGCGGTAATAATTATAATAATAATATCATTTACTGTGCATGAAACTAAAAAACGCCATGAAATTCATAGAGACGAACTGTAGACCAGATTTAGAACTTGTCCTAAAATGACGATGAATGTTGTACAGCATATCTCGGTGAAGAATAAATCGATAAGTACCAACTTTTGTTGCTATACTTTATTATAATTTATAAATTTTCTTTAATAAATTGCAACTGTTCATTTGCTACAAATTTCACATGTTTTCTATATTTGTTCTGCACTTTTCTGAGATTATTGTTTATTATCAGAAAGCGTAGTAAACAGCAATTAGCAGTCACGTTAAATTTATCTATACAATATCCTAATAAAAAATTTACTCGCACACGTTTTTTGAAATTTGCAACCTCATTTAAGCAAGAAAGTGCATGTACAAAGAAACCAAACCGTTTATAAGAAATAATATTTCTCATTAACCCGGCTTCCGAACCGAATCGTGTACTTTTATTCCAGGGAAATCCAACCCGGGTATTTCATATATTTTTAGTTTACAAGAATCAACTGGTTTCCGTTTCGGTTGATCTGTTCCCATGCAGTCATTAAAATTACAAGGAGGATAAGAGGCTGGATTAACCAACCAATATAATCATTTTTAGCAGCGTTCCTGCAACAGTTGCTGTTTGTGCTTTGTGTTCTTTGTGTTCTTTGTTTGTGGTGTAATTAAACCAACGCTAATGCATCCTGGGGCTAAAAAGAGACCGGAATTTTGCAAAATTGGAGGAGCTCGAAGAATTTATAAACTTGTTTAATTAGTCCTTGTGAGATGGTAAGCTTTCCATGCAATCTCATCCTTTATTGTGTCCATCAATATTGTGTTCATGTCGATAAAGTCGTCATGTCTCAACATAATAATTTATGACTCGTTTGATACTTTGTTACTTTTAATGGATATTCTGCTGACCATATGCACAACATGTGATTGAGTTGGAAACGTGATTATCGGCTTCTTGTTATTGCCAGTCTCATGCAGACAATTTTATTTATTGCCAGTCTCGGATACTTGTCTTCAATAGATCATTTACATACATACCTTTTTTCTAGAGTTGTTTTCTTTGTGAAACACTCTGAATGAGTATGTACATTTATAAAAACACAGCAATTAAACGAATACACGTCTGAGTTTTAGAGTAGTATCATACCAAGTATTTACTAATTATGGAGATAAACTACATGTATATGCACTCAATTTTCGGGGAGATTTCATTATGTGGTTCATTTGCATGTTGCTCTTGTACCTAGCTTCACATTCACTCTAATTATTTTCTTGATTGGACATGGTTTTTAGTTGGACTGCATGTTGTGACTGTGACTATTCGTTGTTTCATGTTTTCATGTTTATGGGTTTGCCATGCAGATCACTGGATCTACTTCAACAACGAGATGCACAACGTTTCATACAAATTTGGTAGTGTGCTTCAAGAGTCACTGGAGTAAAGTAGTCTACTCTACGTTCCACACAAAAAAATCGGTTTTTCCTCGTGACAGACAACCCTTTGACACTGCGGTCCCTCAATTATCACTATTTTCATAAACCAACTTTTCTCGTATAGCTCACGTGCTCGAGTGCCAGTTAAGAAGGTGTGGATTGGTATGTGAAAATATGCCGCACGTAGGCCAAATTAGTTGTTCTTTGTACTGGAGCCCTACGTTCAAAGAGGGTCTTTCTTTCTCCTTCCGTGCGAAAGGAGTGACGGGGGTTGCTGATTCCGCATCCTTTATTATTCCAGGTGAGCAGAAGCAGAGCAAGACGGAGCTTCTGGTTGTGGTCGTGACTGCGGAGAAAGTTTGAGTCTTTGGAGTTTTGGGGTGGACGTGGACATCGGCGAGGTATTAATTGAGGTGAGCGTGGAGTGAGAAGGTCAGTACCAGTCGACATGGCCACGGCGAACGGGTCCCAATCCACCACCACCTCCTCTGGAACCTCATCTCCTACTGGCGACAACAACCCCTCCTTCGTCTTCACGCCAACCACACCCATGGAAAACTGCTTCCTCGCCTTCGACACTGACGGGTAAGATACACAGTGATTTTTTTGGCAAAAGCTCATTTTTATAAATTGAAAATTGTCTGGAAATTGAAAATCCTTGTATCATTCATCCCGTCATGATGTTTAGAAACTTACAATTAGTAAAACAAATATTTTGTCATATGTAGTATGACAAAAAAACTTGTGCTTTTAATTTTCCTGTCATGATTTGAAAGATTCGGAAAGGTCAATTAAGATTGCATGGGAATCATAAAGAATAGAAAAATCAAAAGTTTTTTGTCTCATACTTTGAACTTGCATTTGTCAAGGTCTGATTGTTGAAATTTGATTATAAATCAGATGGGTGGAGTAGAAAATAGGAAATGAGATTTTTTTTCAGAATCTCCACAGTAAATTACTGGTTTTCCAATTGTAATTACGGTTGACATTCATTTGTGTGTAATTTGAGATGTATGTAGACTAATTCCAATTTATGGAGCTTCCAATTTTAATGACATTTTCCGAAAAAAACTTTAATTCGATAGCTTTTCTGATTACTCATTTGTAAATGTGCTGTTTGTCCTTCAGCATTATTCATCTCATCCGCAGTAGTACGACAGCATTGTTATTATTAGTATCAAATTATCCTCGTTTCTTAAACAGTGAAATTGAAGCTCAAGTTTGGAACATACTTCTTCCTCGCTTTGATTAGAATTTCTTCATGTTCATTTTTCCATGCAATCCAGACATGAAAGACGTGATGATTCTTGTGTAGTAAGCAAGTTGTAGGGTTGATCCGTAGAATTGACATTATAGTAGTATCCGTAATTTAACGATGTTTGATCGATATTCTGACTATTAAAATCAATGCATACGTACGTATACACATGTTTAGCTGGCGTATTTGCTCCTTTTTAGCAGCTTTGAATTAACCAGATGTCATATATACATACTACAATAGAATCCCTTAATTTTTTTAGAGTTGGATGAGAAACTAGGTTTTTTACGATGTGGGGTTGATTGTACTTTTTGACAGTGCACAAAATTGTAATGTCTGATTATTTCAAGGATGTGTGAATTGCATGGGTGTCATGTCATGATTTATAATGATGAATTCAGCTACTTTAATTAAGGCTGCTACTATATTTCCATTGGGTCAGTTTCTAACATTATATTCACCATTTTTACATGCTTTTAGGGACGGGTGTTTAAATTACCAAGAATTTGCTGTGTTGTGCCGAGCTTTGTTTCGCAATGAGCGGGATAAGCCTTATCACATCGAGCCAAAATCGTTAAAGGAGATGTTTGATACCTTCGACATAAATCATGTAAGCTATTGACCAGAATGTCCCAGTTTTTACTTTTGTAATCTACAATGTGCTTTTGTAAATTTATATTTATGATGGTTTTGTACATATGTTCATAGGATGGTTTAATTGACGAAAAGGAATTTGAATCATGTTGGCAGAAATGGATTCGCAAGGTATGTTCATTATCTTTGCCCACCTAGCAAATGTATTCAAACCTCACAAATTCTAGCAAATCATTGTACTCAAGTTGAGGGACATTAGAGAGACGAAAATTTATTAACCCCGATATATAATTCCAAATTGTTGCCATCACCTCTCTCGTGACTTCGATTTAGCACGTTCGTAGTTTTCGATAGTGCTGCCTATTATTCCGGCCTCCTGCTAATAATCATTCAATCAGAGGTGTCCTTTGTTAAGCTAGAGACCCGTGAGTTTGACGCGAACAATTGTGCCGAAAAAATGTATTTATCACTTGTTCATGCTGCGTACTTACAATGAGCGTGGGCAAAATTTCCTATAGCTTTTTGGAGTGCATATGGCACTTACTTATGAGTGTTTTGTATGTAAGCAATTTCAGTGCATACCACTAAAAGATTTTCCTGCTGGATGACCGTTCAATCCAGCTGCGCCACTGCATATGCACGTTGTTGTTATCATGCATGGTACTTTTCTCCTCGACATGCTACTACCTACTCCTTCCAAGCAACTAATGACACCAGAATACCATAAATAATGAAGGATCTCATTGATCAAAAGAGCTGGGTACTTGTAGGTACACATCCGTGGTAGTCACCATACATTCACTCCTCGCAGAAGAGGGAGAAAGAGGACACCGTCGCAAAAATAAGTTCCTCCAACGCCAAACAATGCGGAAAGGAATAATAATGAATTTCGGTCAAGTCGTTCATTCCCATGTCACTTTTATTTTTGAGACCGGACGTCATTTTTATTTCCACTGCTACTACGAATCCATTGTTTGAAAAGTAACTCATGACCTGACCACAATTCTGGCCATGCTTTCTAAATACATACATATTCACTCAAAGTGAAGCAAGCAGTTGGTGGACGAGTAGGTCAACAATAATATTTGTACAAAAAATGGCGTGTTCCTCGTATTCGGTTGATGTTCATGTTACATTTATTTGCTTATCATGATTGCTGTCATATTTGATGGTATTCATGGAATCTGAGAATTGTGGTATCTACAAGCTCAAAAAGTGAAAGGTATTTTCTGCTCGAGTATTCTCTCACAATTATTTACTTTTGCTGAAGCGTCCAGCAATTCTAATAATAAACACATTGTTGTTCATTTCTGCACAATCACAAGTATTCTCAAAGTTTGAATGCAAATTGGCGAGTAGATATAAGCAATAATGTAAATTAGGCGGCTAGTACTAAAAGTAAGTATGCATTTATTTCGCACAACTTTCAACTGTCTTTCCTTGCTACGCGAAACTGCGAAAAGCTCCACGTGCCTTGCCATTGATCTGACTGATCGTAATAAATTACAAATATGAATTCATGGTATATTCAATTTGAATTTCTCTCCGAACAATGGAGCTATTTGAAGTATGTGAAGCACACTCCTTTACCATTGGTTTACTTGACTTCGAGATATATGCCCTTTCATTGTAATTGTCTACATATCCGAGAAACAAAGCGTCATTGTTTGTCTTAAGTAAAGGAGTCACATCACATCATCAACACCACGATTCCTGAAATCAGGACGGCACTTAATCCGGGTTTATCTCAGGTAGTTTCACCGACGGTGATTGTGTGTCGAGTGAGTGAGTTCGACGCCGTGCATGCATATGTAGTAGTTAGTTAGCAGTATAGTTAGTTGGCCATGGGGTGAATCGTGGTGTGAGTCTATTGCTCAAGTTTTGTAAATGCACAGAATTTCATCCACTTGGTGCCAGGCACCCAGCATTGATCCCAAACAGGCCATGACATTTCCCTTCCTCGTCTTACTCGTACTTCAAGTGACTGACTTTCTCTCTCTTTCTTTGGCGTCTAATGGCGAATGGAGTGGTGGGGAAGCACCATTGACCAGACAGAAACCAATTCAGTAGGTTGCTAACATACTGGCAATCATAGTTTCACTTTATGAGCATTGAACACTCTTCTCATGTTTCCAACAACTTTCTCCATTGTCATTTATTTCAACTTTTCCTGTGAATAAGGTCTTATTCTAAAAATACTCTTGGGTACAGGCTACTATTAGTTGGGACAGGACGATGGGTGTCCAAGATTAGAAAACAAAAGTTGTAATTGGGTTGCGGTGCTGTATAGTTCTGCATAAATGAAGCCAAACTCAAATGTCGACATTCGCCAAATTTCAAAAGAAATGTGTTGACCATTGTAATAAATCAAAGGTCGGAGTTGGGTTCGCGAGGAATTAGGTTTAATTATGTGAAATGTCAGGATGCATATAACTCGGACCTCATCCAATCAGTGGCTGATTTTTCCTTGGGAGTGCAGGTACTCGGATGTAAGGGCTTTTAGTTACGGGGCACGTTAGATAAGGTGAACGATAATGACAACCTCACCCCGCCTCAACCATTAGCTAAACTTTTACAACAATTCTTTCCTTTCTTTCCTCTCACCTCCAACTTTTCACGAGCTCACACAAAGAAGGCCCACGGTCCGACTTTCATCGTCACGAATAAAAGAAAATTTGCTTCTGCATAGGCAAGAATAGAAACGAAATGGAAAAAGTAATTTAAGCCATCCACACCCGATAGCAGTTACCCACCTCCGGTGCAAATATGTCAGCAAATAAGTTACAAAAATATATTATGCATGTCTGTGTATCGACAAATCACATACAAACCTGTGTAGTTTGACCATTAAATAAAGTAGACGAAACTTGGCAGCCATCAAGTCATCATTGCAAGGGGGATGCCAAATTAACTTAATCACTGTGTCAAACAATAGAACACTTGACCTTTAGATTTTAGTAGTTGGTGACGTCGGCAGTACTAAATTATCACCTTCGTATCACCTTCGACACATGTATTAGAGGCAAATCATGGCATAACAAAGTATAATATCGATAATGATAAAAGACGATGATAACCCAGGGCTGGAAACACACATGTAAATACTTCATTATATAAATTACGACGCAAATTATGGAAAGGGGAAGTTGGTCCAGCATAGTATTGCATAATTCTGCATACACACGTACGTATTTATTAGGTACATGCTGGGAATTTGATAAAAGTCGTCGTTCATTCCGTATTGTCGTGTCAGGTCGACTCGTGTTGTCCTTGAACCGGAGAAACATCCGCAAATTATAGAAACCTGCAACCTTTTTATGTCGTTTCTTCCCCTCCTTTATTTATCACTGACTGATTAATTAGCTGAAAGGTTGGGTAGCATAACAATAATGGAAGGAAAGTATCCACGCCGGATTTGTTTTATTGTTTGTAGAACATCCGGTTGACTTGTGTCATTCATGGTGTGGCGTGGATATTCATACGTGAATTTGCCTCGCATACATGTCGCAATGCAGACATACCTGATTTTTGTTTGGTGATTAATGTCATGAGACACGGAACTGACCTTCAATTGAGTATGTACAGAATACTGTACGAGTACATATGTACGTACAGTGTATCACTGGCTACTACCACTTAATTTCACTGACTTCTTCATACATATCTACCTACTGCATATTATGTAAATACGTGGTTTCATCCATCATCGTCATGCTTTCGTAAAGGATAATTAACGCCACATATGAAAATTAATCAAGTTTTCCCTATTTCCTAGATTGTTCGTCCCATCACGGCGTTGGTGGTAGTGGATGTACAAAACGACTTTATCTCCGGCTCTCTGTCCATTTCCAACTGCCCTGCGAAACAAAATGGGGAAGAGGTATGAACAACGTACAAACGCATTTTGACATGTATCCGAAATAAGAATAAGTGTGTATATATCATGATCACAAATTGATGCTACTCTGCTGTCACGTTATTATTAGGATTTCCCATTGACTCGATCGTCGTGGTGTATTATACCACGACAAAATATTTTATATCGTTAACCACAATGCCACAAAAGGCATATGTGTGGAGACCCACACCAAATATTGCTTTCACTTTGCTTTCACTTAACTCTCGACAATGTCATACACACTTTTTTGTGGGGAGAAGAGAGAGTTAATGACAAACGGGAGTGAAAGTGATTGGATTTGGTTTTGACAATGAGACCATGTTTTGTTACGCCGATAATGTCATCCATTCCAGGTAGTGGAGCCCATCAATCGCCTATTGGACTCGGTCGAGTTTGACTCTGTCTACTACACACTAGACTGGCACCCCGAAAACCATATTTCATTTCTGGATAATATCAACCAAAGAAAGCTTCATTTCAGCAGCAAAGTAAGTGTGAGGAGCCAGTTGTAAGTGTGAAATAATATGTAAGCCCACGTACTCATTCTTTCATGATTGGCTGCACAGATTCCAAATCCGGATGACGCAAAGTTGTACGACACGGTGACGTTTGAAGGGCCGCCGGTAATGGAGCAGAGGTTATGGCCCAGGCATTGCGTACAAAATTCATGGGGTGCTAAAATGCATGAAAACTTGAAGGTATTGAATTATCTGGAAATCATTTGAGCAGAAATGTACTTCAAAAAATTACTCTTTTTCATACAATCTCGCAGATAATTGAGGGGAGTCCGTTTATCTACAAGGGAACAAATCCTGACGTCGACTCGTACTCTGCATTCTGGGACAACTTCAAACTCTCTCAGACTGCCTTAATCACAGAATTAGAGAGCAAGGGGGTGACAGACTGCTATGTTTGTGGACTTGCTTATGACGTATGTGTGGGTAAGTGTGGAGAAAGAGTGGTCATGGAATATGCAATTGCTTATATAAATTAACACGAATTTCCATTCTCTAATTCAGGTGCGACTGCCTTTCACGCCGTAGAACTGGGCTACCGCACCGTGCTTATTGATGACGCCTGTCGTGGAATCACGTTGGAAGATATTCAAGCAACTAAACAAAAGTTGAATGAGCATCACGGCGTTGTCATTCATTCCGATCAAGTGAGTGAATTAATTTCGTGTACAAGTTTATTATGGTCTGAATGAGTAGTTAAATAAATGCAAATTTCCAGGTGAAGGACATGGTTCAAGGGAGAGACAGACATCCAGAACTGGGACTTAAATTAGCATTTGAAATCAGAAAGCAATTAAAACGCCAGAACACAATAAATGACGAATAGCATTTATGACACAGCCACATAATATTAATACAGCTAGGAGTTAGGTAGGATAAAAGACAGGTATTAGTAAAATATAAATACGTACTTTCTCGACAACAATTTCTTCATATCATACCAGTTTTGTTGGCAATATTCTGTATCTAGTAAGTTGTGTGCTGAGATTGAATTGGTATGGACTCAAAAATGGAGATATGTGTCGCTTAAATAAAAAAACTGCGTAATATTAAAATGATGTATTTCACAGTAAATTTGGTATCTCGAACAGTATTCAGCTGTAGTAATAGCACTAAATAAGCAAGATTGTTACTAAAGTTCGAAGTATTCCAGCATCTATGTTTAGCACATCTCTTAATTTGAAGCGCAGAACATTTTACAAACACTAACAGATTTCAGTTTAAAGATAAAGTTTGTAACGGTTCACAATTTTTTTGTAAACTCGCCTTTCGTATCAAAATATCCTTCTACGATCTACACAATGTATTAATTTGTCAACAATTGACAATGGCGATTTAAGGACACATAAAATTGCTGATTTAACATGTAGTAATTTGATAGGTGAGCTGGTGGTATTAGTTTTGCTCGTTGTAAAATTACAATGTTGAATTAAATCCCTGATCTTGTATTTCTTTAAACGAGGTGAAATCTGTTCGCGTTTTTGAACACTAATTATGAGTCGCTAGCCTTCAAATTAAGGGATTGATGAAACGAATGCCTGGTCATTATTAGTAAAGTACAGATTTCTAAATGTTACCGGTTGAGCTAGATATTCCGTCCAGATAATTCCGTGATAGTCCAAGTATTCCATTTAACCTTACTTGTACAAGTAGTGATTATATAAGGACAATTATTGATATATATGTTTTGACAGCAAATTTCTTGTTAGAGCAGTACAAATGAAATACAATGCATTCGGCTCATCTTAAAAATGAGACATTAACAGTGTAAGTGGTATGACATGATTTTATGATTATGCAATTGTCCACCCACCTCTGTCATAAGTTGGTTGGAGAAACATTTCTCATGAAAACGGCCTTTATTCGATGGCATACATTGTGTAGTTGTGTTGCTCTATAGGCTTAATGCAAGTCAATTTGGCAATTATGAAAAAAATATAAGTGCGAAATAAAATCCACTTACTACAAATGCAAAGTTGATTACGATTTATTCTAAAAATCTGGAATGACAAAAGTTGCATTCCCAGTTCAGTCGTTACTTGACGCATTCCGTGGCTACAGGTGATCATTTTAAAATTAAAAATCAATATAATGATTATAATAACCTCATAATCTTACGAAGTTGATGACAAATCATGATTTACATAAACAAAATCAGTACCCAATCACTATATTACGCGTACTGTACTGCACATTATCCCAGTGAATATAATTATCTGTTTTACTATACTATATAGATTTTTTACATTTAACCACAAAAACTCAGAAATTACTTATGTATAATCGCGTAAAAATTATACATTTCATTTGATAAAACTGCAAGTAAAAATATGAAAATTGTTCACTTTCTGGCAGAGTTCTTAAAGTTGAACTCCGTTGAATTTCAGTCTCATTAACATATCGGGACCAATAATTGTAACTGATTAATGTATAATACGAACCTGACTCAATCGCTCGTCACCTCACACACACTTTGCACTTGGGCAGTAATATTACAAGTAATTCTTTGTGCACTGTCAACCTTTCCTCAAATGGTTATGATGAGTCTTAAACCTCTCAACCGAAAGCAAAAGCTGAAAAAGAGTCGTTAAAAAACAAGCGAGCGGATATGGTCCATAATGATGAATGGATTTGTTATTGTCCATGAATAAATTGACACGTATTTAGGTACGGTGCATGCACCGAGGTTAGTTGTTGTCCATTAAGACACACGTTCCGAGAATAGGGTTTCATTATTGGAGCCACGATAAGCAAATCTCGGCACGACAAAGGGTAAGTACATAGGTTGTAAATGATGCATTACAAATTAGCAAGGCGGAGACGATGTGCGAAATACAGATGACATAAAAGTGTCTGACATGTGTCTCATGTAAAATCTGGACTTGAAATCAGTAAAGTTGCATGCAAAAGTAGAGTAAAAAAGGTACTGTAGCCAGAGAAATGACGTATAAAAGCGTGTTAAACCTCTTTTCCAGGTTTCATTCTGAGATCGTCAGTAGGAACTTTGTTGGTTTTCATATCTGCCTGAGCAAGGGTGGCAAGGTTTTCGCCCTTACGCCCAAGTCGATTTCCTACCCTTTTGATACATTTTTGAATAATTTCTTTTAATGGCTTCATCGCCTTACGACCTTTAGGGACCTTGGATTGTTGAGGGGCCACAGTCATTGGAGGAGGGGAGAAGAGGCCCGGAGTTTGACGTCTGATGCATCTCCTCACACCCGAATCGTATTTCGCATTTTGGGAAAAACTCGTCCGTTCCAGGGCGTCATCTCGGGTCTTTTGATGCGTCCTCGCCAATTCTAATTTCTCCCAAACGTCTTGTTTCGAGTTGATGGTGTCGAAGGACTTCTGAACCCCACGAACTATCCCCTTTTCACTGAAGGAGAGGAATAGTCCGACCGATTGATTGGAGTATGGTTGGGAGTAGATTCCATACGTCTCTCGATAGATTATGGAAGAATTGGCTGGCTTTTGCTGGAATCGACAGTTCTTGTGAGGAAGATTCTTCTTTTTTCCCTTTAGTTTTGAAAAGTAAAGATTAGCTTGAAATTTCCTAAGAAAAATTGTAAATATTGTATGTGGAATCAAATCTCGGGTAACGTCTCACCTTGTCCGACAGGTGGTAAACCCTTCCCTTTCGCGTCATGCAGATATATCCACCGGACGCCACTGGTTCAATAGTCATGAAGCCGTCGGTGGAGTTATGACCCGTCTTGTAATCGACAATCATAAACCCTGAAAGATTAGAAAATTTAGTTTGACCGGAGAATTTTGATCAGTTATCATGTTGACTTAAATTCGGAAACAATCGTGAAATCTTTAGTTAAATTAATGATATTTAGATTTGTCCCTACAAATAGGTAGTATAAAAGCCTATTTTGCATTGACAAATATGTGCAAGAGAAAGTCACTGATATAAGTAACTAAAAATCTAAAATAGTCTAACAAAAATGTTGTCACATTTTTTGAGGAGGCAATTTGAGACTACTCCAAAAATTTAGCTTCAAAACTTACCAGATATCGTGGGTCGGCCTTTGCTTGCAATTACGTTATCCCCTTTGACCTTTAGGTAGGAGTCCTGGCAGTTGATGGTTACCACAGGGGTCGAACGACCATGTGTATGGCTGATTAATAGGAGCAAGATGCCTCCAAAAACGGGAAAACTTAGTAACATTGTTTCAGCGATTTTTTACTGACTCGTGCAACAATAAAATAAGTTCCTTCGATTAAGATTTCTTCTTGTCAATTAGTCACTAAACAGTTTTAACCGAATATTTTATTCACACACGATATTTATCGCACGTTGTACAAAATGATACTATATCACAAAAAGGACTAACACCAAGACGAGGAGATGAGACTATGGGACGGAGTGAGTAGGTGGTTGGGGTCAATTTGAGACTGGTTTAACTGGAGTTGTGAATGTGGTGTGAGTTGGAAAAGCGAGATTGGAAGATCCAATGCGACCGATTCTAATTGACTGACTCTGTCCTCATCATGTCTTCCGTTTTTAAAGGACGACAATCATTAGAAATCAAGACAGGCAATTGTCCAAACTGACTTTGGAGTACTTTGGGCAAGAGTTATTAAGCGTCTGCTAATGCTAATAAACGTCCAATAACGATAAAGATAAGCTAACCATGCACCACAAGTGCCATTCGAGTCTTCATACATTTTGTCAATAAAATCTCCTTGTTATTAGGATCCTCCCACTTTCACTGGACTGTATATGAATTTATCACTGCAATATACATTCCACACTTTACACTTAATGCAGACACTCGAAATTCGAGTCTCGAACACAAAGTCAATTTTAGTTTCCAAGAATTGGATGAAATTTCACTTAAAAATGTGTCAAAATCCATTATTTAGGTACGGGATTAATCGATGATTATTAGATAAGATGGATGAATATGAAAGCTGGCTTGCACAGATTTCTTCAGAAACACGTCTTCACTAAAAACAGAGCAAATTTGATCTGAGTGAGTATGAAAATGTTGTAAGGTTTTTCATCATTTTGTGTTCAGGGCGGTCGATTTCTAGGGGAAATACATAAAAGAGTGCTTATTTTACGTGGCTTTGAGTTAAAAAGAACCCTTCAAAAGTCCTTTTCATTTCATCAATGAGGGCGATGCCTAAAGAATATTATCATAAATACTGTACTCGTTCACGTCTAATCCGTCCGTGAATGGGGAAAATGGGACTGAATGAAGCAAACAAAATGTAAAAGTGCACACGAAAAGTGCAATAATTCAGAGTGATTCAATAATTAATCCGCGTTGTCTCATGAAATTTGAAAGCAGACGCTGGACATTTTATTAGTCAGAAAAATTCTAATCCAGTTACGAAATAGCCAAACAACGCCGCATTGCCCATGGTGTAAGTGTAGCATAAATAAATGTGTATTTATGATGGTTGATGGTGACAAATTTTCTGAGCTAAAAAAAAGCAGAGCGATGACGCCTGCAAATTGAGATATCCTTAAATTTGAAACTAGATTTTGTCTCATATTCTTGTAGTATCAACTTGAACGTAACGTGGTTAGCCTGTATGTATTGGTGTAAAGATGAAATCTACGGTCGACTAGTGTCTCGTATACAAAATTGAAGGTCTTCCTCCAGTAAACCTTCCTCAAGACCAAAAATTCCCAAGAATCCCGAAAATGGTTGGGGGGCATAATGTTTGGTAAGAATGGAAGACACGGCACGTGCGTTCAAATAACTGTCGTACCTCGTTTTTATTAGAATTAGACGACTCTACATTTGACTTTATGCATCTCCTCCAATTTAGTTGATTCAAATTTCAGACATTTACATACAGAGATCAACTTAATACAATATGAGAGTGCCAACCCGTCGCAAATTATGCAAGTTATACCTAAAAATTAGGTATCACGCCAAAATCGTAAAACTCCAATTCAACTCTTTGCTAACCCATGTGGATGAGATTTGTGTAGTGCAAGGAAGCAACAACTCAACAACTAGCATTTAGAACAAATGGCTACTCATAAAAGCTGTAATTGCCTCCAGAGGAAAGGACAAAGGACGCAAGGCTCTAAATTGTGGTACTGTTTTTCTTCTGTAACTTGGCCCTCCATGTCAAACTCTAATAGATACATTCACCCATCTTATAATTTTAAAAACCACTCATAAACCAAATAAAGTCAAAGTGGGGTGCACATATTTACTCGATTTGTAGCAAGATTTAGTTAGATGGTTATCAAATTATTAAGAAAACCTCGACACATCGTCATGTGCCTCCAGTGTAAATATGTAATTTCTAATTCGTAGAGGCCAGTTTACTCGGTGTTGGTTTTCTAGAAATCTCGTTCTGAGAAAGGATTGTCCATATCTGCAGATGAATTTGACGTCCGTTAAGATTATGGAAGCAATCTAATAAGGCTCGCAATGTTTATCGAGTTGGAAGTTTCGGGTAGGAAGCAATAAGGACAATCAATGTTCTTTATTTAATAAATAGATCATCATACTTATCCTTGGCTCGCGACAAGAGAAACCAAAACCAATAAGATGAAGAAAACCAGATAGATACATAATATTTAGGTTTATTTTGCTCGTCACACTGTACATGACTCAACACGATAATTGCATGACAAAGATGCTCATATTTCGGAAATGCGATTTTGTGAATTGTAATTTGCTCTTAATGGATTGTTCAGAATAATGATCCCGACTGGATTTGTATTTATATTTATTTTGTCAAACGCATTACGTGCATAGCTAACCACACCATTTTCTATAGAGTCATGTTTGTGGTTTCCTTTCTATACAAGTTATTCATACGGGAGTCCATTGCAAATATTTGATGCTTTTTAACAACGAGACCACAATTCTTTAAAGATTTTGGGGCATTTATGTACACATTTTTACCTTTGCCTTTGCGGTGTACCTGGTTGATTGTCATGTTAGGGGCGTGACCATTATTCACATTTCCAAAGGGATTTTGTCTACTTGAACTAGAAATGGACCAGATGTGGTCCATTGTGTGTACTGTGTGGTGTGTTGTTATTTTTCGGTATTTTTCTTTTTAACGGAGTACGCACTCAAATTTGTCGACAACTGCGGCTTGAAATAAGGAATGGATTTGGGGGGATAAATAGGTTATTTGCTATTGTTTTCTGTGTTCAACATTACGAGTACGAGTACTTGCCATTAGTTTGCATTTGCTTATGTCAAAATTATGTTCACTTTTTCACTCACGAAATCTCTTATTTGTCAAGAATGCATTTAGAATAATTTAAGAAAGCTGGGTAACGTAATGGAAAATATAACTAGAAATTGGTTTTAACAGTTTTGGTATAATTTGCGACTTGTGTTCATTATAGTTACAGCAACTGTGTGGGTAATAAGTATCTGAAATGATTATCATAAATGATTTACATGTATTTATAACAACGGGTAAAATGTCTCTATTCAGACATTTGATGGTACACGACTGTTTGCTTTATGTAGATAATCTGGTCACTTGCACAGATTTTTCTTCCTTTCGACATTCTCCCTACCATGATTGTTGCACTTTATATTTTTTTTATAGTAAAATATGAGCTGACCCTACTTTCACTCATTTTTATGCAGTTTCAGGTGAAATGTGGACTACAAATCCACTTTGTCCAAGTCAGGCACATATTGCTATATATCAGAAGGGCTTTCTTATTCTGGGCTTTGCTAAAATAATCAAATGAGATGCATGCGTGCGTAAATTGACTTATGACCCTTCATTTATTGTTTGCAATGTGCATTCAAGGATAGCAGTAAATGCCAAAGTGGCTAAACATATTTACATATTTACTACGCATATTTCTGTTATTCAGGATATATATGGACTGTCTGTTAATCATACATATTTATTTATGCAAATTTCATCAACCGTAGGTTCACAAAATCAAATCAGTTTTAAATTTTGAGATTTTTATACGCACAAATGAGTAATAATTTCAAGTTGATTTTATTTCACACGGATATTTTTGCATCCACGAGTTCCGATGACATGTTGTTTTTGACGTCAAATTATAATATAAGGTTTCTTCTTCGGACAATAATCCATTCAGCCATCTTTCAGTGAAACTCGAGAAAAGAGGACACATATTCATTTGCACGTATTGCTGTGAATTAGCATATCAAACAGACATAAAATTTTAAGTGGACCATTCAATCACTGTTAAATAGAGTATCAAATGATATTTATGAGCGATTCGAGGACTGCGAGGGCTAATACAGTGATTTTCTCTGGTCCAACTTGCCTGGTGGAACAATGGCGAGTAGGAATCTGAGAAATACGATAAGCAATCACTATTCAGACAGCCATGTCATTTCCCTGGAGAGGTTAAGGTGAACGGTTGACCCGGTCTAACTCTAATCATTAGGCATCATCAAATTAATCTCATTCTCATGAGTGTCCACAACCGTAATTCATGCTAAAAGTGAAATGTCGTAAATTTATCAGGATTAATGAGCTCGTAATCATCAGTACCTACTACATTTCAGTCAATAATAAGTCAGTTCATTTTTCTTGGCCGAATCGTGTGAATATCTGGACTTTGAGAAAACATGCAGCAGCCTGCCCGTCACTTTTCTGGCTTCTGTCAAAATTTCCCATACAAATGGATCATTTTTAAAAATTACGTGTTGATTATTGGTCTGGAATAATAAATGTGATAAAATTACATGGATCAAATTCCGTCCTCATGTCCTACTTATCAAGCTGTTGTCGTCAACCTGCAATAGCTTTTAAAACCTGATAAATGAAGGAATAATAATGCCTCAAGTTACATAAATTGAACTGATTGAAAATATATTAATTATAAACAACTGCAGGTCGCCAGAAAAACTGTCTCGTCGTTTATTTTTACAAAAATACTTCTATTATCTAATGCATAAGCAAGTAAGACAACAATTGAATGCAAAACCGCTGCATAAATATGAAAATGAATAAATACCAGCACAGCACCTGTGTTCATCTGACACCTTTAATAAAGACAAACAAAACGAATAAAATTGAGCAATGGAGAAAATAAAATGCACGATTTTCATAGCATGACTACAACCCGTGCTATTGATGATCAAATTATTGTTTAAGGAATTGGATATCGGAATTTCTATTTATTTAACATTTCTCGTTGTAGGTACTTGCATACATGGTGACGTATGCACAATATGCATGCATACGGTTAAGTATTTAAGAAGCCATGCTAATTTCAATCGAGGCAATTTACAAAAAATCAAGTAAATGTTCAAACATGCTAGAATTTGTACTGATAGTACTGCTTCGATATGCTTAAGTTTTTGACATATCAGGATTCATTTTGTACTGTAGGAAATAATGAAGATACAAAAAATTAGCTGTGTTCCTGTCACAAATAGCTTATATGGAATACTTATGAGCCCCCTCTTTGACTTACAAATACTCGTGCTTGATAAGCTGCACAAGTATAGCTCAATTTTGTCCAGTCCATTTATACATACAGATGAACTAGTAAAGCAACAACCGAAATGGTGCTCATACGTTATATCATGCACTTATATTATAAAGATTTTACTACATTTTGCTTTGCACCGTATGCAACATTTTCCATGTTAAGCACATTGACCAAATTAAGACTATTTGGTGAAAACATGTAACTTTAATGGTGAAAACGTTTCGTTTATGATTGCTCTAGGGGCTGTCCGTAAATAATGTAAGACGGGGGAGGAGAGGGTCACGTTCAAGCGTGGCGTCCGGTGTGGGGTCGAAGGTTTCTTGCGTTACATAAATTATGGACTGCCCCTCATGAACTAGAAAAATCTGATAAAACAATTGGTTACGTATAATTACCACACATATCATGCCTTAGACGATGCTGTGCAATACATGCGACGTTACACCTGCAAATTGTCATGCAACTCAATAATATGTAACTAACTGTGAATTGAGCGCGAACGTTTTCAACATATTTCACTCATTTCACTCTCCAAATTCGTATTTTATTTTACACCTCAGTTGGTTTTGTTCCTTGTAGAAGTAGACAACCTAGTTGATCTTTAGTTTTTTATTCAATTATTTTTTACCTTGTTTTGTGATTCTTGCACTATTTTTACCTCCTGTACTACCCCCATCATGGCTCAAGTTACCAAAACCCCTGTCCAGGTGCTGAATGAGCACTGCGCTAAAGCAGGCATTCACCCCCCCATTTTCGAGTATACGCAGACACAAATTCTGCCGACCACTTCGTTTCGTGCGGATTGCGGCTTAACAGTTGGTCAGACGCAGTATAAAGGTACGTAATAAAATGATCATGGGAAATTTTACTTTTAAGGGGTTGTTTCTTATTCTCACATATCTTCTAGCTATTGGAGTGGGTCAGAGAAAGAAGGATGCACAGCATGACGCTGCAAAGAATATGTTTTTGGAATTGAAGATCGGGATGGATGATTACAAGAAGTTTGAACTTTTGGCAAAACCTGCCATTATAAATGATGAGGTGGAACAATGGGCTGCAGAAGGTATCCGTGCGTCTGAAATACGTGACAGTCCTAGGCGATGTGTCGTGGAGGAAGACGATGAGGACTCATTGTATCCACAAGCTGGAATTGGAAATCCGATCGCTGATTTAGAAGAATTTTGTCATATTCAACGAATTCCAGCCCCACAATATGATGTATGTGCTTACCTCCTGCTTATGGGTAAATGGTATTGTGCTGACCTTATTCACCTTTTTTTTACCGTAGATGAACTGTCAGCAAGTTGGGCCTTCCCACTGCCCTATCATGACTGTTTCTTGTAGTGTTGGGAATTTTATGCTTAAAGGACGGTCCAAGACAAAAAAGTTAGCAAAGAGAATTGTAGCAGTGAAAGTAATCTTGGAACTGAGGAAGAAGAAAGCAGAAGGTTCCTTGAAAGAGGCCGTGATGGTAAGGAGAACCGACCTGAACTACAATTGAATTGTATTTCTTTTTGCGTGATAAATGTGCCATTAAGTGTGCTATAGTTTATTGTTGATTAAATATAAAAACAGCAAGACAATTGTAATGCACGGTCGTCCCAACTAATCATGTATTTTGATAGGATGTTCCAACCGAGAGCGTGGATAATGATGACATTGTCCAGAATTTGTCATTAGAGGACCAGGACCAGGACCAGGAAAGCGTACCTTTCACCCGGTCCAAAACCAAAACTTATGAGGATTTTTTGAGGGAAATTAAGTTCAATGGGGATTATGAGTTGGCTAACAAGTTATCGGATCATCCAGGGCAGCATTTCCAACGATTACTTGCGTTTGCACGAAAAGTTGATGAAAACAATCCACTGGTATTCTTTTTATAACTAAAACATATATAAGCAGTCAGTTTTAGGTATTACTGTAATATTACAGGTTGGAATACCACATGGACTTTTTAAAGAGTGGTTGATTGCTCACGAAAAAGGTATAAAGGAATTTTATGCAGAGTTGAAAAACGAATTGCGATTTGAAGAGCAATGGATAATTTTTAAAAGCGGTGGGAAATTTATGGTTAGTCTTGAAATTACCCTTCCGGAGATTACCACTAAACCAATGTTTGTGAGCATTAGTGTAGAACTGGACCAGGCGAAGGAGAAAGTTACATTAGATTGCATAACTTATTTTGGAACCATGACTGTGATGCGGAAAAAATTATTTTAAATACAAACCTGTCTGTGATGTTGGTGCTTATCCTGCCAATAATTTCAATAGTCAACATTCCCAATATTGCTTATATTTATATAGTTTATCACTGTTCTTATTACACAAGAATGTTCAATATAATATGTCCTTACTTATGCTCAATAATAAAAAGTATACTGCGGATTTGGTAACAATTCAGTATTTATTGAATTATCGTGTACATTAACTAAGCACAACATTTCAAAAGTAGGAATGTATTTCATTTCTCATATGAATTGATAAGTGTGAGCGAAGCAACAATGGCATGACAAGTATTAAATATATAGAGAACATTATTAATCTAGAATGTTGATTGGTGCGTGATTTTTGATATCCATGCGTATCTTCATATAATAAGTCGCCTAAAAGAATAGCCTCTAACTTGCGGTTGGTATAATGGGCAAATCCAAAGGCACAGGTTCGACGAATGTGGCAGGAAATTGACCGACGGACCCAGCAACCTCCCCGTACAACCAGTCTTCATTCAGACGCCCAAAAATTTTGACCATATCTCCAGGCTAATAACCAAAGATATTAGTATTACGCATACAAAATAATTTTCAATCAATGGAATTACACCAAAAGTGTACTTACCCTGAGACTCAAATCACCTTCAGCTTCTGCATCAAATTTGTAAAGGGCATCAGCAAAATAGATTTGGTCGCTTTGTGGAGCACTGTTTCCTACGGACGGAGTATCTTCAATGTTTTCATTTAATGGTTGTGACATTTCCTCTACATTGTCTGTTAGAGGAACCACAACATTTACATAGTTTGATGGGAACATCCCTTCTATTCCAGCACATTGGCCGTACAACCACTTGTCATCAATTTTCTTGATGAGGTACACCAAATCTCCCACCTACCAATAAATAAATTTTTGTAACATTAGATAAACTAAACAGCCAAGTGTTATAATTGCATAAGTGAACAAAAAGTAAGTAAGAAACTGAACTATACCTGCAAAGCTAAGTCGCCGTCAACATCAGAGAAATAATCGTACAATGCGATTGCATACGCCCGATCAGTCTCCGAGCTCTAAAAAATGAATTGCAAAACGTTACTTCAGCAAGCAGATATATGGCTATGATTAGTTTGGAACCAATTCTCACATTCACATTATGACTCGTATAAGTACTGTCAACATAAGTTGTTTGAACGTCCGCAGTGCTGTCCACCCATTGGTTTAAGGCCACATCGGGAGGTGGGGGCGGAGGGGATTCGGTAGGCATCGGGGGAGACACGTAACTATCATCTTGGTCTTCATCCTCGTCAAATTCCGAGTTAGGAGGGTCATCATAATAATTTCTTTGCACGTGCGAAACACTATTCTGAATCTCCAACTTGTTGTTTGAAGCAGAAAATCCCGTCCATGCAGTGCTGGATTCTGTAGAACCCCGGTTTGCTAGTAGCGTTGTTGGTTTTGGGGCCAATGATGGTTTGGTCGCAATGATAGGCTTGATAATGGTTGCCGCCACAGCAGGAAGTGGGGGTTTTCTATGTTGTTCCGGAGGTTCGTCCCATGCTGTTGGAATGTTGCCGTATCTCTGTTGCTGTTTAGAGGATGTGTGTGAATAATCGCTCCAATCACTACTTCCAGAAGAACTTCGAGCACTTCCACTCTTAAATGGATCAGTATTATTGGACCCCCCAACCGCAGACTTAATATTATTATTCTTTTCATTAGCTCGCTTGATAATAGTAGGCTTGTACTTGGTGGACCCAGACTGTTGACTTTGTTGAGCAGGAACATTTGAATAAAGCGTGGATTGATATCCTTGTTGTGATGCGGCCTGTTTTGCAGGACTTGCCATCATAGCTTGAGCCGAAGGTCGCGGTGGACTGAAAGGATTTGCAGCCTGGCTCGGTGCAGGATGCTTCAATTGTGATCGTACATAAAATATTGATGCACCCACACGGTACATGTAATCGGCTGGCTCCTGCATGTAAAAACTTTGCAATTAGTACAATTATTTCATAAACATAACTAAAATGCTAAGGACCTTAGATTGCATTCCGATACCAACACCTTCTAATTTTGTGGCTGGAGTTTCCGGTGGAGTAGAAAAATCAATCAGATCGGTTCCAACACTTTGCCCAGTATTATCAACACTGTAAGATGGTCGTTGTCCAAAGGAACTTATCTTCTGGTTTTGAAGCTCACCCGCAGTCCTAAAACTCTGCGACCCCTACGCATCATTAAATAGACTCAATATAACACTAATTAATTATACATCGATCGCTTAAAATGATTATATAAAATTTATAATCACCCTGATATTATTGCTAACTGCAGTAGGTGGGGGCGGTCGTGGTGGAGCTTTCTTCTTCTTGGAATAACCTCCTCCGGAAACTGTATGACTTTTAGACAACATCACGCGACAAATAAATACGTTTCCTGAAAAAGATAATACAGGATTCTATTATTACAATAAATAGTAATAATATTATATTTATATCATCACTTAATAAGAAGTGGTTATATCAAGTTGTAATGGTTGGTGGGAGGATTACTATACATTTAACTATATCACGTATCGCACAGAATAGTCAAAATAAATTGAGCAACTACACAAACGAACGAACCATATGCGATATTATGATCAGATGACGATTATATTAATCATTCAACATTTAACTGCACTTGTATTGTAGTTAGTTAAACCCTCTGTGCATTAAACAAATGAATATCTATTCTAGTACATGCACACGCAGTAATTCTTTTGTAACTTACACAGAAATAAATGACGATGACTATGATGAAAGATTCGAGTCAATTCGTAGACTCGTAGACGGAATAAAAAACTCTTTCTCTCCTTGTAATACAACAACAGCAAAATACAACTACAAACTAACTGCACTACACTCTTCCCTTCGTCGTTCTTGAATGAATCATATGCTCCCATATCCAATGTGGTGGTGGCATGTTCTAACTTAAATATTGACTAAATAATTAAATTATATGTTCACAGTGGTAGCATGAACTTTTTATCATAATTTTGAAGAACAGCCTAAAAACGGCCTGCATTCATTGCATCTGCGTATCTCGGTTTGTCATGGATGACCCATTATATACACACTAGAGAGCTAAATTCATGTGCACTAACGGTGTCTTCCCAGCGGCCGTGACAGTCAGTCAGTTTGTTTTTGTGTTATCGAGTCAAGATGAATTAGTCAAATTCTAAAGGAAAGATAAGACTATAAGGTGAATAATGAACAGACCTGTCCAGCAGCATGAACAGCGACGACCAAGTTTACTTTTAATCTGTTTGTGCTTGTTTCCATTTACAATTTTGGGTTCGATCATTATGTGGTGGAGAGTGGATCATCGTCGACGAGGTGAGTTAATTTGAAGGTTATATTTACTGCTACTGTTTGTTTCCAGTAGCAGGACCATTGGCTCCGTTCTAATTAAAGTTAATAGGGACTAGGGACGGTTATAGGAACCTCTATATCCAGCATTTTTTTAATTAGTTTTTATAATAAACAATTATTCTGTTTTCAGAGACCGAACAATTGTTGAGAGATATGTCAACCAATCTAAAAAAAATTACAAAGATGCTGGAAGAAAAGTTAAATATCACCAATTATTAAATTCTTTCAACAATTTCCATATTTCAAAAAGTAAAGGTAAGTCCCATTAATACCGATAGTCGATAATGCATTTAAAAATTGATTACTTTATTGTCGTATTTAAGTCACTCATCATCCATTTTGATTTGGTTGGGGGTGTATTTTGCAGCACAATAATTTCAAGGATGGAGACTACAATTGACGTTTCAACGTGTGGGCTAAGATCCGAGCCGGATGGAGCACCAAGTGGGAGTAACATGTCGGCGACGGGGACTTACGCAGCCACCTCCTTTCCCAAGGGATCCTCAGATCGTCGCAATCCAGAACCCAATAGCAAAGAGGTGGAACAACAGAATAATGAGAATGGGTCTCAACCTTTCAATCTTTCCAGTAAGATTTGATTGATTGTGTTATTATGTTAAAAAAGCTTTCATTTTATTTTAAGAAAATGTATTTGTACAGTTGGCCACACCATTCACGAGCAAAAGACTCGTCCTGGAGAGTTTGTCATGCGAGTCCTGTTTTCAGAATTTACAACAGCAGCAGAAAAGAAGATTGAATTAGTCATGTCTGAACCAATGGTAACTATTCAAGATTAAATGCATGACAATTTTTTTCTAGATAATAGAATACTAATTATGGTACATCAATATGGTTTGCTGAATAGGAACGATCTCTTTCAAAATCTCTACAAAGAGGCGAAGATTTAGGATTCGATCAGTTGTTGACAGCCTTAGGATCCGTGGCGGAGCACTGTTTACCATCAATTCTAAGAACGCTATTTTCTTGGTATGACCGACAAGCGGTTACATGGCTGGGAACCCCCTTGTCAAGTGGTTCTGTTTCGAGCGCGACTGGATCTTCCATGAGTTCAGGAATAGAATCGATGGAAAAAGAAACTGTGGTGACCCTAGATCCACAAGTTGCCGAGAGAAGAGATATGGCTGTTGAATTCATCTTGTGTCTCATCTTTATTGAAGTTTTGAAACAGCTTCCCTTCCACCCTGGGCATCACGATCTCGTGGGAAAAATTGAGGATCTTTGTTTTGCTCACTTCAAGTATCGTGAAGGGTATGGTCGCTTTTACACAAAAATTATAGTTTACTTATAATGTATGAGTGAATTACAATTTAGTTAAAATCATAATTTACCAATGTGTTACAGAACATGCATGAATGCCGCAAATGGTCTAGTCATTGCTGATTTGTACGCCGAAGTATTGGGTGTACTAGCTCAGGCAAGATTTGCATCTGTACGGATCCGATTTCTTTCCGAGCTTGCTGAACTTCGGGGAAAAGAAGCAAATTCACTCGTTACTCAGTCAATTATCTCTCTCCTCATGGGCATGAAGTTTTTCCGGATAAAGATGGCCCCAATAGAAGATTTTGAAGCGTCTTTCCAATTCCTCACCGAATGTGCCAAGTATTTCTTAGAAGTTAAGCAAAGAGACATCAAACATGCATTGGCTGGATTATTTGTTGAGATTCTAGTCCCGGTCGCTGCAGTATGTACACAATTTATTGACAATTTATATGAATAGAATTAGCAATTGGTTAACTCAAATTTATAACACGTACTGTATGTATACTTTCATTTAGACCGTCAAGCACGAAGTGAATGTCCCTTGTTTAAAATCGTTCGTTGAAATGTTGTACGCACCAACGTTGGACATGTGCACCAGGAGCAAGCATCGTTTGGCAATTTTCCCCCTGGTCACCTGCCTCCTTTGTGTCTCTCAAAAGCCGTTTTTCCTCCATAACTGGCACTACTTCCTAGCAATGTGTCTAAGCCAGTTGAAGAGCCGAGAACCAAAAATGTCAAGAGTCGCTCTAGGTTCGTGTACTATTATTTACGTAAACTAAACTAAATCTAATAGTAACTAAACTAATACATTCAATATAGTCGAATATAAACGAATTCAATATAAACGAATACATTCAATTTAGTCTAATAAACTAAATTGAATACATTCAATTTAGTTTATTTTGGTCAAAACGAAACGAGTTCAATATAAACGAATACATTCAATTTAGTCTAATAAACTAAATTGAATGTATTCAATTTAGTTTATTTTGGTCAAAAATGTAAAAATTCTAACGGTTTGTCAAACCATTGTCTAATTTCAGAGAGCCTTTACCGATTACTGTGGGCTTACATGATTCGAATCAAGTGTGAGAGTAATTCTGCAACACAGTCAAGACTTTTGAGTGTAGTTAATTCCCTGTTTCCGAAGGGATCTAAAGGCGTTGTTCCTCGTGACACACCACTGAACATCTTTGTAAAAATCATTCAGTTCATTGCTCAGGAGAGGCTGGATTTTGCAATGCGTGAAATAGTGTTTGAATTATTGTCAGTGGGACGGCCAATCAAAATTATTTTAACCCCAGAACGGATGAATATTGGACTACGAGCATTTCTCGTGGCTGCGGATTCTTTGCAACAAAAGGACGGAGATCCTCCAATGCCTCGTTCTGCAAATATTATGCCATCAGGAAACACACTGTTACGAGTAAAGAAGACGTTTTTGAACAAGGTTCTCACCGAAGATGCAGCTCGTAGTATAGGGATGGCATCCTACTATCCCTTGATAAGGAAAGTATTTACTGACATACTTCGCGCCCTGGATTTGCAATGCGGTAGACCACTGCTACTTACGACTGTTAAGGAGCAAGAGGAATCTTTGTTAACTGGAGACAGAAAAGCAAAAATAGACTTATTTCGAACTTGTGTAGCAGCAATACCGAGATTAATTCCAGACGGAATGTCACGAACTGAATTACTTTCTCTCCTCGCACGTCTCACTCTTCACATTGACGAGGAGCTTCGTGGACTAGCTTTCCAAAGTCTGCAAAGCCTCCTCTTGGATTTTCCTGATTGGAGGATTGACGTCCTCACTGAATTTTTGGCTTTTGCTTCTAAAGAAGTACCTGACACGGCCCATCAACAGCTGGACAATTCTTTGAGAATGCTGGTCCAGTTGCTTACATCTTGGAGAAATGCAGTCAGTACTGGAGCTGGATCAAGTTCAACTGTAGTCGCAAGTTTAGTCAATTCAAAAACCAAGAAGGCCTCAGGAGATTCGCATCCTTCTACAACCATGGCAAACTCTGCAACATGCTACCAGGCCGAAGGGTTAGCTCTGCTGATGCTTTGCAGCGTTAGATCTTCTACGCGACGAATAGGTTGTCACATATTGAAGGAAGTGAAGGCACTGTCTGAAGTCATAGGACTGACTGAAGCTCCCGTGATAGATGTTTTGGATAGGATTTGTCCATTAGCGTGTGAAAAAGTGTCCAATATACTTCCACTCGGAGAAAAACAGGCCATCCTTGCCGCAATATCGTCAAATACTCTCGACCTGCAGTGGATCACAGACCGAAGTTGTCCAGCTTGGTACATTCAAGAAGACGAAACGGTGAACAACCCACCAACTCAGTCCTCGTCAAGTTTGAGCATTCTACAGTCGGCCGTGAGCAATAATGCTCTAATCCCCACCGCAGAAGTTTCAATATCCAACGACCCCTGGGCCTTGTGTCTCAAGGAATTCCTCGACTATCAAAATGTCCCAACGCAATGTCCAAGAGCCGTGTTGGAAGCCTGGTCGGTCATTATGCCCAAAATAAATGCAGTTTATTCCTATCTCGAGCCATCCCCTGTTCAAGACAATAGAGCATCCCTGCTCAGAAGTGCAACCGCTCCTCGGAAACCACCGATTGATAAAAACTTGTATTTTAAGTTGTGGAGAAATTACCTTCTTTTTGCATTCAGAACAGTACCGCCAAATATTGGGACAAGTCTCCGCTGCATTTCTCCAGATATGGCAATTAGTTCGTCACCAGAAGCTCCGGATGGGCGTGATGGAAAAAGTCCACTTCCTCTCACATCAGCAATGCTGTTTTCTGTAACGCCATCATCTCTGTATAAACTCGTGGTCCCATTAATTCGGGTGGAAACCATCGACGTAAGAGATTTGGCTGTACATTCCTTGGGTCAAATTAATCACATGGCAGTCAAGTAAGTGGAACGAAACTGTGTAGTATTTTTTTATATCAAAGTACAGCAAGAATTGAACATTATATTAAGTCTCACCAAATACTTGTACTCATTTATTTAATTTAATGTTTTCAGGGATTTGTTTGAAGAACTCGCATCGTATCTGAAAGAAGCAAGTGATCGCAAGCAAGAAAATGTCAGACGTCGTAAACGCAAAGATAACTTAAGACTTCAGCTTCTTCGAGTGTTTGAAATGATAGCGAGAGAAAAAACATTTGGAAAAATTAACAGCAATCTCATAAACTCGTATACCCCGTCAAGCCAGGGACACCACTTGGGAGACAGTGGTTCAGTCCTGCCCATTCCACTCCAAGAATTTTTCGAGACTTGCAAAGGATGGTTGGAAACTGAAACGGATCGAGATGGAGGATTCGAAATGAGGTTAAACTTTTGCAAAGGACTTCACTCCCTATTGGACAGTTTTGATTTGGATTTGAAGGAAAATCTACTTAAACGTGAGGCAAAGAAACAACTCTTCCAGCTCTGCATCAATTGGGCTGGGTCTTATGCGTCGTCATTGGGAAAAGAAATGACCACGTCATCCTTGAATTCTACTGGAAATACAGTGATTATCAATTATCCCGGAACATCAGGAACTCAACAAGCAGAACTTGAATTATTTGCACTTCAAGCTGCCGCAAGACTGTTGACATGCGGCCCAGTTTTCCAACAAAGTTTACTCGCCGAAGAAAGCCAACTGTATTCCTGGTTGGATTATCTTTTGTCATCTCATGATTCGCGAGTTAGTGAATTGGGAGAGCAAGTTATAATCATGTTGCTCGAGTTTAATCCGGACGTGGGTTCCATGCTGGATTGGGTCGTGTCTCGATGCTTCACGGGAACGTCACAAATTGCAGATGCCTGTTTTAGAGCAATGGCAACTCTCTTTTCCGCCCGAGAGTATCCTTGCGACAGATATGTGGCCATCATTAACTGTGCCCTGTTGTATAGTGGGAGTCCAAAGTTACAACTGCAGCAAACGGCGTTTCGATTATTGCAAGTGTTGGACCGCCGTTTCTTTGGAGGTTTACCCCCTTTGCAATTACATCTCGGAAGTGAAGTTGCCAAAGATGACACTCCACACACCTTAGACGCTTTGCTCAACAGATCTAGTTATGCGAAAAGTCAAACGTTTTTGTCGAAGCAGCTATCATTCCTTCACCCTGATTTGACGATGCCTATATTTTCAGGTACACTATAAATATATGAAAATAACTCAACAATGAACATAATTAAAATGTATGAATTTATTTTGTATTAGGCATTAATTTTAATTGGCTAACTTATTGTACTTATTTCAGAAATTTCATGGCGTATGAAATCAGCAAGATCGGATGTGAGGCAGAGTTTACTGAGATATCTTCAACCATGGCTTCACAACATGGAATTAGTGGAACCTGCAATTCCAAGCCCAAACACAATTGCTCCATTATCTTGTTTCGAGTTGGATATTTGTTCAGAGAATCTTCGTGAATCAGTATCATCTTCATCATCGTGTTCTTTGTGTGGAAAGAGAAACGTTGAAGAAGGAGAACGATTAGTTCGACGTGGTTGGGGATCTACTGAAGCTACTGAAATGGTCTTGAATAATCTTTTATATCTCACAGCAAAGGTATGTACCCCCACTCTAGTAATACCATAGTTATGTGTACCCTTGTATGGGTGACACTTTTTCATTTTTTTACTCCTGGTTAATGTACAATTTTGATATGATTTTTTTTAGTTTGGCGATGAACATGAACGAGAAATTGAAGAATGCTGGCAGACACTTTGTTGTTCTTCTCCCAACAATCAACGCGTCGTTTTGTACTATCTTCTAATTGTCACGGGTATCGCTCCCTATGAGATTTTGCCACATGCGAAGCGTGTCCTCATATATTTATTCAGAGCTCGTCCCGTGCGACTTTTGGAAGACCTAATTGCAGAACTTCAAACTGTAGAATCTCTTAGCTGGCTCGTCGAAAAGACTGAAACACCTCCATTTTACAGATTATCTCACCTCCGGAAGACTTCCAGCTACTCGGATACTAATGTGGCTCCCCAAAACAATGGTGGACTAATGCAGGGCACAACTATGAATCACAACCCCACAGTTGGAAATAATTCTCAATTCCCCAGAGTTCAAGCATCCGAACTAGAGAAAGGAACGATACATACGAAACGACGTTCTGCTGAAGAATCCGGCGTTTTTCAGCAACCTCCACACCTTAGGTCTAGCAGTAGTGGGGCTGCGGGACTTTTTAGATCCGAAAAAACACGAACCATCAGTGGACCAGCGGCACTACCTGACTGTCAATTTCTTTCGTCAGAGAAGGAAAAGCTGCGATCTGCCCTTTATGAAACCGATCACGTCGGAGGTTGCCAGGAAGATGTCCAGCAAGACAGAATTATGGAGAATAGACGATACCCAAGCAGTGAAACGATTGCACCTGAAGGTGGAGCAACTCTTGGCCCAAATTCTGGTGGACAAGGATTTCCATGTAGTCGAAGCGATGAAGGGATGGACCATATGGAACAGCACTTAAAACTGCTCCCACTCCCAATGCCCGAATATGGCGGATACTACGCTCCTCTCAAGGAATTTCTTCCTCCTCAACAAGTCTGTCCATTCCATCGGTGTAACCTCGCAATGATGTTTATTACAGAGTTGATCAATGAAGGAACAACAATTAGCGTATCTACGGAAGATTCCAAAAAAGAAAAGAAAATTGACTGGTGTTCGCAGTATCTTCCATTAATGATTCACATGTCTTTCCTTGGCTTGGATCATTTGCGACCTTTGGTTAATCTTCACAGCTATAACATGCTGATCAACCTTTTGACCGTTTCTGGAGCACATAAGAATCATCTAGCAATTGCCAAGTTATCGCTGAATCAACAGACTAAAGAAATTAAGTTGGGATTAACGTTTCCATATCTTTCATTGAAAACCTACGATTTTCTGGGTAAATAGTAATGTTACTACATAAATCATAAAACCATATAAATTCGCTTTATAATCAGTTAACAATGATTTATTTGTATATGTTTAGATCCAAAAGCTGAATTTGCGACCTCAGCAATTTCTTCCAAGTTACCGACCGTTGAAACATTGGGAGTGTCGAGTCCTATAATTCAAAGTCCTAGTCATAGCCCAAAAAGTAGTCCTAGAACTCCGTCTAAGCGTCCCCACACACCCATCAACCTTCTTCTAGTCATTCCTGAACCACCAGAGTATGGGACCAGAAGATCATTGACGATTCAGGAGAAAACGTTGGCTTTGATAAAATTCTTTACTGAAAAACGAGGTCAAACCCTATGGAATTGTGAAGACATAACCGCTCGTGTCTGGAATATCCGAAGTGCAAATCAACTAATTGCACTTGTTCAGAACAGTATTGACGTAATCTCCAATTCGTTCCCAAACTCAAGTATTGACAGGAAATGGGCACAAGTTTCTCTGCAAATCGGACTTGCCTGTTCCTCTCGTCACTATGCTGGAAGATCTCTACAAGTTTTTCGGGCTTTGAAGGTTCCACTCGTATCACGAATTTTATGCGACATTTTGTCAAGATTGGTGGAAACTGTAGCAGAAACAGGAGACGACATGCAAGGATATGTCACAGAGCTTATTCTCACTCTGGAGGCTTGTGTAGAAGCAATCCCGGTTGACAGTGGGAGTAGTATGAACAGTTCGTCAGACACTACGACCCCTGCGACGGAGGATAATAGCAAAGTTTCAAAGGACATGTTCTCACCTTCGCAAATACGCCCCAGAAGTGGTACCGAAACATTTGGACACGAGTGCAAAAGGACCGAGTTGGGTAGGTCGCGATCAGTTCAAAGTCTGAGTGGTTTAAATGACGGAATTCTGGACGAAAATATGGAACGGACCCTTCAACAAGACAATGATGTTATCCCACAAATATTTTGGCTTGCGTTGTCTCTTTTGGAGTCTGATTTTGAATACGAGTATCTCTTGGCATTGAGATTACTGGAGAAAATCATGGACCGGCTTCCTCTGGAAAGACTTGAATGTCGCGACAAGGTAGATCGAGTACAAGCTCAGCTTCAATGGAATAACTTTGGGGGAATAGTTCCCCTCATCCTTAAAGGATGCAGTAATGCCAACACATTCGAGCAGGTAAAAAAATATAGAAACCACAAGACATTGTATTTAATATTACAGTATCAAATACGTACGATGGATTATTTTTACAGAGTCTCACACTCCTTTTGCGTTTCATCCCATTCTTGGATGTAAACTTTGTCGACCCAACGGGAGAGTCTGGATTTCCATTATCTGTCATCGCCCTGCTTCCTCTACTCTTGTTACATTATGATGATCCAACCCCGCTTTGTGTTAAGGCTGCCCAACTTATTGCAGGGGTAAATTTAATCCGACAATTCCAATGATTAATTAATGGATTCACTGGTATTAAAGGTTTATGTTATACGTAGGTAGGAGCATGCAAAGGAGACAGTGGTGCTCAGGCACTACAACATCTTTCTACCGTCATGACACTTTATAGTCGAAGGTCTTTCAGTAAAGAAAGCATGCAATGGACAAAATGTGTTATCAAGTATTTGTACGACTCGTACTCCCACTTGGCTCCTCTTCTCCTCGGATTTCTGCTCGACGTATTAGAGAAAGGACCTGCGTCCGTTCAACCCTCTATATTAACGGCAATCAATTGCTCGTTCAATTATGTGGATTTGACATCGATGAACACAGTTAGCACGGAACTCCTACGAGCAATTGAAAAGCATCTTGATGTCAGTAATCAGTCAAAATAATTATTCGTGATTTTTAGCAAACATTTGAACTTGAATTTAAATTTCCTATTACTTGTATTAGGGTCCATACTGGCGCGAATCGCTAAAAATTCTGAAGCTCGTAGTCACCCGATCTTCAAGTCTGGTTGCTCCAGGTCCTCCGAATTACACTGGGAGCTCTGGCCCATCTTCCATGATTTCGGCATGGGATTCAGTCAGCACTACCTCTTCCGTTGCATTTACTACTGAATCAGAGTTCAGCTTTAAAAAAGAACTCCCTGGACGAACAATGGAGTTTACATTTGATGTCTCTCAAACACCAATAATTGGAAGAAAACATATAAACCCGACAAACTCTATGATGAGGGATTCTGAACATGTAAATGGAAGACTAACCTTGTTGAACGCCCAGGGAAATTTAGCACAAAGGTCAGGATCTGTTGGTGAGATGGGGATATCAGGCGGTGTTGTTATTCAGTCAAATTGGAAAAGACCATGGCAGTGTCAAAGTAGACTACGGGAATGTTTAGTCAGCGTCCTTAATGCTTGTGGACAGCGAGTTGGACTCCCAAAGAGTCCATCGGTATGTCTATTTCTTGTTACAAATTATGTACGCAATTACCATTAATAATTGTAAGTCCAGTAATGATGTACGATTTGGATTTGCAGGTAATATTCAGCCAAAGTTCTGAACTTTTGGAACGACAGAGCAGCATTGCTTCATCTACAGAAGAAGTATCTGTTGCAATTAACGACGCATCGGGGGCAAGTCGTTTGGATGATGGATCCGCAAGTGACGCCCATTTCCGAGTTTTCAGAGACTTTGACTTTTTGGAATACGAACTCGAGTCGGTTGAAGGTGAAAGTAGTGACAATTTCAATTGGGGTGTGAGAAGGAGACCGCTATCAGAATTGGGAACGGAACCTGAAACGGAAGGAGAGACAGAAACTGAAGGGGTGGGCACTCGAAGGTCTCGATCTCGTTCCCAAACTAGCTCCGACTTGACGACAGTCGTTAACAACTCTCAAGGGCACTTTTCTGGCCTTCGACCTCACGAGATTGAGTTGCGAGAAGGTCAAATGCAAGAAGAATCATCAGACGAAGAGGATTTGGGTTTATCCCCAATGGATGAGCATGGTCCGTCAATCCAGGGGAGAAACTCAGATCCCCCAACTCCTCAACCCAATTCATTAACCATGATAGAACTCGGCTCCTCTCAAGTTTCATCGCCTGCACGATCTAGACGACTTTCTGACACAAGTCTAGATTCCAGAAGCGAAGAAGAGACGACTCCTTGTAATTTGTCCCCTCAAGGAGGTCTACTCATCGAAGAGGAGGAGGAAGAGTTGGGAGAAGAGGAGGAAGTTGACGGTGAGGGAGATGGAGATGGAGACGATACCGATGCAAATATCACGTCTGAAATTTTGAATGAAACTGGTGATATGATGAATGGCGGAGCTTCTTCCGCAAACCGTGACGCGCAGAGCAGAATTATTGAAGATTTTCAGGATTGGAAATCTATCTTACAGCGTTTTCTCGTTGGTATTCGACCCCTCCAGTCACTCGAGTCCATTCAAACAATGTCACAAATGGTTCAGACCTCGTTCTGTGAAGTCATCTACGTTTGTCAAGATATCTCTGCTCTATTGACTTCCTTGGGATTTGAAAGCTCGACTCAAATTGCCCAAAACCTCTCCGTTCTTCTCGACTTTTCAAGTGAGCACAACTTGCACATGGCTGCTTGGCATTTATGGTGTGCGAAAGATGTCATCAGAGGAGATGAAGTCAAAATATTTCTGCTTGAGGCCTCTGAACATTTAGAAACATTGAATGACAGGAAAGAATCTTTACAAGACGTGGTTGAAGGGGGTTTGAAACCTTTAGTCAAGTTAAAAGCGTTGGAAGGAGAGCTCCCAACGTATGAAGAATCCCAATCTGCTTCGTTTGCCGAGGCTGCGTCTGCAGATCCTTTCGAGATCATTGCTGACGTCTCTAAACTTTTGTACAGAACGTTATTCCAGCTTCGACTACTCTTAGAATGCCACCAAAGGGCGGTTCAATCCCTGTCTTCCAACCCAAAATCTAAGGTACTTAAATAATTACGTAATAATACTAAGGATTTTATAGATAAATTTGAAAATGCCAACAACGATCCTGTGTTACTTGACAGATTCGAGATTTATCCCGACAAGTGTTAGAAGTGAGAGCAGCATTGTTGCAGTGCATCTCTACCCTCGTCATACAAGGAGACAAAGGAAGCAAACTCACTTTAAGTGAAGCTGAAGGATGCCTGCTTGATCTTTTATTGGCAAATCAGTGGGAAAATGCAATAGAACTGTTTAAAGCAAATCGGTACCCAATTATTACATATTATGTAACAACTTTAATGGATGATGAATAGTAATGAAATTGTAAGTTTGGAATTGACTTTATGCTTTTTGTTTTTCATAGGGATATTTGGCCAAAAGATCTGATTGGTAATTCTTCAAATGATGTCACAGGAATTCTCAATGTATATTGCAAATATCTGTCTGAAGAACATTCTGGTAAGTTCTACATAAATTCATGCAAGTCAAAAATTTCGGTATAACGTCGAACGTACTTATGTATTTTTTGCTATTAGGTGTCTTTGTCTCGATACCGAATGACTTTCGAAACCTGTGCAGCCAAGTCAATTCAGTATGTTTACATCTTCTCGAAAACCAACAGAGTCTGGAAAAGAAGACTTTAGTTTAGTAACAAAAAAACTGACACAATAAGACTTAGCAAGTATACCTTTTACCTAGTTAGACATCGTATAAGTAACAGCAACACATTTTTTCTACTTGTAAATTTGTATGCGGTCGCTGATTGTGATATGAATTTAAAGAAACTAGTGCATATGTATATACATGAGTATGAATTTATGCGTTAAAATCACAAAAATAAAATAAAAAATAGATCGTCAATCGTGTTTCATGGCCACTCATTTATTTTCACGAGTAGATAAATGTTATGTTTACTGTCTTATTTTTTCACCTGTTACAAATTATCGATGGTAAAATTATATCCTTTATAGTTCATTCATTTTATGAATCTGCTTTGTTATATGCTCTATATTACTACACTGCGCGGTGAATTATAGGAATCACACAAAACTTTTGTTTAATTCATACATAGTCGAGCGTTAACACTTAACTAAAAAAACACAACCCTAAGTTTAATAGCGACCGAGACTCAAGTAGTGTTAACAAGTAATGTACATAAAAGCCAATGTCATACAACTGATAATTACGAAACGAAATACTGCTTTAAAGGAAATCATTGTGAAATTGAACATTGAGAACAGGTTGCCCTAACCCACTCAACTCAACAAAAATGCTTACTCTCACCTAACCACTCAAGTCCCCACTGAACATGATCTTACTCAGTGAACAAGCAAGAACAATGAGTCCCATGTTTGTTTCTCTTTTTTAAAGGGGACAATTAGTTTAAAATGATCACATTCTACTACTGACTCATTTTGTGGTTCCAGTTACACACCACCGGTTTCAGCGAAGTGTAATACAACATTAAAACATTACATTAAAAAATTCAAAGTAAAGTTCTCTTTGGAAATTCTCCACCACTTCAGCACATCGCAACACATGATGCTTTTTTGTCAGTGGTTTACATAGCGCGTCGGATACGTTGTACGAGTTTTAGCTTAAGATCATCACCATCATTGCGTTATTAAAATACGATGTCCCATATGTATCATAGAATTTGTTATAATATTGATGATAAATTAACTGAGGAGGCAAAGATCGAACATGAGTACAAGGCTATTATTCTTTGGTTGGTGATCCAGGATATTGATAGATGGATTAGAGAATCCAATTAATGTTCTATTCTTTATTTCGTCTTAGGTATAGGTCCTCGTTGAGTAAGGCTGCAAATGAAAAACATACATTTTTCATGATTCGTAAGACTACAAATCGAGTAACACCAGCAAAATATTGATATCTTACCCCTCAAACCGCTTGAATGTGTAGTTGATGAAAACCCAGTCATTGTACGTGGGTTCTCCGTCTTTAGAATCTTTGGAAGGTGCAGCTATAATTTACCCAATAAAGTTACGAGTCTCGTAATACGAGAAATAAGTTTGCATTTATTTATATAAAGGAAACTTACGAATTTTTAAGTCGACGTCAGGGAAGTCGTCAAAATTTGACTATAAAATGGAAAAATTAGAAACATTTTCAACTGCTATGTTAATATACCAATGAAAATCTGATAACTTACCGTATCATCTATTGACTTGACGGTAACAGGAATCGCAGCCGGCCTTTCGCGAATGTGTTCCCAATCTACGCCCTTGAAGAATGGGATAGTTTTAAGGTCTTCAATGCCATGCTGACTTCCCATTCTTTTGTCTGCTTCACAGCAAAACCTATGGAGAAAATGGTATTACATAATAGAACATATTTTTTTCCTCAATGCCAGTGGAATTTTCATATTGATTCCAACAACAAACCTGTTTATCGCATTTTTGGCTTCTTCTGAGATTGGTGATTCAGGTGGAAAGCTGAGAGTGTCACGCCATGCCATCACCTTTCGGTATGTCTCTTGAGGATTTTCCGAGCTGAATTAAAAAAATCATAGATAAAGATTTTCAAATTAAATTATCAATATTAAAAAAATTTATGCTTATAATTCTTTAGACATTTATATGGAAGCTGTGTGTGAGACACTCACCAGAAAATTGGATATCCTGGAAAGCATAAGAATAAAATGTATTAGTTTAAATTTGTGAAACTATGTATTACTGGTGGTAGCCGATAATCTCTAAATTAATAATCCAATTGTCAAAGATGTCATATGTCCTTCAATGTGTAACCACTACAATGATATGATATATCCTATAGTGAAAATTAAAGACGATACAACGAAACGATAAAAATTTATTCCAAGTCACACTTGCTTTTCCCTAAATCACTAATCGAATTGTTCACGTTATGGAATAAGGTTATGTTTGAAGAGATCCATTCTTAACAGACTTGTTCATTATTCATTGTACACGCATACTCAGTCAGATGAGGTTGCATCTCGATAAGTATAAAATGACCATGTTTTGTAATTAGGCATACTGTCGTAGTTGGTAGTACTCCAATTAATGATACATACATGAAAGTCTAAAATATTGGCATCTTCGATTCCTACACATTCGTATACATAAATTTATGGCCTTGTTGACTAGATTTGTATAGCGACATTAAATGTACCAGTCTTATCGGATTGTGTGTGCATATGTGAACGGATCGGACCAGGCTCACGAAAAAATGGTAGAACTAGTTTGTAATTGAGAAGTGTAGTATTTAATTATGCTAAACACGTTCCATACTACATCCGATTCAGATCAATGTCATCATCTCTCAGGCAAAAAGGAGGTGAGATTTATTCATTAGGTTTAATTAGAACGGTTTCAAGGTCAGAGAAGTTAGAAAAGTAGAGTCCCGTCGTATCACACCACGAATTTAGGAACCAACGTACGTACCTATTAGCATCTCATACATTATGACGCCTAAACTCCACCAATCGCACGCGGATCCATATCCCGTTTGTAGAATCCTGCTTCCATCAGCCGAAGCGATTCCTGTAATATAAGAATGCATCAAATTGGCAATAGTTCACCTTTTTGCCTTCCCCCAAAACAAGACCTAGTAATTCAGAACGATTAAAACTGGCAGATTTTGGTAAGCCTGATAAGATTTTTTTTCAGTCACTTAACCAACATATGCATGTATTTTTAAATCATGTATTCAATACGAAAGACGCTGAAGAAGTCAGAAATGAGTTGGTGGCACTGTACCAAAAAAACCGATGGTAATAATAAAATATTAAATTAAACAATTAATCGTAGAATCCTGTGACCTATGTATCTTTAATGTTGGTTTTCTTTTTTAGTTCACGTCCTTGTTCAATAAGTAATTTAATAGGGAATGCATTTTACCGTTAAGAAATACTTCAGGTGCGATGTAGTCAGGCGTTCCAACCGTGCTGTAAGCCAACGCTCTCCGATTTTTCTTCCAACTCTCCGCCCTCCTCTTGCTGTCCACTTGCCAATTCCCCGCAAAGTCGGATGGTTTGGCTTGACTCAGATCTCGGTAGAATTCGGTTCGGTGAGACTTTTTGAGTCCGGTACAGAGTCCAAAGTCGGACAGCTTGATGTGACCCCTCGCGTCCAGAAGTAAATTGTCTGGCTTAATATCACGATGAATGAATCCAAGTCGATGAATGGAATGGATGGCGAGTGCCGTTTCCGCAATGTAGAACTGGGTACACTCTTCCGTAAGTGTGTCTTTTTTCATGATGTGATGAGAAAGGTGAAGAGGACGAGTTGGGTTTCATGAAAAAAAGAAAAAGAAGGGGTCATGAGTTTGTACGAATGACCTGGAATGAGAAAGTCCTTACCTTTCTTCATGATGTGATGAGAAGGGTGATGTTGATGAAGAGGACGAGTTGGGTTTCATGAAAAAAAGAAAAAGAAGGGGTCATGAGTTTGTACGAATGACCTGGAATGAGTTTTCTCTCATTCGTGCACTGCTGTTTGGCCACCTCTCCGTTTTTAGTCTGATTTTAGTGGTTTTCATTATTCTTCATTTTTATTTACGCTATTTATTTTTATTAGTAGTTTATTTTTATTTTTATTTACAATTTTACTTACAAAGATGAGTCTAATTACTAAAAACGTGCGAAAAAATTCACTACCGATACTAGATGATTCTGATGGAGAATCTAGTGATTTCGAGCAAAACTCTAACAAACGATCAAAACTTGGACCAAAATCCAAGAAAAAACCGACAAAAAAAGGTGAAAAAGAGTCCGAAGGTGAAAGTGAATCAGAAGGTGAAAGTGAATCAGAAGGTGAAATTGGAGATGTAGATTACACAGAAACCGATCTTGACGAGGAGGATCACGCATATACAGATTCTGACGCTGAAGTTGAAGAGGAGGATGACATCATCGAATATGGGGAAGAGGAGGATCACGATGATGATACAGAGAAGGCACGATTGCGATGGAAAGTACGAGAATTACAGAAGCTGGACTACATTTTACAGAAAAAAATTGATGGTCAACGTACGATGGAACTAAATGTGATTGAGAAATATACATTTATGGTAATAAAAGTTTACAATTGATGTTTAATACTTATGACGGAAATCAATATGTTCTTCATAATAGTTTCATAAAAGTGGCATTATGATTAAATATTTCAGAAAAATAGAGTGTACAATGCCACCGAAATTCTGCCCCCAATCGACCCTGATAGGGATGTGATCCAAGTCGAAGCCAAACCCACAACAAAGTACAAAAACGCCGTGAAAAGAATTCAAAATATGGCTTGGAACAAGCAAGGAAAGAAGAAATGTTGGGAAAAAGGCTGTAACGCAAGTTATGAAACGAATGGAAGGTTCGTCGATCATTACAGACACAAGCATCTTAATGATTCTACATTCCGTTGCGGAATCTGCGACCAAGGATTTGCACTGAAAGCAGATGGAAAGCGTCACATCGAATCGGTTCATTTATGTAAATTAAATAATTATAATTAAACCCCGATAAACACAAATTTAAAGTCCAACCAATTAATATTTCCAGTCATTCTTCATAAATGTGGGACGTGTGGTTTGGATTTTGGATATAAGAGAGGACTGGACTTGCATGTGAGTCAAGATCATGTTCCGCGAAAAAAAAAACTTTATGCCAGTCCAAAGAAAGGAACCATTATCCACCGACGCCAAAAAAGGAACGATGTGAAATGTATGCATATTGTGAATAATGGTCAACACTATTATTACTACTGCCATTTACTTATTTGATTATTGTTTTATAGATAAGAGAGGGGGGAGAGGAGGGACTTTCCAACTGTATTGCATCATTTGGAGAAAGAAAGATGAGAACGGGAAAGGCAAGAAGGTAGGCGTTTCAATCGGATTCACGTCGTTTGGAAATGTCCAGTCAGCAGCAGCCACAATTTGGAGTAACATTAATGCAAAACCCGGAACTACACGATGGGTTGATCATTGTGCGTGTAGAGATAAGTTAGCTTTAGGGTGGTACTTTGACCCCAATGAAAGTTTTAGCCTTAATATCTACGCACATGATGAGGTTGTTGCTGCACAGTTGAAGTGGTTTATTAGGTTAGAATTGGATAGCGTTACAATTTTCGCTACAAAGGAAAGTAAGATTTTCCTAAACAAATATACCACCCAGATTAAAAAACAATTGGAACCATTTCTCGGGCGTATGGATAATGAAACTCGAGACAAAGTTAGGGCAAAGTGGAATGTTGTAAAACAGTAGTTGAATTAGGATGTTAAAAAATGTTAAAGGATGATTAAGTTGTTAAGGAGGAATTGTTGTTTTGCTTTCTTTGTGAATCGATTGATTAACTATTATTTTTCTTAATGAATTATACATATATGTACACCATCACCGTTATCTCGTTTGACAGTTATTTTCATGGGATATTTTGAAAGGATATGAGAAAGTCCTTACTTACCTTCATGAGAAGGGTCATCATGTCTCCACCTATAAAAAAATTATGGATTTTAATAACGACGTACATATTATCTACAGCACTGGCAATTTATTTTGTAGAAATAAGTTTTTTTCGCAAAATTGCTAATTTCTTGTAATCGTTTTAGTTTAAAAAAATTCTGTAAGCAACATGAACTTATAAACTTACCAGGTAAAAACTCCATGATCAAGTAGAGATTTTGCACATCTTGGAAACTATAATACATCTTGACTACCCATTGATGGTCCGCTTCAACCAGAATGTCCCTCTCTGCCCGAACGTGAGCGACCTGTTCTTTCTCCAACATGTCCGCTTTCCTCAGAATCTTCATGGCGTAAACGTGGCCCGTGTCCTTTTTCTGAACGAGTCTCACCTCCCCAAAAGCTCCTCTTCCAATCACTTTGAGTGGTTCGAAATCCTCAACCCCCAACCTGGCTCGTTTCAACCGTAAGAACTCTGTCTCCCTTTGATTATGCTGATTCCTTTTTTGTTCCTTCTGCTCCTCGGTCAACCCCCTCATACTCTCCTCAAGACGGGCAAGACGCTGTTGTCGCTCGGCATGTTGGGCGATGAGGTTGCTGTAATAATTTTCGAGTGTGACTTTTGCTTTGGTTGCTTTGTCGAGTGTGTGACCACTGAATCTGATGTTGCATTGTGGATTATTGAGAAGGGACGCTCGGGTGAAGACTCCTGAGGATGGACCACCACCACTTGAAGCACCATTTGAACCATTGGGGTTAGACGATTGCATAATGTTGTTCCCAACGGACGAAGGATTTCCAGAGCCTCGGAGGTGATTTGATTTGAACTGTGACCCTTCCCTCTCACCACCCGCTGCGGTCATTGCATTGGCCGCATCTGTGAAGAAAAATGATATAATTCCACACCCCATTTTTTGAATATTTCGACTGCCTAATTGGAGCAGAGCGAGCACAGGAGTATTGACGCAACCGCTATACCACCAACCAACTACTAGAATGATTTACGAAGAATAAAGTCACAGTGACGGGAAATAATGTTTCACAAATACTTGGCAGTCTTTCCCAGACAATTTGCAATGTTTTTTTCGTTATCAATCGAGTATAATGACGAGGAATAACGAAACGAGATTAGCGATCGACGACCATCAGGTCATCACAAACACTGGACACACACCACGCTCACAAATATCGCCCAACAAACCAGCTTTTGGGGGTAACCAACTCCTAGTAATATTTAATACGAAAGAGTAAACTATGTTCAGGAAAGTAAAAATGTCGACAATTACTCTCGCACATATCACTATTATACTAAAACTGATTCTGTTATCCTAACTCAATGTCAGCCCTTGCAAAATAATGTCCATTATCTTCATCAGTCGTCGTGGTCGTCTACTCATCCCTCCTCCTGTTCCTGATGATTACCTAGCACGACGATAAGTGCACACGATTGTGTGTGTGGGGTGGTAGTGTATTTTTATCTGTTGTTATCATCGTGACTTATTCGTCGTTCGTACCCACACGTCGACTGTTCTGCGCTTTACTAGGAAATAAAATGAACTGATAAACTTTGATAGTAGTGAAAAAGCTTGATGCATATTGCAAACTATATATCCATGCATGGACAACGACGACTAATGTTACATCACGGGACACAATGTGTTTGCATAAAGCACGACGGCATATATAATTGTTGTGACTAATCGCTTATCTGTTACTGCTGCCTCCTGAAAATCCCTCTACTTTCTTGTTCCAATAATAATATATTCGCATCACATTCGCAACCACAACTAACTAACTATTCGCACTCTACATTATTCATATACATTCATTCTGACTCATGGACTCGCATGAACATGATAATAGATATTCATAAGATTGCGAACAAAGACGAGTAGGGAGGTGGGCAAGCAAACACATATAAACAAACTAGGTGCATGCAAATTTATCAAGAAGGAGAAGGAGAGCAAATAATTTTGTATTGTGTGTTTGTGCCAACCATTATTTTCTGCAGCAGCATTCGCTCTATTGATGAAGCGATTCGAACTAGACGAGGAGGAGGAAGACTGATCGTCCGTACTTTTCAGTCGGGGTCTCCTGCCTTTGGATTTGAAAATGAGAACATTTCCACAACTCAAGGAGGACAATGTGTTCATCATAACGACTGCGACACGAACGAACAAGAAGAAGTGGCGTGTGTCTGAATAGAAGAATGGACTAGGCGTTGATTGTTGTGGGTTGCTTAGACCACCAATTACAAGAACACTACAAGTGGTGGTGGTAGTAAGTAGTCCTCGTGAAACAATCAGTTATTCTCAGCAACTTGAAGTAATACTTTCATGGACGACGAGGAATTAAGACTTTATTTAGACTATTCTTGCTAGTTTAAAAAGTAATCATTATCGTTTTTCAAAGTAGTAATTGACTTGTTGGTCTGGAAAAGCAACAACTTGTAATCACAGCACCGTTACCATTAATCATCTTAATCACTACACATATTAACTTCACGCTGTTAGTGAACTTTTAAAGTCACCTGTACCACTCTACTGCATATTCTCTGCACTTTCAGTTCCGGTGGGTTTTAACTTCTTTCACATCACGGCATTGCAGTAGAAAAGAGCGGAAATATAATGCTAACTAACAAGGGCACAGCACATTTAGAACAAAGAAAACAATAATTTCTTCATCGAAAATTAGGGGAGAACTGCCGGTTTAGGATATTTTTCATCATCACGAGTATCGGGACCACCAAAAATGTTTAATTTATCGTTGCTTGTTCTCCTCAAGAGGTTAATCGTCGCGTGCCATGCATGGAAGAAGAAGCTTTATAGGTTTCCTTCTTTCCTAGTTTTGGCTTCGACTTGCCTAGTGGGAGCAGGGTTTGCTCATGATGTAAAAAGTATAAACGGTAGGAGACTTTCCGTATTCTTGATAAAAATCTTTAACGCTGTTATCATGACGAAGAGAGTAACGACTTGACGGGTAAAGGGCTCGATTAAAACTGCGACGATTTCACATGCCGCATTCTTCCTCCATGTAAGTAATTCATGAAACGTACACCACCAGCTACAACTGCCTGTCTTTACATGACTTGAGTTAACCCGTGAGATAAGTAACAGTGGAGTGGTTGGTGTTGGCTGTGTGACTGACAATAAACAAGTTGAATAATGTGAGCGATGTGATGATATTCAGATCAAGAGGAATTATAAATGGATGGAAATGGAAGTAAACGGTACATAAATATATAGTGCGCTAGAAAAATAGTGCTATTCTGCGTGTACTTGACTCGACGAAATCTATTGTTCTACTGACACTGTGTTGAACTGCACTGGCATGGCTTGTGCTGGTAAAATTGAGACGTGAAGAATGAGACGTGTTGCTGTTTAGGACAACGATATGGGGGACTTGCGACTAGGAACAACATTTATTTATTATAATTATTAGTCACCACACTACTCACTCCTACCACTTGTACTACGATTGTGAACTATGCTGCTGACTAGGATCATAAATGCATCGTAGTTGTGGTGGTAAAATACTGGCACCCTGCTAATGTTTACCACGCTACCACCGGACGAAGCACAGTATTGGAAGGTGAACTATTAAATTGCGACGTGAATATAAGTAACTGTTGAACACTTGGCCAAGAAGATTAGAAGAACACGCTCCAAAATCAGATATGCTCACTGACTTTGCTTTGCTTTGAGTCCAAACCAGCAAACTCTTTTCTTTCCTGTTCAGCTTAATGGTTCAGTTAAGAAGGCAGTGCACAAAGTAACTTTTGCTACTGCTTCTTATTATTACAACAGTGCGTCTGCTACACAGCCACGACTACTTTTCTTTTCCCATCATGATCGTGTTTGTAGAGTAATGTTTTAGAATAGCGGAGGTGAGGTCCAAAAAGTTGACGAATGAATCGAGCATTGGTATTGGTACATGCAAAAGTCTTTATGAAAACTGGGCTACAACACCGGATACGGAAAATGACACTTTAGTTCGGCAAAACCACCACTGAACGCAATGAAATGGCACTATATCAGTAGGAGCAATAAAGTCACCATCTATCTCCTATTTCGTTTCTTTCCAAAGGCAGTGGAATAAAATCCTGGCTTTATGTCGCCGAAATTGTTATTGTTCACTCGTAAGAAGGAGACATAAAAATTACGTGCAATCTCGCCCAACGCCACTAACTCACTGGTGAATAATACGTATTCATGGGTAGCAGAAAAGTGAAGGATTCCTCTTGTTATTACGTAGCTTTTGCGTACAAGGTACACGGCAACCCAATACAAAATCACCCAAAACCACCAACAAACACTTTTGTTTGGTTTAGCATCGAAAGTGAGACATTCGTTCGTGTCAAACCAAATATTGGAGGAATGAAGTTGTTGCTGTGTTATGTGCTGTTGTGTTTTGCCGGTGGATATACGTACAAATTATGAATCGACATATAACTGCACAGAACCACGACACCTGACAAAAGTGTACTATTTATCACCATCAACAGCAGTAGTGAATTACATACGTGCTGGAATGAGGTTGATATACCTGATTGAAATGATTAAATGATAATAATTCAGAAAGTTGGATTTTGGGACAGTTCAGCTCAGCCCAGGTCAAACGACTGTCATTCACTACTTGAGTTAGATTTAGAGTGAGTGGAGGAGGATGAGACTTTTGGCGAGGAACGTAAATGTCGGCTAATAAATTCAATATGGAATATCACATGAATTGAAAATTAGCAGTTAGCTCATGAGGTTCTTCTAACCAAATAATAAAAACCAACTTATTTGCATTTCACTAGCACACACACAACACTTGTGCCTGGTTCTTCTGCTGCGTGCCGTATTATATTTAACTTATTGAGTAACCTTTTTGCCAACGTACATACGTTTCCGACTATAACTGTCCGTTTTTGTTGCGGCGTTTTGCACTAGCACGACTAAACCACACACCAAAAACAGAGTACAGTGCACCACACCAACCAACGGCAACCAACCAAGTACAATACGAAACGAAAAGAGCAACGGATGGAATGATATTTGCACAGGCACAATTTACACGGGATATGTACAATAAAGTAGACTATTTCGCAAACAAGGAGTTTGCGGACAACAGATAATTATTGTTGTGGAATGAGGAGGAATGGTCATGGCTGGCAGTAGACATTAAAGTTGGAATAACACTAATGATATGCAGGCGAATTGCGAGTTAACTGCTGGGTTTCACTTTGACTGAAGAAAGGAAAGCCCTATCTTCTCGGCGATGATGCGTTTTTGGTCAGTCAGCTTGGAATCACCAACTCGTATGTACATACACATGCATGTACATATATTGCATATGTATTTTTTAAGGACGCACACATACATGAGATGATATCACAATATTTTAACGAATAAGTGCATATCGATCACTTTTTATTGTGCTCTTCTTCATATGTAACACTTGTGGTCTACTGAATGATCAAGCTTTAACTGACTGAGGTGAACAGAGAGTTAGACATCCTGATCATCTTGTCATCTAGATTTGTACGTGGATTTGCATATTCTCTCTAATCCACGCTAATAATATTAGTGCGAAAAGGGAAGAAAGGAATACCTTACAACATGTGTATATGCACGGACAACAGCCCCATTGCATTTGCCATTTCCCTTCCCATCTCTCCTTTGTGCAGATGTGTGGTATAATATAATTGTCTGCGTCTGATGTATGCACAGTATTGTGTGGATGGAATATAATATTATTATGTCATTCATTAGGAATTGCGAAAATTGTAATATGCTTCTGCTGAGTTCGTCAACTCAGAAAATAAGCCCTTGCTTGCTATTTGTGACAATTACTTTAGCTTCTACTAAAGGTTCAAAAGACCTACTTTGATTCGAATTCTAAAACGTACTGAAACCATGCACTCTAATAAACCTCGTCATGAGTGGTATGTAACATTATTAGTCTGTCAATATTAACCAAGTTTTCCTTGCGAAATTAGTAGCTCCAGCCAGGTAGAGAAAAAGCAGCAAGGTTGACAGTTCCTTGCGTTGTCTCCTCAGTGTATTATCTACATGCATACACCTGTCCGCACGGTAGCTGTATTAATTACTGACTACGGTGAACACAATAATGACTGTTCCTAGGAATATGACGTTATTATTGAAATATGCAAAGCTTAAATGAAACTATAAGAAATTTCCATTTCTAGGTGAGCAAAGACTAATAAACTTTACATCAGTGTCGAATTTGCTCATGAAACATCACTAATGAATTATTCCTAGTCTTCAACAGAGTACAGTAAGTAGTAACACAATGTGAATTGACCTTCGTTTCTCTGTCCGTGGGTCTGTACGAAACGAATCAACCTGCGGCTGTTCCGACAATGAAACACATATTGTATTGACAAAGGAAGACCTGAAGAGCTCAGTCAAATCTATGTACATCAAGTGAGCAATTAAATTATGAGTGTCATCATGGTTTTCCTACTGTACCCATCTCAATAATGTGCAGTAATACATCATGCATAATTATGTTCCATACACAGGTTTAGATATGCGTAAGTATTATTACACGAAGACGTGCAATACCAAATCGTCAGAACCACATACTAATAAATCTTGCTTTTCTTAACCACCTAGAATCACAATCTATAATTATATATATTTAGGTCAGGCCACCACTTATTCTCCATATCGAACGACGAATCGTCTCAAATATTATAAATGAACTCACTATTTTCTACACAACAAAATTCAGTAAAGATCATGAATGGATTCGATTTGTGCTTATTAGTCAGCATCATTAATCGAACTATGAATGTATGTGCTTGATTATGTATTGCAGCAAGTGATATTTATGACTTTTCGAGTGAATTAGGCAACAGCAAATAACAGCAAATTATAAAATTATATTCTTCAGGGGATAAAAGAGAAACTTTGCTAAAATACGGCATGGAAATTACAGCATTATTAAATAACGTGGTGGGTGACGCATACTAGATTACACGTTTAGCTGCTTTCCTCCACTAATGTCACAGCAAAGATTTGCACGGCCAGAAAAAGGAAACGAATTTGAATGTGACTAAATTGACTATTCATTATTACAAGGAGAGAGGTTGAATTGCATATGGAGAATATGCACATTACAATAATAAAATAAATACAAAGCAGCAGGATACTTATTATATACACATTTCACTTCATCTTCTTGTGCCAAAATAATAATACTACTAGTCTAGTAATGAATAGTCCAAACTCATTTGCAACACTGAGAAGTTTTTCGCACTCATAAATTAAAGACACTCCGTGTCTTTAATTTATGAGTGCGAAAAACTTCTCCAGCCTTGACTTATTCACCCTGGCAGTTTAAGAAGTGAGTCATATTTCAGCATCTGAATGGAACAAACGAGAGCTTAACAATTAATATATGGGTGAATTCAAGCCATCCTCGCATCCAATCCATCCATCCTCGAGATATCATCAATCAATTCAAATTACATATTCAGTAAAACAACAGCGCAGCAAGTGAAAGAGCTCTGAAATTTCAGCAACACTTGAAATGGAGCTAAGTCAACAAATCATAAAATATCTACGAGTTAGTTGTATCGTATTCGTATCATCGTTATGGGGGACATGACGTATACGATAAAATGAATAATCGAGGTTATTACAAATTTAAACTATACTCACCTCTTTACATATGACCGGAAATCGTTTGCAAACCTGTGACCTTCGTCATTTCGTAGAGTTGACACTATTTTGTAGTGTTGATTCAGCAAAGTAAATATTCAAACAATTCCACTCTTCCTTCTGCCAACAACTACAGAATACATTGGGGCCATAACTAGCAAATCCAATAAAGCACCCAGCTTTTCCCAGCAAATATTAATGATACGAGACACATACTCTTCTAATTCTCATGCATGTACGTAAAATTGTGAATACTTATACAATAAAGCTTGGTGAGAATTCTCCAATATGTCACGTTGCTGAACACACATTCCGTAATTAAATATTTGCGACTTGCCGCAAGTAATTCGCAAAAAATGGCAGTCTATCGACCATGAGCAATTTATCGTACATATTTCATCGACATTTTCTCGTTTCGTTACTCTCATTATTTTCGTTGGTGCATATTGTCCCTCAATATCCATCATCACACCGCCTCATCATAGTTGGCTGGTGAGTGACACTTGTTAATGAGGAAGATGATGATTGCATTACGAAACTGAAAATATTGTAAACCAACCTGTTCGTGAAGAACTGTTCAGTCGTCTCGCAGTTAACGGGATGGTCCGATGCCCCCCCTCCACGGTCAATAAATTTTATTTGAGTACGGCACAAAGCAGAGGTAGTCAAATATTTTTCCACTTCTTGGCGTGGTGTAGGATGGAGATGTGTTTATTATTATTGGGATTGATCACGCACGCATTCGTTGTTGGAAGATTTCGTGTTGTTGTCAAGCAATCCTTATCTTTTGGTGGTGTGTTCTGCTGATCCGATAATTCGACTGTTGAGGTATTTGATTCCCCCTTCTCGGTTTTTAGTGATATGATTGAATTCAGTTTCCAGGTACACGTCGTCGTCTTCCTTCTGAAATAAATTCCAAATTAGTCAAATTTTCTAGAACACAAGCGTTCTAACGCAAGTGCACAACAAACTTTCCTTTCATGAGAAACAACACACAAAGACGACACCACTTGGATGAGAGATAAAATATTGGGCATGCTGACGTTATAGAGCCAGCCGTACAGTACTATTCTGAAGGGTATCATCAAACCATACACAAAATGGAAGTTTGACATGACATGCATCGGGTTATCTGATACGACGGATATAATGTAGCCACTTGATACCTGAAATGACCAATTTTGTCCAGTACCAAAACAGAGCTCTCCACAACAGCAACAAAAATCAAATCAACTGGCATGGTGTTAGTTATGTTGTACATAATCGACAAGACGGCACTCAAATCAGACATATGTATGTAGATACAAAATAGTGGAAAACACGAATCATAATTTTTACATTGAACTATAAAAATAAATGATAAGAGATGGATAATCATTTTAGTTTCAGAGTGTCAGACAATGTTTCCACTATTTGCTTATTATTTCCCAGCATTATAGATTTGTATTTAGTGGCACATATTTAAGTAATCGATTATATTTATACAAACTGAAAAGCAATGGCGATGATTATGAGAAGAGTACAATACAGGGAGCAGATATTTGTACTGTATTATTTGTTCACTATATTATTTATTTCTAATTTTCCGAATCGGGTTCAAAGAACTCACTGTTGAGAATAATGGAACATGTGCACAATGCATCATAAATGCATATTAAACTCGGGCAAGATTGAATGACTAATACTACTATTAAAATAGTTTACAAACATTTTTCTCAACGCATAGACATAATAATAATTGCAGCAATACGCTACGCTTTAAAAAGTGCAAGGCATTGGGGAAATGACAACGTCAACAAAAAGCAATAACTTTGAACAATAGGAAAGAATTATTGATTGCTGCAACTAACTATTAAAACCAAGCAATTCTTAAACCCAAGCAATATCGGAATTCGATGCGTCGTAAAGTTAAAAAGAATACCACTGACGACAAGAGAAGCACGAGTTTGCAGTCATTTTTGTAAATCATGGTAGTAAGTAAATTATAAAACTAATTGGCTAGCAGTGTCCAATTTCTTGGTGGTGCAGTCAGGTATGTCATTTCTTTATCATGAGGCCTTGGCAGGACTTAAACATTGTTTAATCATGCTACACTTGAGTTGATTTCCTCCTCGTGATTCATGGAATATTTTGTGATTTAATTTAGTCACAATGTCTCACATTTCTGTACCCTCTTTCGCAAAAGTCAAATATTGGTGTGAAATTTCATTATGCATGAATTGACCAACCCAAATTATACCAGAGCAGGTTAAATGTCAAAAAGTTCATTAAGTTCACGTCACATGTTGCCAATCTAACAAACCAACTGGCAACTACAAGTACATAAGTTTAGATGGATGGATGGGCAGGTAGTCATTCATTAATTTTGGAGTAGTCCATAAATGAAAAAATTAAACATCACCGCTTATCACACATAGCTTTAAGGGAGGAATAACAACAATGAAGGAAGAAAGAGATTGCATTTATTTTAGAGAGTGACCTAACAGTCTTCTTGAGTAATATTTGTGTTACATGTAACGCGATGCCACGAGCAGAGGAAGATGCAATTTAATGTTCGTTACGCCCACGCATATTATACAGAGAGCAGATTATACTATATATAGCATATACTACTTATACATCTTTATTTCTTTAATAGAGTAGTTGAGCATTGTATGCATATTGTTCAATTAGTATTTATGTCTCTCCTTTCACAATTAAATGCCATATTTTGGCCACATTATGAAGAAAGTGTCAAAATGACGATATCATTTCACTATGCTTTTAACTCAAATCAAGTGCTAAAGTAACATTAAAATACTGTGGTGCTTATGTTACTGCACGTTTACTAACTTGAAATAGACTGTTTAAATATTCAAAATTCTATTTCATTTCATACATGTGCAATAATAGCAAGACCCCTAAAAAATGGTTCGTCAATGTGTGCATGTCATGAACCTTGCAGAAGTGCGGAACACAGACCTTCCTACATTTATATTTCACCTTATTTAATTGTCGTAACAATTAATAGCTGTTTACATTACAAATATATAAAAAAATGCTATGTCATTGTTAGTTTGTCTGCCTTCAAGTATGATTAACCTAGCTAAACAATGATTTACAAATAAATATAGTACTGCTTAGATAGTTATAAAGTGAACTTATTTACCTGGAGGCGGAGGAAGATAGTCGCCTTGAGGTGACTTGTTCACAATCAATTAGAGAACGTTAATTCACGCTCTGTCTTTTGTTAAAAGCACTAGTCTTGAAGCCACTGATTAAGTATTAAGGTTATGGAAATCACTGATTAAACTAACAATTCAGTTTACGTTCGCACAATGACAAATAATTATACTTGCTGATCACTCTTATTTGTCCATGTTAACAAATATGTGCAAGTTAAACGGTGGCGTATGTAGTAACAGAAGTCTTGTAAATATCGAAAATCACATTTTTACATATTTATGGTAAAAATTGTGTTAAATCTATTGTCTTCTTCCAATGCAATTTTAAGCTCTGTATTGGATCGTAAATAATTCAAAAATATTGGAAATAGGCCGGTGTTTGCTATTTATCGTCTTCTTCGGGTACAAAAGGTCGTAATTTTATAATTCAGCTAAGAATGAGTAGTAGGGATAGTAGTAAACGCCGTCTGAAATACACACAATGAAAATTTTAAATTAGTTTTATATAAATCTTGGTGTCATTGACTTTTAACGTCGTTAATAAATGTATACAACTAGTTGTTATTATACGTTGAAACATTGGGGAATCGCGAGGAAACAACTTTTAAAATGCACAGAATATTGTGTAAAATTTTTCAAACGTAATTTATGGCTATTTTAATTAGCACAACATTACTTTATGGAGCTCTCTGTAGGCTAGACTCCTTAAATCTCATGGTCAACTTTATAACTTCTTTTGTCCAATCATAAAACAAGCTAAACTGCTATTGGCTGGTATCCTATTATATAAATATTATGTCATCAAAAAAGTAAATATTGACAAAAGCCACTAATTGCTATTGAAAAGGAAATGGAAAAGTGAAGTTGTTTCATTTATTTATGTCGAGTCAAAGTCGAAGTCAAGGATATGTAATGCCTTGTTTGATATTCGATATTGTTGATATTTGATTATACCCTATCGGTGCATTATGTTGATGTGTATGAATGTTTAATCAACTGTTACTCACTGATAAGAAGATGCATGTGCTCTAAACCTGAATTTAAGTACTGCATTCCTTCAGCTGTTCCTTCGTCTTATTTCTTGCTTTCTATTAAACACAAAGGTGTCCAATATCTAGTGGTCATTAACAATTTGAATGTCAAAGTCAAAAAGGGACTATTATTATTTACATATTAGTCATGTGTACGATGATTATGGGTAATTAATATTTAATTATTCTTCGGTACAAGGCAGTTAAAAATCATGCCTTGATAATAGAGTAAACAATAGTAACAACTGCTTTTGCTCACTAACCAACAACACACCAGCCAGGCCAGTCACTCCAAGCTGCTTTTTACACTTTTAAAAAGGTATGCACCATTGTATTAACGTGAGATGTGATTCTGTATCGCGTAGTATGTAAGAATATTGATTTCGCAATTTACCAGAATTTACGTCTCGGCAATCGCGAACCCAACAAATTATTATAATACTACTACTTAATGCTCTCTCTTTAATTTAGCCAGTAAACAACTCTACCTTTATTCCAGGAGGTGTGGGCTGTAGTCACAAAATTAAGTAGCTGCCAAGTGCCAATCAACCCATCCAATCGAGTTTAACTTTTGAAATGCAATACGTCTCAAGACCGAGGAGATGTAAATGAAAAACAGATGATGGTGATGATGATGATCCTTAACTTTAATATTGGTGGGTTGTTAAATCTTGACGATGATGAAAAGCTGCACTTGTTTTCGGGTTATCTTTCATCTAGTAACAATTTTCTTCCTTTACAAGGTGGCTCTTTCCTTCACATTGCAGTTGGTTGTGGTCGTATTTTTACTCTCTGGCACTTATTGTTCCCTTCTTCTTCGTATTGCAAACGGATTTGCGCAAGTCTTCTCTCCTACTTTCTTGCCCGTCTTCCTACTACTTACTTGGCTCTGTACCATGGAATAGCAATCCGTATGGAATGATGGATACCCAGTTTTATTTCCAGGGGTCTGGTCCCGAGGGAAGAAAAGACCCAAAAGAGGTGCACTTGGCACTAGTAAGACACTGAGCAGGGAAGAGGCATTGGTGGTGGTGGAGTGCCGGCAGCGGTGGTCGTAGATTAACATGGGTCAGATCGTCTAGTGGCTAGTCGTGTATATATACAAGATCGCTCATATATGGCTCTGTACAAGTATTTATATGTACGAGGAGGGAGAGAGGGAGATGTTTTTGCTGGCGGATGGATTTCGCAATTTTTTCTAATTGTCAACGGCTATCACGGGTAGTTTTTGAAGAAGCCCCGTCGATAAATTTGTCTTTTGGTCGTCAATTTTTTAATGCATAATGCATCATCATGCAATCTTGTCGTTATGCAGAAGCGATATGGTTATTATTATTCTGGATACAATAAAGTCATAGGACGACTCTTTCATTGGATGGCTCGTCCCAATTGGCTACACAGTCGTCTTTTATTAATCCTGATCTAATCATGTTGCAATAGATAGGATAGAAATGGACTCTTTTCTACCTGACCAAAATGAAGCCGAGCAAAAAACAGTGTATGCATGCATGCAATATATCCAAGCAACGTAGATAAAACTTTTTCTTATACGAACGTACAAAATTAGTGGGTAAAAACTTCAGCTTGCTTTTATAATCCAATTTTTATTATGTCTTAGGACAATTTTCAACTATGGCATCATATGTCATGCATGGCTGCATGCTTCCAGCGACAAGGAGACAATGGTTAGCATTACAATATGTGACGTGATATGCACCTGTCTTTGAAGCTGGTCGACCCTGCCAGCTGAACTAATTTAATTATAGGCTGGCAGATTAAGGCAAAAAGAAGTGGAATGCACACATTTTTTCATACAGTTTTTGATCCACGCCAAAAGTACATGGAAATTTCCATTTAATAAATGGTAATGCAGTACTATGCAAAATCGGGAATCAGGAGTGAGGACCATCGAGTGCGGGAGCAGAGCGAGAAGAAACCGCGTTTGTCACTGGCCGACTCCTGCTGCGGCCACGAGAAGAAAGAAAGAAACCCACAGTTCTTCACTCTTGCCTTGACTTTGCTCCGAGTCAGAAGCCCTTGGCTAATTTTGGCACCAATTTTTGCATCATTTAACAATCAATTTGTCAATAGAATTACTCCCTGAGAGGTGAAAAGGTGAGGTGAAAAACACAAGCGTTGAGATTTACGACCAATTTTAACTTTTCACTATTTTGAAGTTTTTTAAAAATATTTTAGTTAAAATCTTGAACAGTATATCTGGAGGGCAGAGGTAGGCCTAAGTACCTTCATTGAGATGGCACCCCCTACCAAACCCCCCACCACGCCGCAGTCCAACACATTGTTGAATTACTTCAGTCGTTCCGTTACGCCGAAAACATCCAGCACTGCGACTACTAGCCGGGCAGAGGGTGATAATGACGACACACCGGCTGGTCCTTCGCCCTTTCGGGAAGAATCCTCATCCAAGCCGGTTGCTACAGAAGAGTCGATAACTCCTTCGTATGCTGGAGAGACTCCTAAAAAGTCTGGAAAGAAGACTCCTCTACGCAGACGGATCCAACGTATCGAATCAGAGTCGGATGAAGAGAATCAATCTCCCAAAGAGGAGGAGAAGGTCGTTCAGTCTAAAAAGAAGAAAAAGGCTGCCCCATCCGATGAGAGTGGAGATGATTATAAACCGTCCGATGATGATGAGGAGGAGGATGAAGAGGATGAAGAATCAGCCGAGACGTCCGAACCAGAAAGTGACGATGGATCTGGATCAGATGATGACGATAAACCACGTTCATCGCAGTCGCGAAACAAAAAGAGGAATGTCGGGGGAAGTGGAATCAAGAGAAAGTCGGTGAGTTCTCCAGTGGAGTCTTCTCTCAGGAAGAAAATCAAAACATTCTCCACAACCAGCAGTCCTGTAACCCCGACTAGTACCAAAGCGACGATGAAAGCGAAAACTCCGACAGGAGCAGGCAAGAAAATGGCTTCGGGGTCACAAACTCCTGGCGGCGACGGCAGCGATGAAAGACATCCCGTTGATGGTGGTGGATCTATTCAATGGCCACATTTGAAATTGGAGTGGCTGAAACCGGAGAAACGCCGAGATTCAAAAAAACGTCTCATGTCTGATCCCATGTATGATCCCACCACGCTGGATGTTCCTATGAGCTATATCAATGAACAAACTCCGGTACGTTTATTTTTAGTTGTATAGATAAACGGTATTAATAGATATATAATTTTTGTGCTAATCTTAATGACTGCTCAAAATTTCAGGTGCAACGACAATGGTGGGAAATGAAAAAGAGCTATTTTGATACTGTTTTGTTCTTTAAAATGGGAAAGTTTTATGAACTATTCCACATGGATGCTGTAATCGCAGTTGAAGAACTGGACATAATTTTCATGAAGGTGAAAATACTTTGCAATTATTTATATAATTAATTTGTTTATTCTGCTTCATAATTTTGGGTACATTTTTGATCAGGGAGACGTTGCACATGCGGGATTTCCTGAAAAGTCATACTCCTATAGAGCATCAACATTGATTAATAAAGGTTACAAAGTTGCACGGATTGAGCAAACTGAAACTCCGGACATGATGAATGAGAGATTGAAGACTGACAGGAAAAGTACGCACGTTTTTTAGTGATTAATAACTTTTATTTGCTAGGGTATTTGAAAGGGGTTAATTTCTAAACGTAAAATTTGTCTTGAATGTTTACAGAGGGTAGAAGCGTACCAAAGTATGCTAACGTTGTAAATCGAGAAGTTTGCCAAATCACTACTCGTGGAGTTCGAACCGCAACAGCTCTAGATCGCCAATATGAAAATATCAATCCAGAGTCGGCATACTTGTACAGCGTGGTTGCAAAGGTTGCTATTTTGCTATCACTATAAGTTATGATTAATCGACATTTATTAACGTTAATTCAAAATCTTATCTCAGGTCGCTAGTAGTACTTCTACTCAACAGGAAGTTACAAACCCAACCTTCGGAGTATGCTTTATCGACACAACTATCGGAGAATTTCATGTCTCTCAATTCGAAGATGATCGCTTCTTTTCGCGTTTGCGAACTCTATTTTCTCATCATGTTCCTGCTCAGGTATGTAGTAGTTGCCCTTATTGTCGTGATTTTTTTACCACACATTCTTATTCACTGATTTGGTGACATCTAACTTGCATAGGTTATAGTGAAGAAGGGAAATCTTCCAAGCGGAGTTGACCAATTAATCAATGGCTACGCCCAAGTACGGAAAGAGGAGTACAATTCACAAATTCCGGCGGCTGAAAAGATTATCAAAACTATAAAAGAGGATAGTTATTTTTACGATAAGGCTTCTGGAGACATTGTTTGGCCTGATGCCTTCAAGACACTGCTTGATTCTGGTACGGAGAGAACGATATGATTTTCATGTCGTTCATATATTTGTTAACATGTTTTTTTTATTAAATTCTAATAACTCGGTACTTCTGAATATGCATCACAGGAGAAATGACTGCAGAAAAAGGTTGGGAACTTGCCGTTCAGGCTTTTGGACTTATCACACAATGTCTGAAACAGTTCTTGGTTGATTATGACTTGCTGTCACTCAAACGATTTTCCATTTACAATCCGGTGGATTCTTTAACAATTTCTGGACCTAATGATGTCAAAATGCCAACCAATATGGTAATAAATTAGAATCTCCATACAATGACTCCAAATAAATGGCTAATTTTTGTGTTTAGGTATTGGATGGAATTTCACTACAGAATTTGGACATTACAGAAAGTTCTGCTTCTTGTTTCAATTTGCTGTCGAAAGTCAACACGTGCTTCACACCGTTTGGTAAACGTTTACTCCGTCAATGGATTTGTACCCCACTCGCCATTCCTGAAGAAATTGAGAGTCGCTTAGATGCAATTCAAGAGCTTATGAGTTACAGCACTTTTATAAATCGTGCACTAGTTTTACTCAAAGGCCTTCCTGACTTGGAACGATTACTCAGCAAGCAAGTTATAAATTTTAAAAAATACTTCGTTGAGGCTAATAAAGTATTTCATTTAATTAGTGTAATAACCTATAATTATTTCAGGGTCCACTTGCTTGGAAGCGCTCACCGAAAGCAAAATCATCCCGAAGGACGAGCAATCATGTTTGAAGAAGTAACTTACTCGAAAAACAAAATCTCTGATTTGCTTTCCATCATTAATGGATTCAAATCGTCAAAAGAAATTATTGTCTTGCTGCAAGGTAAGTTTGTGTATGCCTGTATTATGTTGAATAATAATACATACATACAAGTGCTTAAAAATGTGATAATGTGATATATTTTATCTCTTTATAGAACATGAGGTTCAAAGTCAGTTTCTTCAAAACATCATAAATCGTTTTCCCAACATAGGTCCTCTCTTGAAACGCTTTGACGTGAGTTAAATATATCATATGAATAACCTACTGGAGGCGCTTGAGTACTTTGTTACTTTACACCTTTGTCATATTTTTATTGAAGGACGCTTTCGATCATGCTGATGCTGTAAAGGAAGGAAAGATTATTCCTAAAGACGGTGCTGATTCTGAATACGACCAGGTGCAGGTTGATTTGGAAGAAGTAAAGAATGAATCAGAACGTTATTTGAAGCAAATAACTGGTCAGTTGAAGACGCGCGTATCATACTTCGGATCAGCTAAAAACCGCTTTCAGTTGGAAGTATCTGACAACACTAAAGTACCCAGGGAATTCGAACTGAGTTCATCAAAAAAGGGTTACAAGCGTTACATGACTGCTGAAACAAAGGTAAACCGACCAAAAACCTTTGTTTCTATACACTTATTAACTGTTGAATAAGATAATTCAATGGAACATAATCATCACTTAATAATGAGAGTGTTGAATGCATTATTTCATTTTAAAGGAGTTTTTGGATCGAATTCAACGAATTGAAACTAAACGAGAGGAAGTACTGCGAGATATTACTCGAAGAGTTTTTGAAAAATTTGACAAGAGGTAATGCATCACAAAAATTGACATATACACACTGATATCAATTTTTAAGATTATTTGTTGTTACCGATATATAGCCACGACACGTGGAAGGTTGCAATTTCTTGTATTGCCGAGTTAGATGCAATCATATCTTTAAAGACATTTTCCGAGTCACAAGAAGAAATGTGTCGACCGAAAGTGGTTTTCAGTCGCAAGCCATTTTTCAAGCTCAAGAACGGAAGACATCCCTGCATGGCTGTGGAGTCATATATCGCCAATTCGTGTTACTTGGGAGTCTCACGCCCAAACAATGCTCCTTTTGGATGCTTTTCTTTGTTGACTGGACCTAATATGGGTATGCCTCTTGATTTCCATCTTCTAAACGTCCAGTAATTACAAAATCCTTATATATTGTCAATTTATTATTTAGGTGGAAAATCTACTCTTATGCGACAAGTGGCTCTTATTGCTGTTTTGGCTCATATGGTGAGAAATTGTTTGCAAGATTTATGTCATTGTATAGTAAAATTACTAACTAGTATTTGTGTTAGGGATGCTACGTTCCTGCTACTGCATGCGAAATGAGCATCATTGACCGCATATTCACACGCATAGGAGCATCTGACAATCTCGGAGATGGAGAAAGTACTTTCTTTGTTGAACTGAGTGAAGCCAGTGCTATTTTGCGTCATTGTACCAAAGACTCTTTGGTTCTCATGGACGAATTAGGCAGAGGGTGAGAAGAACTTAATTTGAGCATACACTTGCAAAAAATAAGATTGGATAGTATGTGTTGTATATCTAATGAATGCCACTGCAATTTATTTCTAAACAGTACTGCTACTTATGATGGAACCGCAATTGCTCATGCAGTTGCTACGAAATTGGCAAATGACGGGGTTCGAACCCTATTCTCAACACATTATCATACACTCGTGGAATCTATTCAACATCTCCCAATGATCCAACTTGGACATATGGTACGTCCTTTTTCAATAATTTTAAAAATATTCTCCAATATTTAACAAAACTGTTGATACATGTTTCAAGGCATGCATGGTGGAGAATGAGAATGAAGAAGACCCTACGCAAGAAACCGTTACCTTTTTATACAAAATTGCACCTGGTCCATGTCCAAAGTCGTACGGATTCAATGCTGCGAAATTAGCTGGAATGCCTGATGAAGTTATCCGCGATGGTCATCTTAAAGCGAAGGAATTCGAAACTATTACCAGCAATGTGACCACATTTCGCCAGATTATTGGAGAGGACAAGTTATCTCTTCAAAATGCTATGCAAATTTTGAAGATTTAAAACTAGATTATTTTATAACCATTCTTATTGACTACTACTTCCCATGCAGATATTTGAATTTAAAACTGATTACCTTAATATTGATCTCACAATGTTTACCACCTCACGTACAGATATTCTCATTGTTTTAATTAAAACTTTTTTTTACTAACTTAAATTTTTGTCAAAAGTAAACTTCGTAAATGATGTGATAGGAGAACAATTTACCTGATAAATGTATGCTGGTGACTAAAAGTTCCTAACTGAAAATCCCACAAAAAATTTGAGCTTTGTTTGACTTATCTTCAAAATTGTTACAAGATATGGTAAAATAAAGAAGAATGTGATGTTGATGCTTGTAAAAGTAACTTGCTCCTTATTTCACATTAGTTTTTATTAATCAAAGTGAGTTTTAATTTATGTATTTAACCATCATTTTGATATTGATAAATCATACACGAGGTTTTAAATAAGTTATATATTCATAAGTACATATTATTTATCTCTCAGTAAATTTAAAGGTTATGCAGATCTAGAGAAAGGGTTGGTATGTTTATAATTATTTAGTAGCATGCCAAGTACATATTATGATTGATGGCGAAAGTCCTCATTCAAGAATAGAAAGAAATTTTATTTGGTTCTACACATTATTCACTAGAAAGATGATAATTAGAATAAGGTAAGTTTTAAGATTACATGTGATAAGTCGACATTCAGACCAAGTATTTACCAGAGTTTGTAGTAATAGTAGTTGATGTTGGTGTCAGGAAAATGGAGGAAGGGGACGTCGGATGGATGTACATACATATATATTTCCGAAAGTGTGTTTGTTTAGTTTACATAAGAGGAAGAAATTGTAGCGAAAGGGTTTGTTTTCAAGCACCGATCTTCGTGAGAAAAATGCTCCCCACAAAAGATTTAGCCTACGAGTGAGTAGTAGCAATAGTGGTAGTAGCAGTACCGCAGTACCGATGATGATAGTCATTTGATTATTAGTTGAGACGATGACAAGTATACCAACGATAATAATAAGGTACAGAAAATGAGAGTTTCTTATTCTTTACCATCTCTTCTAGCCTTGTTTGCACTCTTATGAAAAGTGTAAATACTTGCCCAGACTACTCAGTAAAAATAACCGCAAGAGAAGAGATCTGAATCTGGAGGAGACCACCCACAACTAGCAAAACCACCAACAACGCAGAAGATGATGGGTCTGTAGAAACGATAATGCTCTCGTCCCTGAAGAGAAAGTTGAGAGGAGAGACAGGTTGGTTTTAACTTTTGAATAAGGAGGAAGCCGTTTGCATTGACAACGTTCATCTGCAGGAGGCGAGGTTGTAGGGTTGGTTGTGTTGATGGTGATCGTCATCATCGTTGATTAAATCTTGCTCAGTATTGAATATGGAGTCGGATCCCTGTGTGGCATTATCGTCCTCCTCAATGTCACTATCATCATCTTCATCAGCGAATTTCAGCGTGTCTAGAGAAGTTTCTTTCACAGTGATTTGCCTCCTACTCCCTTTATTCAGTGTGGTGGTGCTGGTGTAAAATGGGTCTGAGAAAATGCCCACGCTCGTCGAGTTACTGCTGCTGGCCGTCGCTGTCATTTCGATATCACACTCTTCATGGGATGAGGAAGCGTTACTGCTGCTCATGGGAATGATAAGATGATGATGTTCCTGCAGTGGATCGTCCTCATCCTCATCTTGGTTGGCAATTCCTTCTTCTTCTCCTCCTCCTACTTGGTCCTCCTGCTCATCGTCATGATACACTTCAGAGTTCCAGAGGACAAAAGCAGGCTCCAAACCTAAATAGGACCCTGGAATATTCCCAGCGTTCATCACGTCATAATCGTAGTAATCCATTTCGAAATCTTGATCTGCATCATCCAACTCGGTCCTGGAAGAGTCTTCCTCACCGCAACTAGACCCACCGCAACGACGCAGACTGCCCGTCGTGGTTGCGAGTGAAAGTTGAGACTTGCCAATGTCCCGTTTTCTGTGTAAACCTGTCAAATCCAAGACCACTCGTTCCACACCACCTCCAACTATACGCCGTACTTTGTCCAACTCATTTTTATTGGCAAAATTACTGTGAATTTTTCGCCTGGATTGATGTTGCTGCTCTTCAAGTTCTATCCCATTGTCCTTTTCCTTAGCCCTCCTTTTCAAATTCTCTTCCTCCTTGAGCAGCTTTTCCTCATTTCCTCCTTTTCTCACCGACACCGACCAGCGCTTCTTGGAAGAGGGGATTGGCGTAGGTGTAGGGGTTGACATTGTTAGTTCAGAGGAGGAATTTAACGAATTTGACACTGAGGTGGTCGTGGCAATACTCAAGGGATCCTTGGAATAAATGGGTCTGGTCATCCGCCGGGATTTTGCACCATCAGCACCTCTTCCATCTTCCTTCGCACATTCCTTGCCCTCCAACTCCTTCGTCCACATCTTGCCCTTGTTCTTCTTCCGGGATTCGAGCAGTGGTCTCCCTTCGGCACTTCTCTGCTGCTCTTCCACTTTCTCCACGCGTAAATTTGTCTCTGACAAACTGATGGATTTGCTCAGTCTGTATTTAGATTTATCCTCCCCGGTGGTAACACCACTCGTAGCAGCCGTGTTGGTGGCGTTGGATGACTCTTGTTGTCCGCCTGACCCAGTTCCACCAGGGCCGTCCTGTTTATTTTCAGCTCGTGCTTTCGTAAGCAGCCGACTTCTCCTTGAATGGGTCGGAGTTGATGGGAAGGACTTGACTTTGGAGGAGACGTAGTTGAGAGGTCGAGGGCGAAGGAGGAAATACTTTAGTCGAAGAAGACGTATTCGACGCCAGTATGAATAGTCGAAGGACATGAGGGTGACGGAAGTGCATCTCGACGAATCGTCATCCCCTCCACCGCGTCGTCCTTCGGGATTACTTGTCCCGTCGGAAAAGGTTCCTGCTTCATCTTCATTATCAAAACACTTGAGTTCCTTGTACTTTTCTTTACGATATGCTTTCGTCACGCAACCCCCGAATCCCGACAGAATTATGACTAGCACGAAAAACAGGAGGATCAACTTTAGCACCAGGAAGGTCCAGAAATCGTAGGAGATTCTCGAAGGATCACCGCCGTTCATATCTGCAAATTTCATCAACAAAAATCTTAGTTGAAGTTTCCTCCTCATCGACTGTGACGAAAATTCGTAGTTGAAGTAAAAAAAATAATCTCATAATTTTTCTAAACAAGTCAACTCATAAACTTTCTAAGACTAGAAAAAGCCTTAAAAAACTCGAAAGATGAAAAGTCAAGTCAATCAGTCCGTTACAGTCAATAACTTTCTCCTCGTCGCATTTTGGGTACTTTGCTGCTGTGTGTGCACATAGACATGTATACATACGTATGTACGTACACACATACATATGCGCCTCTACAAACTTTTAGGTGGGCAAAAAATACGCAGAACTGAACGTCGTGTTAATCATTTTCCGCATGAACATTTCCTATTTGAAAATGAAACACTATTGATTTCATGTCAAAGTTTGTTTGTTGTATTATACAGTGCGGAATTTCAGGCCAGCGTACTTTTCGTACAAGTACGCACCCATCCCACCATGCACCCATGTAAATATTATCCCTCTTACTATTTATCGGCTCAATCCGAAGCCAACCAATGGGAATGAATGAGTGAAAGTTTTATTGTCCAAGTAATTTGCTCGTCTATGCATGTCCCACTTTTTGCTCTGATGACAATTTTCCAACAAAGAAATGCATTGCGACACAAGCATGATGTATCAGCCCAATCAATACACTGACGACCGAACCGGTGGTGCCCAGAGTTCTCTCATAAATCTCAACGGTGGTGTGGTGCGAGTTTCTCTTAATAACAAGGTGGAGTACAACATAGGGACAAAAAAGTAAAAGTGGTAGAATTCAGCTCACTTGGGGCTGACTTAGAGCGTTGAGAAATATTGGAATTAGAAATGAGACCGAGTTTTATATTTTATGACAGAGACGTAAAGAGTAATGGCAAAAAGTTTGACAAGGGCAGAAGATGGAAATGATGAAATACGTATTGGTCCGTGTATGCAGTATGGGTCACCCTCAATGCTCTTACCTTCTTCTTCTTATACCGTCTGTCGCTGTAATCTTGTAACGAAGAAGGGCGACAATACATATGTACATATAGATCAGTACGAATGACTCTGATATACGGTGAACCCTCAGTCTTAATAACTTGAGTAACAAAGAAAGCTAAGTGAAGAAAGCTATGTAAGTGTGGAATACATGGTGGAAGTGGTTGGTTGCCAAATGCCAAAGTGGTCGCATACAGAGAGAAGCTTCCTCTCCCTCACTCTCTCGGTGTGATATATATTATTTGTCACTCTGATTGATTGAACATTGAACTCACCGGTGAGGGCGAGGGACACGTTGGCGGACGTGAGGGTAGAGTAATAAGCAATAAAATAGATGAATTGTCCACTGCAGTTTTTGTTAGTGTCGAAGGCCGAGATGGACAGAGAGGACCCGGTGGACTCGAGGGTCAGGGGTTCAAAGACGTCTTCCTCCATCTCATCACTATTCCCACCACCCTTATTGTCCCAAAGTTGGCCTGATGGTTGACCACTCCGCGAGGACTCTTCGTAATGGGCATGTTGTTCTTCGGATGTGATCACTTGGAGCAAATTCGAGTCCGTCGTGTTCCCATCACGGAAAGTGATTGTAACGCCTAGAAGTTAACATTTGGAAAGCTTATGGTCAAGATTTATGAGAAATATTCAAGTAGTTGTGAAAATACAATTACAAAATTAGTTTTTGTACAAGATTTCAAGCGTGAAACTTTTAACTTTTAATTTTTCAGATTTATACATGTGCAAATGTTGTTGCAGGTGTTTCTAAAATATAAATCAACCAATTAACTTACATTGAACCTCCATTTCCACCACTTCCAGTCGCACTCGGTCACGTTCATCCTTCGCCTGTGTTAAGCAAGACAAAAGAATTCCGTCACGCACGAAGGGCCAGGAAGAGATTATAGAGAATGGTAAAAGTGAGTACGGAAAAGTATAGAAACATATTTTGACGCACTTTTGTCCCAAGTTGGGTGCAAATATTTATGGTGTTTGTTGTTCCGTCGATGGAGGAACAGAACAGAGAACGAAGAAGAAATAGGATTTGGAATGATGAGAACAGAATTTTCTCCTTGTCACGCTGCTCTCGTATCGTATTGCATTGCACTACATTTTCATTGAGATTCTACAAGTTCATTTTATCATGATTCCGATTTATCTCTTTCCTCCTCTGCTGCTGTCTCCTCAGTCTCAAATTCAGAGTCTGGTCACACAGCATGTCAAAGTAATTTTACTAATTTTACAAACGACATCGATCAAAAGAATTCAAAAGTCAGGAAAATTAAGGCAACTGACAATTTGCAACTGTATTATTCTTGGCCAAATCCTCAATAAGGTTTGACAATTCTTGTTAAACAATTTTTTTTATTTTCCTGAATCAAAAAAGTGAACTCTATTCTGGGCGATATTTAATGAATGTAAAGGTACTACGATGTGTATACCTCGTCGTACCTTCATCATGTATACGAAAAGAATTGAAATATGATAATTGAGTTAATTGTGTTTGATGAGAAATGATTATTTTGTCAGAAAAAGTGGAACAACTTTTCACCCTTCGCTTGGAGAAACTACTACGTATGTCTTGTCATGTCTTCACCAATGGGATTTGTTGGAGGAGCAATTAACAAGTCATTCCACCTTCGTTGCCAGAGAATTTTTACACTTTTACACGCAACTGTTTCAATTTGTCAAACATTTTATAAAAGGAAGGAAGAGAACACGCCAACCAGCAGATGTTTCTTTAAATCGTTATTAATGATGTAGAAATGAAAGGAGGATTTACTTCCACATAATCCGAGCGAGCAGCGCAAGGTGAAAGTGCACACGTATAGAGAGAGCAACATCAAAACCAGTATTAGTTCGACACCACTTGTGAACTGAACACTTGCATCCTCATCAGCGAAAAAGAAAAAAAGTTGAGATGAAAGAAGGACTATTTCTCAAGGAGCTGTACTGCTGCTGCTGCTGGTTGGTTAGTTTGCTGAGTGAATTTCATCCTCTTTCATGAAGGAAAAAATCTGAATTGGGACATGCAAGAAGCTATAACACCAAGTTTCGATAAATCTCAGTGACACATTCCACCCACTTGAAGTCTGACAAAGAGGGGTAAGTATTGTAAGTTGGGAATGTGTGGGAGTAGATGATGAAATGGAAGCAAATAATACATGGAAATTTAAATGATCTCCAGCAAACCAATTTGGTCTCATTACAACACACCCACTCAACAATCCATCCTTCCAGAAATCGTACCCATTTTCCATCCCATCTTTTAAGTATAAATGTGTGTAACGTGATTTCTTGGGTTGCATTAAACATGTGGAAATGGAAATATGATGCAAAATTCAGTTGAGCTCATAGTTCTAAAATAATAATAATCTTGAACCCATTCCTCTCTCAACTCTGTCTGGTATACATACATTCAAGTGGAGGAGAAAGCGAATGGAATTTGTGCTGCGGGAGGATTTATAGCTTAATTCTCACAGTTAAAAATGAATTGTTGGAATTGGGAAGAGTATAATTTAGTGAGAGTTGGTTCGTTGGTGGAGAGAAGGAGAAGAAGTGTGTTTTACACTCACTTTCCCTCTCCGAGCTACACAAGAAGTAGTGAAAGCAGAGTGAATCAGAGAGGAGAAAGCAGCAGCAGGAGCAAGCCTTCCATCCACTCTGCCTTCCATCCGTGTGGATGATGGAGGTTGAGCTCAAGTGGGCAACGGAAATAAGTGAACAATAAGTGGATCAAGAGAAAGTCTGCTGAAATTCGCCATAATTTTATAATTCAGTGGAGATGGAAGTATGGACGTCAGCCACTTTTCTATTCCATCCTCATCTCTGTAGTAGCCCTCTCTCTCTTTTGTCTATGTGTGTAATCTGTAGCAACAGAGTATCAATTTTCTCTCATTCTGTCCAACTGTGAGTTTCCAGTAATCCCTTAATGAGAATATTATTATGAAGCTTAGCTTATGAAACGTCCGTTGAAAAGGAGGAAATAACTTTTTCAAATTGCTGTCGGAGGCACTACTCATTAACGGAAATATTCATTTACACTTATTTAAATCAAACATTATAATTATGGAGATTCTTACTTGATGAAAAGCTCACAGGAGACGAGAAGGAGAGAAAGTTGTTTCTTGCGCGATAAGAATTAATATAGAATTAACAGAGTCAAATGCACAGTTATATTGGATAAGTGCTTTGTCAATGGTCAAAAGTGATTTACATAAAGCCTTCAATCATGTCATAATTCACTCTTTCCTGAAGAGAAAGCCTACATAGTGAGAAACGCAAAATCTGCAACACTGAATCTCCTGTGTACATACATATTTATGTAACATGCCATTAGCAGAACTCGGAGAAAGACGGCTACACAACGTCAGCCCAAATCCCATCGAGGGAATTAAATGAATAGATGGAATTACACAAATGAATATGGCTATGCTTGGCTTTGCTTGGTTTGAAACATAACGTGAGAGATTGACTTACGTGGAAAATCCATTTGAATTTATGATGGTCCACTTCGTCCTCGTCCGCACATGGGGAGGAGTAATTGGACGAAATGAAGATGACCAACGTGTCATTCCTCTCCGGCACGAGGTCATACAAAATACAGCCACACTCGCACCCAGGCGTCAGGGTCACGTTCTCCAGCTGGAGTTGGTGTAGGCTGTGGCGATGTTGGGAGTGGGAGTGGTGGTGATAGTGGTGGTTATTTTCCCCCGACATGGAACCACCTCCATCGGCATTGTCTTCCCTGGAGACCAGGCCGACCCCACCTTCACTCTCCGTATCCACATACAGGATGGGAGTGGGGCAGGTGGGAATTGCGCTATCACAGCCTCGTTCTTCGATTGACTCGCCCTGTGTGTACAGAACAAGAGACATGTTTCAAACTAAATTATGTACATCGAGGCAACGCACACTTTTCTATACATCCGCCAAAACCCTCAACAAAGTGAAACTACAAATGAGGTTGGAAATAATGGGACATTTTGTAGTATGTCTGCAACACACAAATGAGTAAGGATGATCACAGTAGCATGCATATATCTGTGCATACGTGTATTCGGAACCTTTTACGGGGACAATCACGTCATGCAGCCGCAGCAATAATATTTGTTCTAATGCCCACTTTATGATGAAACACGGAATCAAGGAAATTGCACAATTAATTCTCATCTCACTACGCTCCTCTTCATTACTCGTACTCGAAAGTCGTCTGTGATAATTTTCCCTCGTTCAGTAACAATTAAATTCACACGAGGTGCTGCGGTGGTGGTTGTGTGACATTAATTTTCTCTCCCCCTCTCATCTTCGTACGTAGCACAACTAACGACTCTGGTAATTATCATGATAACGTTTTTAACTCTTTGCAGCTGCTCCAGCCAGTTCTTTGTGAGGCAAAAGTTCAAAAGTTGGTGAAAACTATCCTTTATATTATTCCTTATCCAACTGTGAGAAGATTACTTTTTACATGGCTATCTCACTTATGTGCGTCATTCAAAATAGACTGATTTATGTGTATTTTCTCTCTTCAGCAGGATAGCAACAGGAAATGATGCTCCTATGTGCTACGCTTTGGCTGCTCAGTTGTGCTCATCGTCATCATCATCATCATCCAATCTCAGGTTAAATGACAAAATTACACAACCACAAAATGGAATCATACGCTTAATTTTGGCTAGAAAAGCATGTTAAAAGTTGTCGTATCTAGTAATCCAGTTGGATGCCAATTTTGATAAATACAGGGAAACAAACTTTGTGTATGGGGTTCTTTTATCCATTTTCCGCAGGGAGAAAGTTGTTTTGTATACAAAAAAGTTTTTTGTCAAGCCAATAAACAATCTAAATTGATAGCCACATACGTGCAGGCAGGACTTCAAAAAGATCACTTGGGTGAGTATGTAGAAGAAAACAATAAGTTTAATTTATGAACACAAGTTAAGTGGAAGGGAAAAAATTACCAAAAATATATCATTTACGTACTTCCCCTAAGAAAAAACTACTGGTTCTGAATATTGTTGTGTAAATAACTGCATAGCTCTCAAGTCAACAAGTGCAAGCAATTTATATAATTTCAAAGTAAATTATTACGAAAATTTCCCAATTTATTGGTTCTGCTCAATTGAGATGTTTCATTTCGCTACTGAAACCAGACATGCTTTGGTAGCTAAGTCATTTTATTCTGATTTTTAGTGGAATAAATATATTCATGACTTTTTTGTGGTCTCATTTTGAAAACCGAGATTCAGTCCCCATCTTATAATTTGTGTGCGTCATCAACGCTTCTCCAATTTCACAGATTTTCATTCCACGAACCATCCTGGTGGGTGACTGAGGAGTGAAGATGATTTTCTTCCCCTTTCTCTTTGCACTTGTATTACTTGCATTATCTCAATTTTTACAACGAGGGGATTGTGTACTCGTGTTGAGTGACAAAATAATATCGGTAAAACCCAACAGAGTTGTTAACTGATCTTAGAAAAATATGATTCATTCACTTCTTGTTCAATCTCTTCTCACTTTTCTCTCATCCATCCGCCCCTTCATTCCACTCTCTCCTCCAGCTCTACATTTCCTACGTATTCCCCTCTGAGATGAAAATTATACATGCACGGTAGTCTCTTCCCTCACATACTTTCCACTTTTATGCAGCTCACTCACTACTGTTCAGCACTTCTTCTGCCGGATTGTGGCATGTCGAGCGGAGTGGAATCACCCTCGGCGGATCGCGGAGATGATGCGAGCTTAAGTTACTTTCACCCGCTTCTCCTGCTTCATAAACGGACGAGATGATGATGATTATGACCAAAGGTTAAATTTCTGTCTGGCTTCATACTTTAAACTTTCTACTCAACACGAGCAATACATATTTTAATGACTTGCTCGTACATATAGATTTCATTACGTTACACAACACTGTGCCTCTCGACATGGTAAAAATTGAGTTATAATTGTGGATCCGGTGCCAACTATCCGTTAAGTGTTTCTCACACTGCGAGATACACGGGACTGGTGCTGTTTTAGCACGGTTGACAAAATTTATATTGCACTTTATCCAGGCAATAAAACCGATGAGTGTAAAACTAAAATGGAAAATGAGCCGTGATTCGTTTTCATTTTTTACTTACGTGACAAAAGTTAGCACCAGCAGATGGAGGCGGATTGTCACAGAAGCGATAGCGATACTGCCGCCCGTCGGGACCGCAGCTGACCGTGCATGGTGTCCACACGCTCCAAGCCCCCCACCCGCCATCTATGTACGTATTACGGTCGCAATTATTAGTAATTATTCAATTAAGTTTGGCATCATCATAATAATTAGAATCGATCCATGGGCAATTAATGTTGACATACATACGTACGTGCATGTACTTACGTGCAAATGGACACGTTGGACATGATAATAGGGGAATTTAAACTCAGACCATGCTGTTTCTCATGTTTAAGGAGAAGGGGAAGTGAATCTAATATATAACGCTTATCTGAAATCGACCCATTATATTGAAAATGGGTCATGATTTCCTACCCAGTGGAGAAAGTCAATTTGAATTTGCTGGATACAAGAAATTCTCTCATCATCACGAGTTGAGCACATATTTGTACAAACAAAATACGTACACATATTTTGATTTGATTTGACTTCACTGTGGTTTAATCAAAATCAGCAAGTCTGTAAAATTAGGGGAAATCATTTCTGCTGACTCGAGCGGATGACTGGAGGATACATTCCAATTTATTTCTTGGTAAATGGTATTCGTAGGGTCGGGAGGCATTAAATCATTAATCGATAAATACAATAATTCCGTATCAAAATTAACCTGCAAGTTGTAGGGGAGGGTTGGTGGGAATGCACTTCTCCACCACAATGGCCACACTGTCATCCACAGCCGTGTTGATGTATTGGAAGCAAAAGCGGAGAAACCTGTAACCAGAAACCATGCGGATGAGTTAAGGGCAGATAACGCCATAAATTTCCATTTCGCTGACTGGTGATCATGGCCATTGTCTTTCCGCATTGGTAAATTGGAGGCATTTTCCATTCCGTGTATGTATAAATAGATAGTAGATTGAGGAGAATCCTGATACGAGCATCGGGACCTAGAGCACTATTTTTCTGGACAAAATGTGCAATAAAACTGAACACGTATTGATTCCATTTGATGTGACCAACCAGAAAATGCCACTTTAACTCGAGTCTCAATTCTCATTACAAACGCGTGAATTTCACGGCACCGGAACAACAATAAGTCTCTGAATCTATCCGAGAAGAGTGGTCGTTTGACATGGAATTTTGCAAAAACTAGGCTCATTTCACGGTGGTGCGAATTTACAGCAGTCAATGCCTCAAGGCTATTTCGAGACGACAGACGTCACCTACTACATGCCCCGAAGAGGACGATGTATGTTTGGCTGAAAGAGTTTTTATTTTGCTTGCTTCCAAGCCGTCCTGAAAAAGAGTAATTGAACCGTATCCTGCATATCCCAACTCTGCCGGCGATATATGGCTCACTGCGAAGTACGGGTATAGCTGAAAATAAAAGAATCTAATCCCTTTTTAAGTGGTGAAAGTAGAGCAGTGTGCAATCCGGTTATTTCATCTGGGATGTGATGAAAAAAAGAACAAGTTCGCTCGCCCAATAGTCCAACTCTCGTTTCTTCGATCTATCTTGTTTGAGGAGAAGGAGGAGGGAGAACAAGTCCACTTTCTCTCTCTTAATCCCAGCTGGGCCGAGTTATGATTTTCAGCAGGAATGAAACAACTTTATACAAGAGCTAAATCCACTTCTGTAATAGGAATCATCAAATGATTTTACGCTATTTTTACAATACACCCCACAGCAGCAGGTTTGAGCAGACAAGGGTTAAATCTGAGACAAGGATAAAAGTGGACACATCTCAGACCAAGAAACAATGGGGAAAGTGAATTTCGACATTGCATCCCTTATGAAATCTCGAATTTCATGTCAACTCGAGTTCAGGAGGAGGAACATATGCGGGGCTAACGCCACTGACTGAGGGTTCTCTTTTTGGTGGTTTTGGGTGAAATGGGCGCAGCAAGAGAAACATTTATGTCCCAAGGAGAAAGACTTGTAGATTTGCAGATGGATCTCTTCACTTATAAATTGGAGATGTGTGCCACACAAGAGTTCATAAAACTGGGTTTACGCCTCCCAGCTCACTTTCACTTATACGATTTTTTGCTCAATTTACCTCGCCTGGCAATAAATATCCTTTCCACCACCCTTCGCCCTCTTCACACTGATTCTGTCTGCCTTCACTCAAGAAGAGAAGGCACCCACGAGAACATTTTATTACAAAACCGCATATCCATTCCTACCATCAGAGAGACGCAGCACATCCATCTACTAACTCACTCCTTCGTAGCAGTGCTATTTGGCAGAGCTGAGCACGCCGCCTTTCACCCACGAGTTAGAAAAATATAGCGCACTTCTTCCTCTCAAATCCCTTCTTTCAATCTCAGACTTTCTCAGTTTGATTAAAATATAAACGATATTTAACACAAATAGCTTAAGCTAATAAATCCATGACATGCACTTTTGCCGACGTCAAGTACAACATTGACAGGCCTGCAGATCTTCTTCGATTTCCTCAATAAGGTGGCTGAGGGAAAGTGGCAGGGACATAGTTGCAGATAGCGATATATGGACATTAAACTGTGTCATTTCATCAAAAGGGGTCACCAAAGCTGTGGTTTTATTGACTTAAATTTCTAACCCAACCAGAATTTTCAATTACTTTTCTACTCTTGTCCTATTTCCCTCTCACGTAACGATCCTCTTGCCAGACTTTCTCCGTGTGCGGTGGGTAATAGCTCATATAATAAATGGCGTTGCTGACTATTCCTTCAATGGTGCATGCAGTCACCCAACCGGATCCTTATGTTCGCACTCTCCTGCTCCTCTTACTAATACCGTATCAGCCCTGGTTTGGCAGGCAGAGGCGAATGGAGAGGCTTACTTCCGTCTCATTTCAAATGCACAAATAAGGAACTGGAGAAAATGACTGGCTGACTATTACAGAAAATGTAGTTGTGTGTCACTAACACCCCGTTCCCAACTAGCCTTCCAGGTTTCATCCAGCCGTGAAATTCATTTTCAGTTGACTTTCCAACTAACGTGCTTTGAATAATAAGCGAAAGAAAGCAACACCCAGTCCACCTTCCAAAGTCATCGTCACCATCATCACGAATTCCAGGAAAAGAAAGATGACGAGAGTTTCCTCAAGAGTTATAAAATTAAATTTCGTCCCGTTATGCAAAAATTCTAATCAGTATCATGCAGTGGAGATCCACTAATTCAACCAATACCTGTCGTAGTGGTGTCTAAATATGTGCAGGGTGAACGAGATCAAGGCCTGAAGTAGTATGCAAAACGTAGTATGGCTCTTTTCCCAACCAAAACTATTTCCAGTACAACCAGTGCGTTGTAGAAAGTCGTACAGATCTGTGAAGCTCAAGTTGTACAGATCGTATGTCGTGGTGCATCGGCAAGTGTCAGTGAATTTGTAGGGTGAAGATGGATGTTTGAGGGTTATTGAAAGGAACCAGGTTAACTGCGGGTCGTCTCATGTATTTACAAGTGCTTTGACAGAGTGGATCACATTTCAAGATTTGTGATTTCCTCTGAAGAGTTCTAGCATTTCGTCCACTCAGCAGCGGTAGTGGTGGCAAGGTCGGTTGAACAATACTGTTCGGCGAGTGAATAAGGAATCCTAGTAGCTTTTAAGAAGGGAGGACTACGTATACAAGTTGGTGCCTTGTTTGACTCACCGTTGTGGGAAGAGATTGCATCTGAACGTGACAACTCTGGAGTTGGGTTGAATTTTATGTTCCGCAATATAGCTCAATCGGCTGGGGACGAGGGCACTGGGCACGGAGAGGGTTTCATGACCGTACACGCGAATCTTGTCTTTTCCAGGTAGAATGCAACTGCTGGGATGGGACACAATGGCCCGGATGGAACCTGATGGTACAGTGGAAGAGAACACAGAATTATAACCATTGCTAATATTTGCGGTAACAGCTTAAATCTCAACTCTTTCTTATATAAACTATGCATTAATACATAAAAAAACCCCTTCACACCCACTTTCTAACAAGGCATGGAAAACTCCAAGGAACTTAAAGTATAGTTGTTTGTATGATTTGACCAAAATAATTAACTATCACATTGTCGTATCTGTTTATTATATGTAATTGGCATATAATATGAGATGAATATATAATTATTTCGTTTAGGGAGCAAATGGAGTTTTAAACGGAGAAGGTTAAAAGATATAAAGATAGATTATATTATAATACATAATGTAATTCGTTGTTCATAATTTTTTGACTCATAGGGGGATCACGTATTTTTTGCCTGTGCAGAGTGTGAACGAGCTCTTCCTGCTGTATGTACTCAATTAATACGAGTAAAATGTTATTATTATTAATAATATGTAAGATTATATAATAATAAAAATAAGCCTCAATTTAAACGAACCTCGACAAGGCATCACAGTCGGCTTGCTCACGTTGATGGAGAACTGAGAGCCCCACTCCACCCTGAAAAGAGAGAAAGTGGAAACATGGAAAATGACAACTTGATCCGAATCTACATCTCCAATGGTTTGGTTATATGAGCCATAGGAATAAATGTCTTTGACATTCAAATAACTCTCTCTCCCTTCTCCCTGCAAAGACTGATCAGTTTCTGTCAAAGTCACTCTGGCGTAGCGTCGTAGGCAGGGGACAGATTTTCCTTAATATGTAAGTAGCCTGCTGCATATATCACCAGTACCAGTAGCACATACGTACTCCTCCATGCCCACTTTGCAGACATCGCTCCAACCAAGTTCTCAATTGATGTAATTGTTACGTTGGCATTTGCACGTGGACATATGTAATTCCTCAAATTTTTTTTCGCCAGACTAACTTTGACGATAAATGCGCAGGTAGGATTTTGAAATCTCTGTCCGTCCTCTTCTTCTTCTCCGTCCATTGTTATGAGCATGCACATTATTATGAAATGGACGGACGCTGCTGAAATCCTGACTTTGGAGTTTAACCACGTAGCACACTTCTTATGTAGGATTGAAGCAACCAACAATAACCTAAGCTCGACCGCTACTTCAATAATGTTGAGTGTTCTCTCGCTCTCTCTCTGACCGTCTGTATTCAAATATGGTTATACTGAACGGGGTACGTGAGCTAGAAGTAAATGATATTCAATCAGATATGAGAATTTTATGTGTTAGCTCACTGTGTATTTTATTTTATGAATTACGGCCATCGCCCATTTTCTCCACTGGAGTCGTTCCTCAAGTAAAACCAAGATTCCGATATTAGCATATGTACGACCAGTTTCAGGGTGGACTTTAAACATTGGGAGAGAATAATTATTTACCCATTAAAACTATTCTAATCTGGTTATAATGTTGTCCAAAGTGTATCCGATCGGCATAAGGTTTAGGAACTGGACGAACGGAAAGGTATGCTTTCTATCGGTTTGTTCTACTGTTAGTCCTACGTATTCGCAAAAGGAACACTGGGGAACTTTGATACATATGTTTACTTGACCATTTTTACTTTCTCCATTGAATTGTAATGTGAATTTATGCACTGAAAGTAAATACTTAATGACTTGGTGGCTGCTGTTTGCGGGTCCGAGTTGAACTCAGAGCAATATTTATGCGCCTGGATCTAGTTCTGTGAAGGTATTGAACCACTGCTACATAAATATACTCCCATTCGACATAAGCTCTCTCAAGGAGTCGACGTTGTTAATGCAAACGGTTGTGGTCTAGTTTGGTAATCGCTGCTTGGAATTTTGTTCTGCTTTCGTTTTTAAGAGAGTGAACCGTTCTTTTCATGAACAGAATGTGGATTGCTGATTAGCGTATATGGTAGGCAGACACGAAGCATTTGCTGGTGTTGTCCTGTGCTGGACAGTCGTTTTGGTGGGTACATGTGCATGTGGTGGCTTGTTGTTCCGATACTTCTGTCAACCTGCCAACAAGCTGGATTACTCGATAGGGCTGAAAGTGGCTATAATCTGGGGGAACAGTGCCCTTGCCAATCATGACGTATAACGATGAACAGTGTTTTGGGAATGTTCAGATATATTGCGACATGGCCTCCACCAGAGTTTTTTTTCAGCAAAAGCAACACCAATGATTCTGAAATATAAAATCGGATCTGAACTTCACTACTGCTCATGGAAAAGCCGAGTGTGGGTGTTGTGCTAGGAGCATGAAATCTCTCCTAAACCTTCTTTACTAGCAATAAGCTATTGTTAGTTTTTAGTGTAAGTGGTTTGGTTGGGTGTAACTTTTCCTCGTTGTGTTCACCATAAAACGAGCCACCGCAATTCAGATCATATCTGCTCAGCCTGGAATCACTGAACTCGCCTCCTCTCCCCGTGGCGGGGAAAGGCAGAGTGAAAGTAATAAGGCATTATTACAACACGACCACGCTGGTACGAGTGAATGTACGTACACTTGTAGCACTGCGACGACTATGTATGAAGTACTGGTTGGTTTCTTGGTTAGCGACTACTTGGCCATTTGTACATGTCTGGTTATGACACGGGAGTAATTAAGATGGTGCAAGAAAATTCACACGCAACTGGAAAAAGAGAGAAGCTTACTCTCTACTTACCGGATAGGTCGACTTTTTGCGATAACAGTTCTCGTTGACTTTTCCCTCATTTGGACTCGGTATGTGGCGTTGCGGGCCCACAAATGGCTGGAAAAAGTGAATAAACATTTGATTTTGCGCCACTCTTGCTTACCAAAGAATGTATCCATGCAACTTTCATATCCAATTTCACTTTAATAGGAAGCACAACTCTTCCTTAATTCTTTCTTTCTCTTTGTTAATTCTTTGCCACAAGACGATGTCACAAAGCAAAGTTTGAGAAGGACCGAGTAACTGAGGAGTCCTGAGCTACAGATTGGTATGAGCTAGACACGACAACCCTATTTGCACCTTTGGGAGGCACACGTGTACTTGACCTTGTTGCTGCAGCATGGGTGTATTTCCAGTTTCTGCGAAACAGCCATGAATCTAGTAGCAAAGGTGCATGTACGGATGGTTTTTTTATAGTTTACCAGTCTGAGATTGGGTTTAAGTAGTTCATCCTCACTTGTTCGTAATCGAAACAATTTGAAGTTGCAAAGTATGATAAGAATCGACTCCATTGATGAGGTGAATGACCCAGAAATTATGATACGAAAACCCAAACTAATTCATCATATCCTTTTTCTACTCAACTTTTTCTTTGCTTAACTTTATTTTTAAAGAGTGTATTTGAAACTTGGCAAGAAGTTCTATCCAGAGAAAGCCAGAAGAATTGAGGGGATGGAAGAAACTACACGTAAAGAATCCGATCGAAGTATTATCAATGAATGAAACATATGCTCGAATATGTAAAATAAATGAGATGATAAAAAGCTAACCAGATTCAATCAACTGTGGTCTTGTATTGTTTTCAATTATTTGCAGAGGCTGCTGGTCATCATTAAAGCTTCCAAGCTAGTACAGGATTGGGAGCAGAAGAGGAAGATTTCGACGACTTAAAGAATATGCATACTGGAATATGCATACTGGATGTTGCAACTAACTACCCGCAGCACGGGCTTCATGAGGACTCGTGGGATAAATATACTAAAAACGACAGCTCCCAAACATTCCAAGTTTGTGATATAGCGAACACGATATTTGAATACAAGAAACCCAACAATATGAAGGCTGCTGCAGAAAAGTTCGGCGTGAGTATGATGGCCAGACAACGCTCAAATGCAGGAAAAAATCCTGCGCCTTCCACGTTTGAAGACATTTGCATCTTTGTGACCAAGCTCGCCCCTACGGGAAAACGAGACGGATGTTTCTAAAACGTGATGGGATTACCTGTAATAAGAACCAGGCAAAACAAAGACAACAATGCAAAATATGAACGAAATGTTCGTCATTGGTGTTTATCAAAACGATTGTAGAATATGGATGAATTTGCTTCTCCTGTCAGTCAAAATAATATTTGTGTCATTCTTTCTCACCATTACGCAGGGCAAACCAACTATTGCAAGATTGAAACAAGATCCGACTGCAGCCAAAGCTACCATTACAGAACTGGAGAAGAAGGTGAGCAAGTTCTAATTTCATACTTTCCCTTTACTCTTCCTTCGTCCAATTTCATCATTAAATGTTAATTCTTTCAGGCACTAAACTGGCAATTAAGTCAGTAATCTTTCCCGTTAACTTTGTGACAACAAGGTGACATATTTGCATTATTAAATACCCAATAAATTATTAAATACTTACCATTCCACACTCATGGTAACATGGCCCTCTCTCTGTAATTATCATAAAAGTGAGAAAAGTGTAATATCGTCGTTGAATATGTATTCGTACGTAAATCCAAAACTTTAGCATTGCATAATATCTACTTTAGTACTGGAGATGTGTCCGTATTCAATGCTTAAGTTTTGGATTTGGGTCCGAATGCATATTCAATGACGATATAAAACATTACAGCATCCTTGCGATGGAGATTTGTTATGTTGGGATAAGCTAAGTCCTTGTAAAATGGCATAATCTTGTCATACGCTATTATTGTTTCACATTACACGCATTTCTGGATCATAATTTGTATCACAACAAATGAGTGATCACAATTGTACGACTAATTAATCATAATTAGTAGTACTTTATTTTTGCCGAGAGCACCTGATGCTACGGAGAAGGGAAATTCAACACTTGAAAATTGATTTCAAAAGTCAATACAAAACGAAACTGGATACGAAACCTCTGAAGACAACTGCTAAACCCGACCGGAAAAAAGTAAAAGATTCTATTTTAGCCTTCGTATTGTACTCTTTAAAACAATGGGCGTTTGGTTTAGAATATTTAAGTGTTCAACGTTCTAATGAGGGAGACGCAGACAATGAAGCACAACGCGCTGAGCTGTACAAAAAGGAGGAGACTGGAGTCTTTGTCAATTTCATGACTACTCTGCTGCTGTACAAACGAAGCGACTTGGCTTTGTGAACTTTCCTCGTGGTTCGTGGTATCTGTGGCATAAGTACTGGAAAGGTTTCAAGAGAGACAGAGAGACTCCAAACCATTGAAATAAATAATGGGATGAATATCTGCCCCGAGACTTTTCGTGGTAACAATTAATGCATTCAGTCCCATAATTTTATTTAATGTATTGTTCTCCCGAGTTTAACCACAAGATGGAAATTATACTAAAGTACGAAATATGTGCCTAAAACTTGTCCTGTGGATACGTGCTGTTGACAATTTTCTAAATTAGACCCATGTATCAAACTTCATGCAGATGTTTGATCACCAAAATTAATTATAGATTAACCATGCGATGCGATGACGGAGAACATTTAGTAATTCCACCAACTCTCTCTTTCTCTTTCTTATAGTGAAATCAAAAGGGTCGGGTAAAAACTTTTTCATGCCTCGCCAGCATGATGATCCTCTCTTTATCGTCCCGACTTGAGAGAGATATCTCATTCAACAACTAACAAGGACGGAAAAAGTTTTTAGTATTTTCTTCACTTAATTCCAAATTCATTACACACTTGACTTGCAATAGAACCAATTTCAGCCAGACAAGTTTCTTTTAAAAAAATGGACTTCATTTCATCTTATTTCTCCAATCGCGAGTAAGTAAACTGGAAAGTCGGGTCAAATTGGGGACTTGGATTGAATTATTTTTATCTATCAGTGAGATAAGGAAACACACGAGTCGCATGTACATATGCCATTAACTCACCTGAAGGGAATGAAGCGGATCTTGAAATACTGGAGCAAAATCCCTGTGGCAGTCTTTACCACCAAGATTTGTTGAAGAGGTAGTTGAAATAGCAGCCGCGACGTCATCGCTGTAATCATCACTCTTTATCTCGCTATCTGCCGAATCCTCAGTCTTTACTTCCTCCGGGGAGCAGATTGATAGCACGAGAAGGGTGGAGGGCAGTGGAAGTTTGGGAACACAACTTATGCTGCGAGTGAAACCAAAGGATATCGGCGTGGAGGTGGTGTAAGCCTGGATCCGATGCGGGACTTCAAACACAATGGTAGGATAGCGAATTTGTATCGTGATGTTGGACATAATTTGCACATTGTTGTCATTATTGTTGAGAAAGTTCCTGCTACTTTCGTCCTCCTCTTCGCTATTGGAGTCGCTCTCACCACTCGCGACAGAATAGCTGTGGACCAGGCGGACGAGGTAGAGTCCGCCTTGGACAATCACATTGCAGGGGAAAGCAACCTGTGGGACAGATGAGATGGTTGGTTTTAATAATGAAAATTACTGGGCATCTCTGGAACAAGGCTGTCTGTTGTTGCGTCTGTCATAATTACTTTTTAAGCCCGGCGAAGGATCAAAAGCTAAAAGATAATGTCTGTCCTAAACTCATGTATTCATCATTGAATATTTTAGATGCATATAGTCAGTGGACTGTAACGATGGCATAAATCTCGGGCAATTTCTAAAGGATTGTGTACAAATTGAAGCATGAAATGTACAAGTCTCAGATGGCCAGGTACATATGTATGTGTGTGTGTGTGTAGGTAAAAAAACGTGAATTGTAATTTTTTTCATGTCCACAATGATTCCCAGAAATCTTATTTCCTGGCTCACCAGTCACTTGGATACGACACGCTGTACACACTGCTATTCCGCTATCAGCAGAATGCCATGACGCATAAAAATGGTTTATTTTCCATGTCACTGAATTTATTGTAGATATTTTTACCTTTTCCCAGGAAGTGGTGAGGGGACTGGGAACGGGTTGTGTGGTCAAGAGTATATTTCGTCCTCCTTGGGCGCAGAAGAACAACTGGATGGCGACGGAGGGGAGGTTGAAACTTTGGTTGGGATCCAGAGTGCCCGTGAGATTAAAGACTAATGGAGATAGACGAGTCCAAACCACTAGATCGCCACTAAGAGCTTTGAAATCTCTGGGCCCCACCATCTCAATTGCTCCCTGCGTTCCGCCAAGAGCCAAGAGCAGCCACGGCAATGATGAGCCTGGTGGTCGAGATTGTAGTGATGTAGAGGACGACTCCGCCGACGATATGTTCTTCCTCGACTCGCCAAAATCCCTCTCCATAAAACAACTCGGGGCTGCAATAAACAAGTGCAATTACGTAATATTCTTTCATCACCAACACCATACTGCCATCCCATAACCACTTGTTTATGGCTGACATCCCGCCGAGTTGGTGTTTTTCTCTGTGATTCCCGCATTCCATTCCAATTCAACAAATCCCAGCCATCGTCTTGATGATTTCCTCAACAAAATCGTTCCCATAAAAATTCTAGTTGCAAAGAAGTTTCTCTTATTCGATCAGCAACATTGTCAAATGAAATCAGATCTTCATGAACGTATAAAAATGCAAAAAATAAGGAGCACCAGACTGTATTTAACGGAATCCTACCCATTCAGGTAGCCTCCTTGGAACTAATTAAATGTATCAACATCTGCAAGGTTTAAGAAAACATGGTCAGAGGAAATAGGTCTTTGGCAACCTCCTCCTCTCCAAATCTAAACATTTCTATTAGGACTCTGTCCAAAAGCATCTTGGAAGAAAGCGGAGGAAGAAGAAGAAAACCACATCATTCGCAGTTTTCCCTTCTTCTTCAGTGCTGCCTGCCTTGCTGCTGCTTCTCCAATCGTAGTATTCTCTGGTTCAGTGGATAACTTCAACAACATTTGTTCTTTGGAGGATTGCTTACCCCAGCGAAAATAACACTATTGTCTTATTTCATTGAAATCCTTTGTATTCGCACAACCACAAGAAAATAACATCATTCCATTGAGGAATTGAACTTTTCTCTTTCAAAGGAACACGAGAGAACAAAGGAAATCCCTGTTCCACGGTCTTAAATACAGAGAAACAGAGAGACAGTAAGTGGTAACTTTCACTTGAGTTAATATATAGAATAAGGTAAATAAATTATCCATATTTCGCCATATTCTGGTTCAGATTAGGGAGCACGACTAACTTAATACGACTCAATCGTCATCATCATCATCAAAGAAGAGGAGGAGGCAATTACACTGTCACAATAAATGCCTGCGTCCCTTCAATTGAGACAGTTTTGGATCCTAAGGAAATGTAAAATTCATGCAATTTCTTCAGCCGTGGGTTCGTTTCTCGTTCAATTTCACATGATAGGAATCTGATCTCTTGGACTGGTCGCAGTTCGGACTTTGATATATCCTTCTTCATCTATTAAAAAAATCCACTCTTGCTCACTGCCGGCTGGACGGATCCACGTACGAATCTCTTGTAATATCTCACTCGCTCAAACAGGATGGCTTGGACACTGATATGAAGGTTACATATACCGATGTTGCCATATATGTCACGGGTTCCCCGAGATCGAGGTACTTTTCCTGCGAGTGAGTGAGTGAGTGGTCTCACACACGCCGGACACACTTTAATGGGAAAGAGAGAGAGAGAGAGGTACATGGGAAGAATGTGGTGAAAATCGTAATCCACTTTGGAATTTCATTGGTCGACCTGCCTTTGTGGATGGTCAACTGCTATCACTTTCTCTATCTCTCTCTCCCCCTGAGCTAATCGAATAATAAGAAAAGTCACAAATGCACTGAACGAATGAAGGTGGATATTTAACCATGGACTACAGTACACTCTAATGAACATTGGTTTCTGTGGTTTGTCCAAATGAAATCAGCTTATTACGTGACACACTATATGACCACGTGGAAAGTCCTTTTTGAAGTAGTGACATTTGAAGTAATAATATGAGTGAAATTTCAACCAACCCAATCCCATCAGCCTGATCTTCATCTGATACCGAATGGACAGAACATAATATTTTGGGAGAAATGACTTTGGGGAAAGTGCGTCAAGTTCTACAACAAATGAAAAATGGTCCGACAAACACCCTGAACAAAAACACCACCCTTCTCCCTTTCTCTTCTGCTCCATTTACTTATCGTCGCCCCTACAGTAGTGAAGAAGTAGGAGAAACTATCTAGAAGTGGAGCCCAGGTGGAATATATCATAATGCGAATGTGTATATTTTTCCGCCTATTGTTGGACTCTGTCCCTCTCCATCATCATTCTTTCTTTCTCTTCCAATGCAATAAGGTTAGATATAAAATTGATATATTTCCCCGTTTCATTTGATCTCCCATTCTTCAGCTACTTCTACTACGGGAAGCCGTCAATCTGGTGCGGGACACAACACGCACATACCCACAACAAACAAAACTTGCTGCACATTTTGAAACACGGTAAGCTTCAGACGTCCTGATATGCAGCGACCCTAAAGCTATTTATGTACCAGGGTTTGGTCTAACCAACAAAACACCCTTCTCGCCCAACAACTTCTTCCATTCCACTCCATTCCCTGCTTCCTATTTTCTTTTCCTCGTGTTGTGAATAAAAGACAAATGAAAAAGAAAGTGATTCTGAAAGCACATACCCCATACATTATGGAATTGAAGGAGAAAGCAAACAATGTCTACGCCACCACCACCACCATGTCGGAATTTGAATATCCTGCTGAGCTGCCCAAGTTCAGATAAATAAATAAGCAACAGGGGAAAGTTTTCCCGTCCTTGTTTATCAGCAAGCTTATGGAACAAAAAAGTCGTATTTTTGTTCAAGCAAGCAACTAAAAAGTCAGAAAACAAATAGAATGAACAAAGATGGATTAGAAATGTGATTAGGTTTGCCTTTTTCCACATACCAGCGTCATGTGCATGAAGGCAAGGAAAGTGAGTTTTTTAACTTTTGAATGTCAACCGAGAATAAAATACTTTTCTTCAACGGTGGTAAAGGTGCTGCAGTGCAAACAAAGTAGCCCTAAAAAATTTTAAGACGTTATAAAAGGTTGCTGGGCCTGAGTAGGTGCTCTCTCTTTCTACACATGCAATATCTGCAAGTGTCAGGCTAAATGAAGGAGAGAGTGAAAAAATCACTTGGAATTGTATAAGGCTTCTCTCGCTCTGAGAGTATCAACGAACGTCACATGGAGTAATAGTTTCAACTAAATGACGTATGTGGTCGAATGGATTTTCAGCTTTTTCCAACTTTACGAGCTTAACCCTATCCTATTGGGAGTAGAATTCCATATATAAGTAGGACGTCCTAAGTAGCTAAGTGAATGATTCTGATAGGTGGTTCCTGGAGACAGAGCGAGAGAGAGAGGAATAAGAGAGCTCGAGTGAATTGGTGAAAACGGGTGGTTTTAATACGACTGCTTTATACTATAAATTGGAAAGGCAAAAGTACATTTCACATAAATAACCATTAAATTCCTCCTCGTCACTCTGACACTAAAAACTTGTAAAGAACAGCATTGCGACAAAGAAGAGTGGGTTAGCAAAGCTCCCTGCCACTCATACCAGCACGGAAACAATGGACTATTGTGAGGCGACTAACTGGTTGTCACCAGCAGTATTTTAAACAAATGAACCTTCCTTTCTCGCACTTGCATCAAGACCTCAAAATCATAAGCAAAATTATTTTCCGCTCCTGAGTCCAACTCAAAGTTTAATTATTTAGCTCATAATTCGCAGTAATGTTCAATTGAGAACTTCCGATGGACTAACAAGGATATGTTTAAATTTCCAATATTTGAAGGAAATTCTGCCATCAATTTGAGTTTGCACTCCTCGTATGGAATGCTAAACATTTTATGGTGAACCAATGACAATCTTTAATGATTCTTCCCGAAATAACATAATTGAAGTTAATAAGTTCTATCTAAACTCTGGATAAGCAACATAAATTATGTTGCGAGTACTGGTACGTGATCCGGTGAGGAATTTGTATCCGAAAGGAGAAAGTAATTCTGGCCGAGAAGGATGGGACAGAACCCGAAAACAATTAATCTCCTTGATCAGTCAACCCTACAATAATATAAATTTACTTGATTCGCTCCGTCACCGACAAACCACGGACAGGCGAATCGGTGTTCTGGAGTTATCTGTCCCTGTCTTGAGGGAACAAACTTAATGCGAATTTGGACGTAAATGCCTTCCTCTCTGATAATACAGACCATCAGCACATTTCGTTCGCCAATACAATTGAGTCGTACAATTTAAAACACGGTCACCTCGACGAGAGTCACAGTCCTTCCGCCTGAATACACTCCCACCCAACCAACGGGAATGGCTCACTCTGTCATTAGACGCCTCGTGGTGTACTCCCACCTAGAAATTATGCAAATCCTGCCGCCGCAAAGGAATGGAAGATGTTGTGGGAGGGAAATTAGATAAATTAATTTTCTGTTCAAATAGGTGTTATTTTCAAAATGCATAATAAACGCGACTAAGTAAACTCGCGCTGGGTAATTCATATCTCTTTCTGGGCAGGCTTCTCTATCCCAAACCCGAGCAGCTCAGGTGTGCCTTGCTAATTACCTTTCATCTTGCTCCATCCACTGAAGCTTGACATAATCAGTCATCTCACACTCATTAGTTTCCGTCGTGTCACCACAGTTCCCTTCATTCACCACCACCACCGACCATCCGAACAGTAATTTGCTGACTACTACTGGATTCTTGACAAGGCTTTTACTAACTAAACTACATCTCCTTCCACAACAGCATATTCATCAAAATCACCCAAGAAGAGCTACGTACAAACCACACCTTCACTTTCACTCGCTTTCGTATTATGTAGCAATGCAACACTGTCTGTTTACTTTTTCATTAAATGAGCTTGGTCATGACACGCAATAATGCGGAGGATACATAATATTGGAGACAGCAAGGAGTTCATTTTATGTTGACGCACCCCACACGTCACATCTCGCATCAGGAGAAATTCTACTTTCTAATGGATTTTATGCTCTCATTTGGAAGGGAGAAAGAGAGAGAAGGAAGGTGAGATTGCTTCTTCTTGGAAGCAACCGACTTGATTGGTGGTGGTGAATCTCTTTCTGTTGGGGAGGCAAGACGGAGACAATTTAAGCAACGATATTTTTCCAACCACGGGAGAACACATTTACCGAAACGAGGAAAAGCCTGATGTCCCCCTTCATACGACTGGCACTTACAAACCAGGAGCACCAGCGTAGTAATTAAGAGGAAGGGACTTCATTGCTCCCTGATACGCATTGAATGCAGCATCACAAGATTTCGTGTCCGCAGCCAAGCGAAGTAGCCGAGTGACATGACATGACACCGTATAAATTTTATAAACAAAGTGCGTCTGTCGCAAAATGGGGAAAGCAGTGGCTCTTCTTCTTTTACTCCAGAGAGAGAGAGAGTCCCCGTGATACAATAATTATAATGCCGCTTATGTGCTCCATCTTTGCATTTAAGGGAGGCTCATTGAGGAGGAGGTAGCAGAGTTAAGTTGCCAACTTATTTAAACTAAGTGCCTTCCTATGGTAATTAATGGCCGTCATGTTTTGGAGGAAGTAGGAGCCATTCGTTCTCCTTCTTTTGTACATGCCGGGCCAACATTGATTATAAGACACGGCAACCAGGAGATCATTTGAGGTTCATAACTTGACTTTCCCCCATTTACTGACGACCACCCTGTACTTGCAGCTGTCAAATTTATGTACAAGCAACACACCAGCAATTTACTTTGGTCGGCAGTATATACATAGTGTCAAGTCAAGTGTGGCACCCTAGTAGTCGCGGAATGCTGCTGTGTGTATGGATATTTGCCTTGCGATTAAAATTCAGAACGGTGTGGATGAAAAGGAAATGGAACGGCAGGCCGGCTCGCTCGGTGAGTATCTCACAACTCTCAGACAGTGAGGAATAAGTTAGCTGCATTACACGTTGCTGCTGTCCGTCCTCATCCATGCGTTGAGTTGACTTTGAATTAATGCAAACATTTCACGGAGATTTTGTAAGTGAAATATTTCTCTGCCTTTGTGCGCCCTGGGCAGGCAGGAATGCTAAGAAGTAGTTTCGGGTGTGGGCGAATCTGTTTGGATGAGTCTAACCAAATTTATGGTGTTTGTACTCCAGATTGCGTTACTTTAGTTGGTTCATGATATTATGAATAACGATAATCTAATTAATTTAATCGGAATGGTGAAGCAAATCTGCAGTTTTTAAGCATTCGTCTCACAGTCCGGTGTCCCTACTTCTGGGTTCACAAGATACCCATGGTCTACACAAGTTTCTCCATGCCGCAGAATTTCACCGTCTCATTAAACAAGGGGTTCGAGTGGGTTGTCGTACGTACATACGTAGTCAGTCACTGTGATCTATTTGGATTGGAGTGACCTGCAGGACGGAATGATAAATATGTGATTAGGAAAACGTCATAAATCATACTCACCGATTGATAGCATCAGGAGAAAGTATCGAAGCATGTTAGTGAAGTGGGTTGTCTTCTTCGACCCAGATTGGAATTGGGAGTCCATTACCTCCAGCACCCAAAGCGGCAGAGTCCATCCACTTCTTCCAACGTAATAAATAACGACGATGGTGGTGGTGAGCTCTTCGGATGGAAATTCAGTTTTAAAATTTCAATTCAATATCCGTATTCGTCTCCATGCAAGTCGTGTAGCCGTCCTACTCTGCTGAGTGCTCCTCCTCATTGGGTGGAATATGAAGAAGGAGATTTATTGTAGGCCGAAGGAGCAGTTTTCGCCTAGGATGAGAACATGACGCTGCAATGTATAAATGTTCACCACACCACCACAAACACCATGTCATATCTCGTTTCACTTCACATTTCACTCTCGTCCCACGACAAAATGGTAGTGTTATTATCCTTCATCCACAAGAGATTGTGTCCACTGCTGCCTCTGTATGTACGTAAATACGAAGAAAGTGTGTTTTAATATTATTATTGTTAGGTGGGGGTAAAGCAACTTCTTCTTACGACGACAACTACGCACTTTAATGTGGAAAAGTTTTTCTCATCCACCCTATTTTCTAAATCGAAGGTACATCTTTTTTAAGCAAAAGTACAAGGAACACTTAATCCTGACCCAGTCCGGTGACTATCTACGCATAAAAGTGGTCGGAGAAGCAAGGGGAGGGCAATATCATCTTTACGAGCGTATTGCATATCGATAGATAAATGTTGTGGCAGGATAAGTTGGTGAGATTGAAATTTGCAATTTCGACCCCAGTTCAATTCTGGACTAGCATAAAAAACGGAGACTCGTTAAATTGGATGGTGGAGCGTTTTTCCATTTTTCATCTTGCCGAGTAAATATTATAGAAAATTGAAGTTTCTGCGTCTCAACCAGCGAGAACAAGAGAGACGAAAGAACGAATGGAAAGATATTCAATTACAGATTGACTTGGTTTTCTTGAGTTTCCTTGATTGGATTTGCGCTCAAGTGTTACTTCATCTCATCATATTTCATTTGTTATTATATTTGTCTTATCCTCAGCTTTGTTGTTGCTCCCTCTCCCTCAACAGCTACAGTAAACTTAAATTATTATGTTTTCCTGTTATTATTAAACTTGGGATTTTGATTCTTTGTGCTCAAATTCAGTTCAGCTTTGTTTGTTCGAGAGACTTTCATTGCGCGGACATTATTCTTCTCTCCTCTACTCAATTTGTCGCATTTGGATATTTCCTCTCCTGATCAACCCACTGGGCCAGCAAGTATTTGGTCGTCTCAGAAAGTCAATAAGTAGTGAAAGTGGTGTCCAACTTACCAGTTTTCAGCCTGCAGAGGCCTGAGTAGATTGGACCTGGTGGATGAAGAGAGAAGAATCCCCGTGACTATGGTTTTTAGCCTGTTTCCTCCATAGTTGACTCCTTGATTCTTCTTCTCGAGCTGCTGAGACGTGTGGTCTCGTGGTCTTGAGGGAAAGTCACTTCCTTCTCGTTTTCACTCAATCTTGAGCGCCTTTTGTTGTTCCCTTTCTCCTGAAATGAGAGCAAGAAAGCAAGCGGTAGTTGAGATGAGATGAGAAAGTACAGCAGGGCAGGAGACGATCTAAATATTTTATTCCTTTCCATTTAAATTCAATAAGACTTGCGTCCCCCTCAACCAAACCAAACCAAACCTGGTTAAACTCCGCCATGGCGTGAGTTGTTTTCTCCAACTCGGTTTGGTCTTCTGGCCATTGTAACATTACGCTTGCACACCGAGTTTCCAAAGTGGCAGCCGTGGTGGAGAGGAATCCTTAGCTCGAGGGATTTGGCTAACCACTTGGTTGGATGGAAGGCGAAATAACTTGGTGTTTTCTTAACTAAAGAAAACCCTATCTATCTATCTCGGCCGCTTCATGTGATTCAATTCCCTTTCCACGTTAAGGAAAAGTGGAACGAAAACAGGAGCCATGATTCTAAGATAATAGTAATAAAGAGGGACATAATTATTTCCAAGCCCGGCTAACTCACTGTTAATTGTAAATGCACAATTTAAGAGGACCCGTCATCATCATGGTGGGAGCGGTGGGAGTAGTTGAATAATTAGATATTCAGTGATAATTGAGCATGTACAAGGTTCAAATTGAGAATGATTATTATACAAAAGAAATAATGGCAGGGTTGGGCCTAATCGTCAAATTTGCTCCTTTATACGAACGCAGAACGCTTTCACTCAACGAGACGAAGATCTTTGACTAACGCTCACAAACTGCATTTTCTTACAATTATTATTTCCAAGAAAGTTTTCTTCTCTTCCAAGAAGGAGATAAACCCTCATCAATATCAATTCATGTCAATAACAGTGCGTAAATACGAATGCATTAACCAACCCCACATCAAACTCGAGTCTCCTCATGCACACACCACTTTTCCTTCCTTCCTTTCTCCGTCGCACTCTCACTCACGCACTTTAATGCATTTTGAGTAAACCCTGAGTGCATTTTGAGTAATAAAAGTGCGTTTGCAGTAGATTAGATTACAAAAACAGACAAAGTTTGGGGAAACATGCAAGGTAAAACTTGAGAGAGAGAGAGATGAGTTGAGATCAATAAGGAAATTGCGCTTTTTGTGCATCCCATCTCATCCTTCTCCATGGACGGCGGTGGAGGAGGACGAAAGCATCATAATGGTCGCAACATTACAGAATATAGTGCTTGGTCTTGGAAGGCAAATTTCCCACGAGGGAGTCCCTCTTACTCGTGTAACACAGTGCTAACATTGCATATTGAGTCCAAAAATTGGTCTCCAGGGCCATCACGTCATTCCATCTCCCGTCGCATCCATCCAGCCATGCAGCCATCCACCCAGCAGCCTCTCCTCATGATAAGAAGAATGAAACTTTCTCCACACCACCAGAACTTACTCTGACCCTGTTTTATTAATAGTGAGCACACGAAAAGGGAGGGAGCTTATTGGACGTGGACTTGGAGTCACAAATGTCCATCTCGTTCCCTCTCTCATTCCTCATGAATGCATATTTGTGCATAAATATCTCGTTTTGCTACATTACATTCCTCTTCCACCGTCGCGCTCACCGCAACGCATCTAAATTATATCCGGTCTTCTGGCCCGGTAATTCGATCGTCTTCTTCTTCCTTACTGCCCGCTGCTGCTGCTACTCCCCGGTTGCCGGTTATGCAATGGAAGGTCATCATCATCATATTTAAATAGCCAAAACCACAATAGACAAACTGCGCCGCACAGAGAGACGAGGCATGCACACAGTATCACGTTTTTTTACCAGGTACAATTCTTGCCCTGTTATTTTACACAGAAATTGAGAGTTTGTCTGCATATTTGTATCAAGATGCACATTAATGATGCGGGTGCGGACCACATAAACAGTGGGTCGGACAAGGAGAGAGATAAAGATACGAATAGGTCTCAGCTCAGCCATTCATCTTCCCGAAAACACCCTGCGATACGGCCACCACAAGCATCCGGAACCTCCATCCAGCAATGCAAATGTACATATTTCTTCGTTACTCACTTTCAATTTGCACAAACACTCTAAACGTTGTACATTCATCTCCACTTTTTTTCAATTTCACCTTCAGTGTACCAACCGAGTCGGGATTTTTATGTTACGTTTTACTTTTGCATTCAAGAAACTGAGATAAATGCCAAAGGCCAGGCCTGCCAGGGATGTAAATGAAATGATGAAATGGAGCCACAGCAGAAGGAAAAGCAACAGCCCTTAAATATGGACTGCCTCTCATCCCATAAATGTACGTCCGAGAGCATGTGGTGGCGGGGTTAGGAAAACATATAGCAAATTGGCAGACGGACAGGAGATGCTTCCAGAAGTATGAAGATGAATGTTAGTAAAACATGCACATATTGTTAGCTATGTACATATGAACCACAAAAGCGCCAAATTCTGCTCCCTCCCTACATATATTCCCAGCCATGGCGTTAGCACTTCCTTATAGAGATAAAATGTCTCGTCATTTATGTGACTCTAACTTGTAGGCTTTCTATGGCAAAAATGCCATGAATTTTGACCTCTACATTCTTTATGAGTGAGAAAGGCATACAAAAGACAGGGAGGAGAACTCTCTACGAGGTGTTTACTTTTCAGATTCACTACAGTTGGCATTCCTTCAAAAAAATTATTGTCTGACTTGGATGATCGGCCTACCAACTTGTCTTCTGTAAAAAAAAGTCAACGTCCTTTCTCCTAAATTTCATTTATTTTTGATACACAATTTCGTTATTAGACTAAATTTAAAGGCGAGTAATGGAGACGAGAAATATGAGACTGACAATGAGACTTTTGTTGGCTCATTCTCATGGTTTCCTCCTTTTAGCTTTATCCTCTTTCGCATTTCTCATTTTAATCTTTAGAAAGTGAAAGTAGTCGTAATACACGTCCTTGATTGAGTCAATCCTGCCATGTTTCCTTGGCAAAGTCACCTCCGCCTTGGAGGCAACATTAACCAATATTACACGAGTACTTTGGGTTTTAGGAAAGAAGGAAAACACATTCTGAAAATTGGAAGGATTTGTGATTTTCTAAGTAACAATAAAATTCGAGCGAAACAAACCCTTGAGCAATCTGGTTCGTAAGCAACATGAAGAAAAAGTGGGCTATAACTCGTTCCCACTCGTTCAACTCTATTATGGCTGTCATATTCACTTTCTTGTTGAATATTGGATTATATTTGCTTGTCTGAAAGGAATATGACGTGCTCCAATTCTTGAGCCATTTGCAGACTGAGCAAATAAAATCATTGGGTCGACTATACGCAGTTACGTACACAGTCACCCAAATCTTAATAGATTCTCTGTTATACTCTGAAATTGATATTCTGCATTGGGAGATATTTATACCTCATGAAAAACCCCTTTGCATTGCACTTTACTTTCATAGCTCGAGTAAATACTGGATCTTTATACGAATCAAAAAATAATCCTGGAAAATGACAAAAACTATTTCTGAAAAGTAACCATTATTGCGCGACTGTAAATATAAACAGGCTTATTGGACGACATCTTGCACGATGGATGTTAAGCATTCACTACACTTTTGATATAATGCATACATGATTTATGAAATCGATCCCACCACCTGCTCACACATCACAAAATTTACACAACATTTGCCAAAAGTCGATACTTGACACGGTCGTACATAGTTGAAAATGTTCACAAAATGCTGATTATTGCATCTTTTACCGTAATCATGGACAATTAATCCACTGCAATACAAACAGTTTTCTTTATATTTATGGCTCGAGTAAAATTAAAAACGAGTAAAAATAGTAAAAATGCTAGCTCATTTACAGTAAAAATGTTCAAACGATTTTTTTTAGAACTTTACTTACACAGAAAAAACCTAAGCTATTGGGTTGTTGATGACTCAAATGACTTGCTGGTTGGATGGGAAAACCGGAGAAGTAGCGGTGTAGGTTTCTTCTTCTTAAAAAACAGCAGACGTTCTCTCCCAAGAACACTATTCTCTAAAATTCAGGAAGAAAGTACCAGCCAAATCACACCACGGCATGAATACAAAATATTCCAGGGTTGTATTGTGATTTCGGAAATGAGCAGCATTTTTCCAATGGAATGGAAATGAAACGGATGCCGTAACAAAAACAGCAAACTGACGAAGCAATAAGCATTTACTTACTTCATTTGCTGACTTTACACAATGGTCTCCGGTATCAAAAATAACAATGCATAGCACATGGAAGTAATGACCAGTATAGTAATGACCAGAGTATTTTATTCCTCAAGATCTTGCAGCAAGGGAACACGCGAGAATTCCCAGCTTTAGATTCTTTTGAATCTCCTTTATCACTTAAAAATACTTACGCCACTAAAATTCCTCCTTTACTGGAATATTATGAAACTTTATTAAACATTCTTTAAAGTGGGCAATAATGCATTTCAAGATTAAATTCATTCCTCTAAAAGCATCCGGTTTACGTAATGGAAGGTATAAGATGAGAAACAAAATCTTATTTGTTTCCTCCACGCACCCACCCGATTACCTTTTTGAGTACAAGATGCACAGAAAAATATGAGGAGAAAGCATTAGGGACCTGCCAACCATACTCCTTTACTCATTGGTTGGACGAATCTCTTAAAATTCAGTGGAAATATTTTGAGTAAAGTTTAAACATTTTGGAGCGAGAGCGGGACATGTTCGTAGCAAAAGATTGAAAGTGTGTACGTATTTGATCATTGCAATCTAATGCAATTTTCATAAAGTTTCTCGTCACAACTGACGACAAACGGTAATGGTTCACTCGTGTCTCCTCCTTATGCTCCTACGCTACAACGCAGAATTTTGGATTCAAGAGTTTCAAATTTACTTATTTTTCCCCGTGATTGTTAAGAATTTTTTCCCAGGATGTTTCGCTTCAAGACTTGTAGGGAAAGAAGTGCTCCAAGGAAATAAAACTTGTCGAGGGGAGTGGAAAGCTCAAATAAGTAAGTAAGTGCGTGAAGCGAAATGCATTTATGTACGCCGTGCTTGCATTTACTTC